CTCCCATACCAATCCCCGCTCCCATCCCAATCCCCAGTCCAGCCCCCATCCCCATCCCCATAACCCCCGGCATCCCAAACCCACCAGCGCGCCTGCGCCTTCTCGTCCGCCGATCCGGCATAGCCGCCATCATCATCATCTCCTGATCCCGCCGTCGCTGCGCCTCAACATGCTCAAGATACCTCGCCCGCATCCCGGGTTCCATAGCATCGACCTGGCGCTGCCAATCCTCCCATTCCCTTCTCTGTCTCTCCTCCCTCGTCATCGGCCTTCGCGTGGGCCCCTCCTGAGCGCAAAAGGGACACTCCTCGTCCACATCTAGATGGTTGCGATGCCGCACCCCCCAGAGGGCGAGGTATCGGTCGCCCCAGCGCTGCATCGCCCTCTGCGCATCTAAGGATGGGCACCCAGCTTCTCTCTCCACCCATCTCGCGGATTCGAGCTGGTCCCGCTGCTCCCTCAGAGCAGAGGCATAGTCGAACGCGCGTTCTGGTGTCTTGGTCAACTTTGCGGCCTTTTGGGCATCTTCGGCCGATGCCCCCGCCGCCATGAGGGAGGCGACGAGGTCCGGGGCCGGTTTGTGGAAGAGGCGCGAGATGCCGCGGTCTGCTATCAGCAACTCGCTCGAGTATCGCTAACGCGTAATGCTCACCGGGCTGGAGACGTTGCGTTAGGGATGGTTCTGTGGCTTGTGTCGACATTGTGACGGTGGTAGAGTGGCAAGTCCTCCTTCCGAGCGAACCAGCGGAACAGCGTTTATATGGGTCATCTGCTCCTCCCACCGGCTCCGCCGCAAGCTCCGGATACCGACATGAGGTCCGGCGGTGGTGCATTGCGATGCTCAGCTGACCACCCGTTGCTGTTGTAAGTTCAAGGCACGCCGTTGTTGAAGCACAGGTGAAGGGTCTGCCACGTGGTGATGATAGTGGTCGCAATCTTATCGCAGCCACTCTGCAGCGGGAGCATTTGAGTGTCTGAAGTCAGAACTCGCTGCTGTGCTCTGCATGACCGGTCCGCTTCTTCTGCCTGATCACGAGCAGGTGACACTGCTTCAGACGTATAAGGTTGACGCTCATAGATCATGGAAGGGGCATGTGAGTCTTAGTCAAGCGTTACTTCTTATCAGCACCTGGTGACAGCTGGTCTTAGATCTATGGGACATGTGACGAGTCAATCTTGCGAGTTACACCGGGGTCCAGTTGTCGAAGATGCAATGTACGGCTGTGGGCAGATACTCTACATGACAACTGCAGGGCTGGTGCCATGAGGACGTCACGTCATACAAGGGCTCCGAACAGTGCAGGATAGCTGCCAGACCTTGTGACTGGGAAGTGTGATTCGGAGAGTTGAAGCGGCCTTCGATGGGCTAGTTGTGAGGGGCGGTGTGATACTGTGTATTCTCGCCTGAGTGAGGAGCAATTGATCGAGCGATCGAGTAAACTTGTGGAGAAGTCATAGAATGCAGAGTGGAGGGCGAGGATGATACAGTGGCTGAGGATGTGTTCAATTGCCTCGTGTGCGCCAGTGACCCTCAAACCTGGACGATGCGCGCCAGTGAGGTGTGCAGCAGCCTACCGGATTTAGCGCGCATTGGGAAGCCGCGCGAGGTATCTCATTAGCCCTCCGCTTCATTGCTAAAGAGGGGTGATGTTGCGTAAGAAACTGGAGGATGGAACTGCGGCTCAGTACTAGAAGGAGCATGCATGGAGGGATGCGCGTTTGGGCGGGACCAGAGAGTGGAGGTACAAGAGGCACGCCCGCTGGCCCGGATCCAGGAGAGGCAGGAGAGTGAACAAGGCCACCCTGGGCGTCGACCCTGTACCAGCCGAGACCAGCAAGACGAGCACCACAGGAACGCACACAATGGACCGGCCACCCCTTGCTCCAGACACACGCGTCTGTACGTAAAACTCAACCATAAACGCGTCCACCACTACTAATCCGGCACACGAATCCACACCCACAATCTGCTCTGTAGTGCGCCTGTATGCATTTGTCTCGCCCCGAACCACTTTCATGCTCCACATGGCTTCCGGGACATCCGGTCAAACGGGAGGGCGAGGAACAATGGTTGATATGCATGCAGGGTCGCTGCGGCTCAGCGGGCGACGGCGCGGCGCCTCTCGCCTTAGTGCGTGACCTTACCCCATGGGCCGTGGGCTGGACGGGGAGAGGAACAGAGGGACACGAGATGATCTGTGCATTGGTCTCTCACACCCCTTTTCCACCACTTGCTCTGCGCAGACACACCTAATGCAAATGGTCACTCCAACTCTAATGCGACAACACTCTCTTGCGCTTTAACTCTTTCCCATCTCCTAGACGCGTTACAACTCCTCCCCCAACTCCGTCCACACTCACGCGCCGCCGCGACCATGGGCTTCCTTCGGCGTCACCGGAGCCTCTTCTTCCCCACCTCCAACGAGGCCGCCGCCGGGGGATCTGGCATGGCCGCCCACAGCAGCGGCGCAGCAGCCTCCCTCGACGTGCCTCCCTCACCCAACGAGACCAAGCTCCGTGCGTAACTAGAATCAAAACTCTATCTGACATGTCTGGCCGGACCAGTTTGCTGATTTTCAGGCCGCCGCAAGAGTTTCTTCGAGGTACTGGGCTTCGGCAAGAAGCGCGCGTCCAAGCGCCAGTCCATGTCGGCAGCCGTCAGCAGCAAGGCTGGCCAGCGACCGCGATCGGCTACCGTGGGCGACTATCAGCAGCAGAAGAACAAGAGCGACATCCCTCCCGTCCCTCCCCTGCCGCCATTACACAAAAAGGTCGGCAACGTCGCCGCGGTGCAGTTAGACGACCTGGAGCTCGACGATGACCACATGGCGGCTATCACGGCCGTTGTTAACAACAGCAGCCGTGACGAGCCTCCCGAGCACTTATTCTTGAACGTTCCCGGCTCCAACGAGCCTGGATCGCGTCTGTCCGTCGCGAGCAACGCGAGCAAGCGCGCATCGACCATCTCGACCCGCTCAACAAACTCCGTGAACCAGCCCCAGCAGCAGCCGCGATCAGCATCTGATTCGACTCCCAATGGCCGTCAGAGCCGTCGCTCATCCCTGCGCAATAGCCTACTGGTGGTCAAGGACCTTCCTGAGCTGCCCTCCGGTCCCTCCGGCCGCCCTATCACGCCGACCAGGGCGCGAGCGGCCCCGCCGTCGAGCTACGCACCTCCCCCCGAGTCCATTGCCCAGCGCCTCGAGGCGGCCAATGTCACGCCTGAGCCGAGTCTTTCCGCGCCAAGCACCCCCGCGCAGTCTGCGCCCTCGACACCAACTCGGCCACGCGCTGATCTGGGTGCGGAGGCGCCAATGCCCGTCAGTGAAGTTACGAAGACTGCCTTAGCAGTGCAACCTGCCGCTGTCGAGCCCGCCGAGCAGCACGTTGAGAAGCCGATCGAGATTGAGGAGCCTGTTTCATTGCAGCCGATCGCGGCGGAGGAGCCTGCACCGGAACCGATCGAGGCGCAGCCTCCTGCGGAGGTCACGTCGCCAACCGCGCCGATCGTCGACACGAACGCGCCCGCCGCTGAAGAGCTTACGCCTGCCCTCGACACGCCTGAGCCTGCACCAGCCACTGAGCCATCACCCGCCGCGCCCGAATCCGAAATCGACCCTAACGATGTCCCCGAGATCCCGGATGAGCCAGTCGTTGCGAAGGTCGATGTTCCCGCGGCGCCGGAGCAGTCCGCCAGCGACGACACAGTGGAGGTCGTGCAGCCGTCACTGGCGCCCAGCTCTACAGAAACGCCATCGACGCCGCCTCGTTCGCCTGTCGCGCCAGTCGCCAGCGAGGTCTCGAAGTCCGACGCTCCCGTCGTCCAGACGCCAGATGAGGAGGTCCCGGGCCAGTCGTGGAGCAGCTCCTCGCACCCTAGCACGCCGAGCATGCTCCCGCACACGCCAGTCGGGGACGAGACCAAGCCGACAATCGCAGGCGACGAGAGCCCTCTGCTCACGCCGCAGCGCACCGGCAGTCCGGTAGTGAAGCAGCGCCAAGTCTCCGCACCGCTCGCGCCCGTCACGCCGCTGATCAAGGAGCCGGACCACCCTTCCGTTCCAACGGAGAAGAAGGAGAAGTACGCGACCCCCGGGGCTCCCGGGGCTTCGATAGGCAAGGGCGCGCCCCCCGTGTCGCAGAGGTTCAGCCAGCTGCGCAGCGTCTCCCTTCCCACCCCGGCACAGGGACAGCGCCGCCTCTCCGCCCCCTCTTCTCCGGGCAAGAGCGACGATCCGTCCCTCGACGACTTTGTCGGACTCATGAAGCAGGTCATCTCGCGCGAGAAGGGCATGTCGATTCGCGACGCGGCGCGCGCGGCAGAGCAGCGCAAGTCGTCTGTACCTGTGTAGTCGGCCGCTTGGCATTTACACACGACCGCCGCGCGATCCACCCAGGCAGCCAGCCAGCGGTACAGGAACAGAAACACCCAGTTGTAACAATAATACTAATACCTTTTCTTCCACCATCTTGTTCAATTACTGTGACAACGAATGCAAGACATATTCGTGCACCCCTGCTGAACTGGCAGTTGACTCACTCATGGCAGATTCAGGCGCGGTGACCCAGTGTGCGGGAACCGATGGGCGATGTTCACAAACAGAAACAGCGTCGGTGACGATTGACGCTGTCGTCGATGATAATCTCACAGAACAGGATTGCGACGCCGCCTGGAACATCATACTGCGTTGCGACGCCTCGATCAGTGCAACGCGCTACGGCTCGACACGGTGCCGCCGTGTCTCGGCGCGACGGATTGAGCTCGCAAGGCTCTTCTCTACGTCACACCAGTGGCCGGGCACCGGGCATTAATGAAGGCACAGCAGTCACGAGTCGACTGTCACTTCTCGACAGCGACCGCCACGGGGCACCGGGGATGAGGTGAACGCCGCTCTGGGGTGAGGTCCAGATTCCAAAAATTCCAGAATCAGGCGGTTCTTTCGCTTCTTTCTCATCCTCACCTCGTCAGTCGGGCCAGCTGGATCACCCAACCTCACCTGAGCAGCCATCGAGATCGCTCCCTTTGGCTCCTCACGTGCCTTCCGTCATCTCTCACTGACTCTAGAGCCTCGTTCCAGACGCCGTGCCAAGACATCCCTCCTGTGGTTCTCACCGCCCTCCCACCTTCTCTGCTCACTAGGGCAGCGAGCAGGCGTCTCCAGGATATCGTCGGGAGTGGAGGTCTGCATCGACTTAAGGCCGCACGGCGCTGCACGCAGGTCACCCACTCCCTATCGAGGCTCATCTAAGTAACACATATTGTGAGACCAGAACGGACCCCCAGAGCTGGAATACATCAGTAGGAAGTCGTGTGAAACCGGCGGAGCAGCTGTGAAACGTCATGATGTCGGTTTCAAGTCTCAGACGCCTGGCGATAGACGTCACACGTCACACGTCACACGTCACATGTAGCTTGTTTGTGCGATCGAGGTGGTGAGCCCACTGGCCACTCGATGCGACTTGACGACCTGGACGACCTCCACCAGAGACACAGGTTCAGAGCCGTCCTCAAACGCCGTCACAGGGTGCACAGCACCGGAGTGGTTTCAAGCCATGTCTTGAGATCGGGGCGCAATGCATCCTTCGTCGAGTCTGTTGTGCTCCATGTCCTGGGCAGGCTCCACAGGTTGACGAGCGACATGAGAGTACCACCAGTCTTTGCGGCTCACTCACCGCACTGATATTCTCGTGCACTGGCCCCAATGATACAGGCACCATCGCAGTCGACTCACCCAAGGTGACCGAGTGGGCAGGACACAGTCAGCGTAGGCATTAGAGTTGTGAGCGCCTCCCCGTCTGCTGTAATCTGAGGTGGAGCTGAGTTTATCTGACTGCTGGGCTCGCGCTGAGGACTACCGAGTGAACCAACCACCGTGGTGACGGCAGCATCGGTGTCCATCGGCAACTTGGGGTGGCAAGTGGCCGATGTCGATGCGATTAGGCTTAGACTACCTGCCTGTAAGGGGCGATGTTAGTTCACTCCTGTGCGCCCATGCTGCTGCTGTAATGTTGTTATAGTTTGAACTTCTGAATATACGGAGAATACTAGGACAGTTGTTATGAATGTTCGATCTCAGAGGGGAATTCCAAGAAGGACTCGGTCGATTATAGAAAGAGTGGGGAAAGAGGGACGGGAAGGGTGCTGTGCGGAGCGATCGTGTGTCGCGAGAGAAAAGCCCAATCCAAGCAAGACATGCCGAGCCGCAGACCCATTGCAACCACTTAGCACACCGAGCACGTCTTGGGCTCGTACTGGCCCTCGTGGTATCCGGTGTAGTCCCAGTAGGCGTTGGGGCCGACGAGGGCGGCGCCCTGGGCGTACCATCCGCATCCGCCGGGGCAGCGACCACCGCCGCCGCCGCCGTAGTTGACGTTGTAGTTGTAGTTGATGTTACCACCACCACCACCACCGCCACCGCCGCCGCCACCACCACCACCTCCGCCGAACTTGCCGCCGCCGAGGAGGAGACGGGTAGTGAGCGCGAGGAGGCCGAGAGTGCGGCGCTGGAGGGTGTTGCCGTCGTCCTCGGGGATGAAGATGCCGTCCTCGCCGACGTGGCCGCCGGGGCCATAGAGGATCTTGTTCTCGGCATCGTACTTGAAGAGGTCGTTGAGGGTTCCGGCCTCGGGCTTGAAGGCGTCGACGTACTGGCCGTCGCGCTTGGTCATGACGGTGGCGGAGCCAGTGAAGGAGCGGCGCTGCTGGCCGTTGTTCACGTGGAAGCCGTCGCTGCCCCAGATCCAGCCGTTGCCCTCGATGAAGCCCTGGGCGTTGACACGAGGGGGACCGCGGTAGCATCGGGCGCAGCCGCCGCCGCCACCTCCACCACCGTTGATGTTGATGTTGTAGTTGATGTTGGAGTTGCCGCCGCCACCACCACCACCACCGCCGCCTCCGCCGGCGAAACCCCTCAGGCCGCCGAGGATGGCACGGGTGGAGGCGAGGAGGAGGCCGAGAGTGCGCTCCTCGAGGTCACGCTTCTCGTTCTTGTCCCCACCGTCGGGGTGGAAGCCGTCCTTGTCGAGGTAGCCGCCCGGGCCGTAGATGACGTCCGCGGCAGCGTCGTACTGGAACATGTGGTTGATGATGCCCGCGCGGTCGTCGTCGGAGACCGGCTGCAGGTCGTCGCGGCGCTCAACGGCCGCAGGAGCGGCGGAGGCCAAGATGGGGAGGAGGAGAAGAGCGGTCTTGAACAGCATTGCAAAGGCGAGAGCGAGTTGCGTGGTGAGGAACGGAACAGGCCAAGACTCTCTTCTTATATACCTTTCAGAACGTGGTGACGCCACTGGTAGTCGCAGAGTGCTTGCACCATCGGTCAGTACTGGGAGCGACCGGCGTGCGGGAGGGAGGAGCGCCAACACCTCGTCATCTCTCTCCACCGAGACGACGAGCGAGACAACTGACAACAACAACACAATCCTCGGCTCTCCCCGCGTCCTGGGAGCGTACCTCCCACCTGCGAACGTCACCTTTACGCTAAATGCCCGCCGGCTGGCAGCGAGGTTGGGAAGACGAGGGATTGTTGATGCACGGGCATCGCCAATGCCCATGGAGCAACCAGTTGCAATGGCCGTTTAGAGATGGTGCCATGGCACCGATCGGGAATAGCTCCTTCCCATTCTCGTTGGGGTGACTGTTCACGGGATCGCAAATCCCTGTGGTAGCTCACAGTCCTCAGAGACCTGTGAGTACTGAACGCAACAAGCGACGGGTGTGACCATAACACGACGACGACCTTGACATCTGCCCGGACGGACCGGAGGGAAGGACAATCATGACGTTCCACTTGGCAGCAACAAGGTGTGGGTCATCGGCGCCCCCGTGTCTCGCTCGCCTCGGGCAGGATATCGTGACGAGAGGACGCCACGAGATCGGTCGCCATTCCGTTCGCCGTGCGGACAGTCTGCGCAGACATCGGCCGCATGACCGGATGTGGTTGGTGTGGAATGGATGCGATTGGAGATGATTGGAGATTGCAATGGGGATTACAGTTCGCGATGGTCGACTTGATAAAAGTTAATCAGCACTAGTCTCGAGTTTAAGCACGTTCGCCCAGGCACCGGGACCTCCACCTCGACGGTCCTCACGACGGCCTGAACTCGCTCCCATCTTCATGTCGTTACTGCTCTCTTGTCAACAACACAACGGTGGACGATGTCGTTACTAACGTCGCAACAAGGTTTCTGCGCCGAGCTAATGACGGGCTCCCTCGCTAGCGTCGCCGGCGGGGCGACAGAGGCCGCTGACACCAGCTGACTCATGCGCAGGCGTCTACTTCGAGTTGAAACACACTTACCCTCTCTACCACCCATTATCGCTGCTCGCCATCACCTCGCCACCAGCTATCAGCGCTATCAGAGTTATGGGATGGCCCGTCGTGGCTAGCAATTGCAGCTTCTGGGTCGTGGAAAGTTCAGAGTCTAGTGTCACATCATGTCAGATAGTCTTGCATGTGCACGAAGAAGCTTCGCTGGCGTTGTCTGATAAGGGATGGAACATCTGCGCGCCGTTCATCGCGCTCGATTGGAACCCTTGGAACGGCACACCGACAGATCGATCGACCCGAGTGGGCACGAGCCACCGGCATCTGGCACCCAGATCCACCCCTCCAAGGTTACATGCCGGTGGATGTGAATCGTTTCGATGGTGTGATCCCAGTGCACATGCTTCTTGCACAGCGCACGGCCCGGTCACCGGTGGGTGGACTGGGTAAGTCGGGGGCACGCACGAAGGCGGAGAGCGGGCACAGCTGGTTGGCCACTTGGCCGCCTGTCCAGCCGGTCGCGCAGTCGCGTCGACATGTGCCGGGCAGCAATTCAATCAGAGAGCGTTCCTCTGATACAGTTTAGGTAAGTGGAACGGACAAAAAGGTGGTCATATGTCGCTCGTTCGGGCGACGGGTTGCTGAGGGGTGCGTCATAGCGGTGCCCGCTGCACTGGCCTAGGGGTGAGGGGAAGGAAGGTAATGGGCAAGAGTCGAAAGAAGTGACGTGAGTGTGGTGGGACTGATGTGCGAAGCAAATAACGGCATATCCCACCTGGCTTTCGGCCGGATATCCACCAAGCGAGGAATAGCCTGACACTGTCCAAGATCCCGTCCGGCTCTCGTTACTGGAGCAGCTGATCAGCTACTGCGGCCTACTGGAGCTGGGGAAATGTGCCATGATCGATCTCCGTCGGGCTCGAGGCTACGAACGTCCCTGCTCTCGTGAAACACCAAACACTCCACGATCCCCGATCAGAGTTCGAGCGCTAGAATCTAGGCACTGGGCAGTCGTCGAGAAGCAGCACAGGGCCGGGTCCTGGTATTCTCATCTGTCTCGTGCAGTGGTTGCTGAACCACGAAACCGAGGGGCAATCCCAGCAGGTGGCCAATAGGCAACTTGACCTCTCCCGGGCGAGGTACAAGGGCGCAGCCGGATCCAGTGGGTCCAGTGTCTGGAGCAACAGCTGCAGTGCGGCGCTTGGCCGGACATCTCGCTCACGGCAGCTTCACAACATCGCTGCATCGTCACGTCGCACCGCGGCAACAGGAGCGGCCATTCGTTGCCCTCGTGACAAGGCAATGAAGAGCCAGTTCGAGTAACTCTCAGCACCGAGCTGTCTCCCGGCGAAGAGCGATGAGGAGCAAGTGGTCCACACACCTCGCAGGGATAGCATGGCAACGAATTGATGCCTTCGCGCTTCGCCTGGGGTAGCAATGACGTAGCGGTGGGCAACAGCTCGGGCTTCGTCCTCAGATTACACAGCATACGCTAGCGCCGCCGGTCATGGCGGCCGGAATAGCGGAACTCGCCTCAGCTGCAGCGGTGGCATTTGCGAATTGTCCGAGGACCTGCAAGGTCCCCCAGAATCTTGCCAGGTGCCTCAGTCCTCGATGCAGAAGTACTCCTCCGACCCAGGCGGGCCGGGGAGGATGAGGCTTGATTCTGCGTGATAGTGGGTGCGGCACAGCCCGCTGTAGCCCAAGATGAGCCGGTGAGCGCCCCGTGCTCACACATGCCCGCCTGTTCGCATGCTCGCAAGCACGCATCTTTAAGGGTTGGAGCCAGGGTACGAATGCATATTAGACATGATAGAGATAGTGCTCAATCTGCAGCGTGCATGACGTACCGATCCCCCCAGCCATCGCCTTATCCGCACGCATGTGTTGTTGTTTCAGCGTCAAATGTTCACCGTAGCGCATGTTATAGTCCTGCAGAAGGTTCGAGACAGGTGGGGATGAGGGAGAAAGGTTTGCACCCAGACGGGTTGGGACCACGTTTGGGTTTAGCGCGGCAGCTTCCGCTTGCTTGCCTGGTCGTCGTTGCGCGTAACACTCCCAGTGGAGATGGCACCGGATGACGCTGAAATGACATTGGAACGGTCCTCAAACACACAACATCCGTCGTCGTCGTCGAGCAAACCAGATCCAGATAGCAGATGGCTGAAACGCGATCGAGGGTCTGGAAGGGCTTCATGCAGATGAGACTATTCAGTAACCCCCTCGATTCCACCAACAGGCCCTGGCTTTATCCACAGGAATTCACCGAACTGGCTCACCGCAGCATCTCTTTCCGAATCATCTCCACCGAGCACCACTCACAACGCTCCCCAGGCCATTACGTCGTTCGTGTATATTGGGGAGAGCTACGGCCTGCATACCGCTAGACGCTATGGCAGTCACCTCGATTTGTCAAGAGTGATGTGAGCTGATAGCCGTTTTGGGCAGCTACAAGTTTTCAGTCGCCGGAGGAAACTTTATTTGCCGAGTTATAGTGGATCGCAACAGAAGCTTACGCTCCCTTACGGCCAGTTACGCTCAGCGCGAACGCATTCCGAGACAGTCGGCGGTGCACGCGAGAGCCGTGCAGCGCCGGAAAGCCCGGCTTACACCCGATAAGCGACTTCGCGGAAGTTGATTGTGGAGCATGGCTATGGAGCAGCATGGTCGTTGTCTTGGCATCGACATTGCCACTGCTGATACCGATGACGAGATGCAGGTTGCCAAAGGAACGGAACGGCTGCAGTGCGATATTGGTCTTTGAAGATGGTTGGACGTTGCCGCAGTTCGTGTCAACTGTTCGTAATTGTCCGGGACAGTTGGTATTAGCGGACGCACACGAGTGTATGATGAACGCCCCGTCATGGCTCTGGGAGAAGCGAGGACGAGGAGTCGACAGCTCACGAACATCGACAGAGGCGCAACATGTTCCACTCCCCACGCCCGGTTTTGCACCGTGGAAAAGGTTGAAACTAGGAAGCCTGACCTTCGAGCCAGAATCGCGAATTGCCCTCTTACGACTCCTATGTTGGAAAGCCCTCATTCCCAGCAACTGGCATGCATCGTGGGAAAGCATGGATCTAGTAAAGGCGTCCTCCGTTGCCGACTTTTGGCATCTGCTCACCGACGACTGAAGGTTGGGACACCTTCAGGCGGCACCGTGGGAAAGCTTGAAACTAGCGAAGGCCTCCTTCGACCTCGAGGACAGAAACTGGGATTGGATTTGAGTTCGGGATCAAAAAGTCATCCCAGTGCGGGAGCAAATCTGGGCCGTCCCACCCAGGAGCAGGGAGCGGGAGCAAAACCGCTCCCAAAGTCAGCTCAGTTTCAGGACGGCTGATCCCAATTTCGGATGGCTCATCCCAGTTTCAGAATGGCTGATCCCAGTTTCAGGATGCAGCGGGAGCAGAGTCGTTAACGGTCATCCCAGTTGCCTCCGGTTAGAACAGAGCTGTGTGGCACCAGGTGACCATAAGTCGAGCATCGATGCAAGGCAGGTGGTCTTGAAAGGTCACATCCGCTGGGTTACACCCGTGCTTCGGCAGCCTATTCGTCTTCACGCTGCATGACTCCGGCGAAGACACGATGTCTGGTCGTGCTAATGTTGGTATATGAGGTGCGGGTAGGTTTGGCGGCTGCGTTTCCCTCTCTCTGCCGTCTGGCAGCTGTGACATCGCACGCCCGGCCATCGGCATATCGCCGTCGGTACGGATTGTGGGTTGCACTTCTATCGTCCTACGTGTGCCGAGAATCGTCCGGGAATGAAGGGACTTCGGCTCCCGCGAACACGGGTTGCTGTGGCACACAACAAAAGAATAGACTTCACCAAAGTACATCCAACATCACTGCCCGCAACCGTTCAACGATCTGAGTGGACCCAGGCTCTATGCAAGTCTGCAAGTCGTGGACTGCGTGTGCTGGGCATCCAGCGAGGACGGGTCATCCGCTGTGTGGTCGTCTGCAGCCATGTCGTCGCATCATCAGCGGCTACAGCAGAGGCAACCGTAGTATTACCCACTCCTCCGCCCTCTGGCAATAGCGTAGATGTCACCTGGTCGCCGAGTCACCCGGCCACACAGCGTCCACAACAAACAGCGGCAACTATTCCGTAGGGAGGCCACTCATATGCTGATTTCCATGTCCAGCCCAAAAGCTGTCGATCGCCGATCAAGCCGGATCAACCGCCATCATACGACTGCGAACATCTCATCCGTCTGCCTGCTGTACCCGATGCTTCGAGGCTCATATGACCTTTGCGTCATCACTCCGAATCACAACACGGGGGACTTGGTGACCATCAGACACGCCAGCTCCGCGTCAAGTGACGGTACCCGAGGGCGGGCAAAAGGGCTGTTCGACTTCCGAGATGGAAATACAGGCCAAGGCGGTCAAGAGACGGCAAAGGCCCTCCCCGGCTGCATCGCGATCTGCAGCACACCAAGAGTGAACAGATGGTGCTTTCTTGCGGTATGGCCGCTACGAGTTGACGAAAACACAGAATCTGCCACATGGCCATGTTGGCGCGAGATGGGGGCCGGGGTAAGCCGCTGAAGGTATGGAGCCGTGGAGGCCCGAGCTCAACCTGAACATGTGTGCGGCAGGGCGCACTAAGGCGCCTCGGATCTGGGAGAATGACCTGATCGAAGGTTAGCTCGGGAGATGCATAATGATTGAGGGTTAGATGAGCCAAGGAGACGGAGAGCATCGGGAGGGGTGTGTGTGTGTGTGGATGCGATATTAGAGCACTACAGTGAGCAGACGAAGCGGAAGGGGCGCAAGGGGCAGGCATCACGGCGCCTTGCGCCTGGGCCTTAGAGCATTTCGTGTGCCTGGCCAGCTGTGCATGGTATGCCTTGTTCGCGCCCCAGACGCGCTGCAGCAGAGAGGCGAGAGAGGCAAGAGGCCAGGGCGTGCAGGGTTCGGCCGGATTCTAGGATCCAGTGCCCATGTCAGGGACATGCCAGCTTTTTTCCTTGGCCGTTGGCCATGACCTCGCTGTTTTCGCTGCACTCTTGAAGAACGCATTGCACGATACGTTGAATTGGCCTTTACGTGTTTTTTTTCGCTCGCTTTGCTCAGGCCATGCAGGCAGTGCAGTTCACCGCACGCACACTGCAGCGGCCATCGAGTATTCTGTCCGCAGAAGATCCAAGGTCAGCAGACTGCATTCTCAGGATCCCAGTCGCCATTTGCGTGGGCACCCGACGAATCAGACGCGACCCGCCGCTGCCCGGCTTGCCTGGGTCGGTGCACGCAGACAAAGGCCAACGTCTGCCTTACACTCGATCTAGGTCTAGCTCAGCCGGGTGCCGTGCCGTTATGCCGTGCCCTGCATGCATGCATGCTTAGAAATGACTGCACTAAGCAAGCTAAGCAGAGCACGAGCACAAGCACCCCCTCCCAAGCCCGCAAGCCTTAGCCTGAAAGAGTGCTCCCTAGCATAGCACGACCCTCCCCCGTGCTCCTCCGCCCTCTACTTGCAAGCTTTGCTGCGTCGCCGTACCTGCATCCACCCATTTCCCCTCGCCCCATCCCTCCCTCCCTCCCATCCCGCACATCCACCGACCCTCCGACCCACGCCAGTCCTTAGCACCTCGTTCACTCCTTACTCCTCCCTCATCTTCTTGCATCCTTTTTCCTTGCTCAGTCCTCGTCTCTGCTCCCCTCCCCCTTCCCCAGCTCGACGACCCTTCTCTCCTATCGCTTTCTCCCTTCGGCCTAAGGCTGGTCCACACAGGCATCCGCGCGTACCCGGCGTCCATCTCACCTCGAACGTCCCATCTCCGCACACTCTCTTGACCTCGACTTGACTCGACCGACACACGACCTTCACCGCTGTGTTTTCTTGTCATCTTGGATACTGGGACTGGACTTTACGACGCCAGGCGCCGCCCCGATAACGGTTTTTATTCGCGACCACCTCCCTAACCCGACGACTCTCACATCTCCTCCAGTCTCGACCGCCCAGACATCGCGTTCGACTCTCTGACGACCCGTCCATTTCCCCTCATCCCTCGCCCGACTCACTTCGGCACAGTATCACACGGCCCTTCGCACTCTAACACCGTCGACGCCACGTCCGAGCGATAGAGGGACGACGGACACACTCACCATGGTCGACTACAACACCGAGACCATCACTCCCTTCCCGCCTCTCCCGACAGCCTGGGACGAGTATTTCCCGAACATTCGCATCGGCTACCCCGCCCACCTCGCTCAGGCCGAGGATGAGTCTCACATCGAGCGCAGAGGTAAGACAAGCATCCGCGTGCTCCGCGTGCATTTAAGCCCGGCCCGAACCCCGCGCGTTACACAATTTTCCGGACCACCGCTAACGCTCGCAGCTCTGACCTGCTCCTCTGGCGCGACTAGCCTGTACAAGTATCCCGCGGCGCGTGATGTCGTAAACGCAACCGATCCCGTCAACTTTCAGTGGGACACCTCGTGCAAGGTCGGCAGCGTCGAGAAGATTGACCTGTACCTGTACATGCCGTCGGCTGAGAACGCCCTGCTGCATGCCTGGTCGGGCATCCCCTTCGCCGACGGCCAGTATGCGGCGCAGCTCTCGCCGTACTGGTGGAACCTGACGAAGACGGCCGACCTCTACGTCAACATCATGAAGCACCAGGGCCAGGTCTGGGAGAACACCTGGTCCCGCGGACCGTCTTTCTCGGTCATCTGGGAGCCTAGCATGACCTCGACCCTGTCGCTGCCGACGGGCACGGGAGTCGTGCAGGCGGTCGACGGCAACGTCTCGGGCAAGAAGGTTTCGAAGGGTGTCATCGCTGTCTCGGTCATCATCCCCATCGTTGTCATCGCCATTGCCGGTGGTGTCGCGTACTGGTTCTTCCGCGTGCGCGAGAAGGAGAAGCTGAAGCGCTGGTCTCAGGCCCTGTCGCAGCATTCGGCCATGGAGTGGGAGAAGGGTGCGCTGCCGGGCGAGCGCCTCAGCGCGTACGGTCGCCCGTCGTCGAGCTACCAGCGCTCGCGCCCGAGCACTGGCTACGGCCGTCCCTCGACTGGCTACGGACGGCCATCCTCGAGCGTCATGCTGGACAACATGGCCGGAGCGGGCGCTTACGGAAACGCCCGTTTCCCGGGGAACAGCACGGAGAACCTGGACGCGGACGGCAACATTCGCTCCTCGGTCGTCATGCCGGACGGCTACGTGCGCCAGTCGCGTATCTCGTTCGCGGACCAGGCGCGGCCACGGCTGTCGTCGTCCAACGACGCCTCGCGCCCGCACATCAGCAGCGGTCTGCACACTGCTGCCGTGTACAACTCTGGCTCGGCGATTGACGACGAGGAGGTGTCCCCGACGCAGGTCGACGGGCCATCCCCCTTCGGCGACTCGGAGATGCTGACTGCGGGCCAGAACCACACGGGTCTCGTGGACCGCAAGCTCTCGCCAGCCTACAAGACGGCGGACCTGCCCGCCGTCCCTCCCGCGGCCGCGATGCGCACGGACAGCGACGACCTCCGCAACATGCCTGCGCTGCAGTACGCAACTTCCGCGGACGACTTCAGCGCGCCCCCGCCTCAGCTCGAGGACCCCTCGCGCTCGCTGTCGCCCGATGCCAACTCCTCCGCCCACGGCCACAGCACAGTGCAGTACGGCCCGGACCAGATGCTGGCCGTGTACGCGGCGCGCGGCAAGGCCTCGTCGCCGGAACCGAGCAACCCGCCCCCCGTGGCGAAGAGCGGCATCCGCCGCCTCCTGACGCGCAAGGAGAGCGGGCGCGCCAGCGGGCGCGCGACCCCGACCGGCCGGCAGACGCCCAGCGGCCGTCAAACGCCCGCAGGCGACGCGCGTGGCGAGTCCCCCGAGCCCGTGTCTATGCGCTCTTACGTGCACCTTAACAATGGCACGGCGAGCAGCCAGGTCGTCGACGCGCTCCCGCCCCCGGGTCCCCCGGGAGCTGGACGGAGCCAGAGCCAGCAGGGACACGGATCCCAGCTCGGCCACGAGTAAGGCCCCCCTCATGGGGCCGTAGACTGTACAGATTGCTTAGTGTTTGTCTTGACCCATCCCTTTCTCTCTGATCGTATTTCATTCGGGTACTTATGAACGTGTTATTCTTAGGCAATGGAGCACGCGGGCGCCGTAGGCCTCCTTTCAAGGGTTGCAATGGCCATACTAGTCAGTCAAGACGGGGCGAGCTGAACGGCTGCGTTATGGAAGTGGCAGTGCGTGTGAAGTCTGTTAGTCTGGTGAGCAATACGGCCAGTCTGTGTGTCGCCTGAGATTCTGGAGATGTGAAGACAATGCCATAATGCTACAGGTGGATCTACTGGGTCGAAGCCGGCGCCGGCGCGGCGGCGGGGTCGGCGAGGTTGGCGCTCTGCGCGGCGAGCTGGGGTCAGCTGTCTGGGTAGAACACAATAGCGAGAATCAAGGCGGGAGGTAAGACCGGCTAGCTGATATCTTCGGCTACGCCGCTGCGCCGGCCGAGCGGCCAAGTCTGCGCATCCGTAGCCCCAGAAGAGGAGAGCGTCGCAGAACTTGCGGCGACTTTAGTTTCCTTCCGCCATGCCGCCTGGGACAAGGCCGAGGTAGCAGCGAGCTCGTTAACTTCGCGGCTCACAAGCCACTGCGGTCACCGTACTGAGCCAGAGTAATCTTCCGGCCCGTCATGTCACTCTGCTCCGCTCGCTGCTCGCCGAGCGGACACTCACCGCCTTCTGCTGCGCCTCGTACTCCTCCTTTCTGCGCTTCTTGACGATGTAGTTCTGGCCAATGACGACCGAGCCGTACACCTGATCGTCAGCTTCACGAACGTGGGTCTATAGCTGTTCCTCCGCTTCTCCGAGGGAGGACGAAGGGACTATGACTGTGTGCCGGTCCGCGCCCGGCACTCGGCCTCCAGTCGCCGCCAAGTCGAAGTCCGGAGGACAGTCGGCGGTGAGAAGTGTTCTCTTGCCAGAGCGGACCGCAAATGGCAATACTCACGCCGAAACCGATAGCGCCGAACACGATCGTGCGGTGGATAATGTCGGCGACGGAGAGGCGGCCCATGGTTGCAGAGTTTGTTGTCGAGGAGGAAGGGTGGAGGGCACACTTCATCGGGACGTCTCGTACTCTACTTTCCACAACACGGAGATTGATTCCCTCTCCGCGCATCTCCGAACGAAGACGGCGAGTCAAAAGTTCGGAATTGTCCTAACCACTTGCTCATCATCTCTATCACCTTGTCTCGTTCTTCCGGGCTTTATCTGACGACCAAAAGGCACCAGTGGCCAAACCTACGACCTCCGACTCGACCTACTGCCGAGTCCATAATCGCCAAAAGGGACGACACTCCACCGGTCTAGTCGAGTTCCCACATCCACCTTCCTCCGTCCCATCTCACCCTCTTCCGACACTACTGCGCCTCGCGAGCTCGCTCCGCTCGCTTGCTCACCTGACTCAACGCAATGGCTTCCAAGCTCGCCCAGCTGCTCACCACCGCGCGCGCGCTCCCGCCGACACCCTTCCGCGCCTCGGGGCCGCAACTGACCGACGCGATCGAGGGCATGGCGTCCCGCGCCTTCAACATGCCTGCCAAGTCGGATGTGCGCGATGTCGAGGCCAAGACGCTCTCGAGCTACGAGGAGGAGCGCGTTGAGCGCGCTATCGCTGCGCTGGAGCGGCTTAGGCAGGGGGAGGCGCTTAGGGAGGTGAGTACGGCGTGCGGCCCGTGAGAGGGGAGGGAAGGACCGAGGGAAGGGCTGCAGAAGGACGGAGGACGATGAGGGAACGCTAGGTCCGGCGCTGGAAAACTGCGTAGCGGCTGTGGCCGTCGTGAAGACTGCTCGATGTCGGTGTTGTCCCGGCGACGTGCAACGGCGAGGGCGGTGGCCAAGACCTGGCGGCCAATCACGTCGGGTCCGAATCACACGGCTGGCTTGGTCTTCCTCCACCGACTACGCTGTCTTCCTAGTCTGTCCTCATCGAGCACTCCGCTCTGCAAAACTAATGTGGAAATGTCTCCTCTCTTGGGGTTCTTCTAGAGAGGGCCTCTTGACTGCATCGCATTGAACAGCTGGCAACTGCCTTCCTCGACCATGACTCGAGGAGATTTCCTCAAACGGTCCGCATTGATGAGGAGAGCCACGCAGGCCGGCCAGGCTCGACTCTGGTGGACTCTTCACGATGTCTGCTCCCTGGGTCCTCTCTACATTCTCCCTTCCCTGATTCTAGGCGAGCCGCTGCTGCCAAACGCCCGAAGCGCACTGCTAACTTCAGTACCCGATGTCCAAGACGCTCCTGCACCCGCAGCACGACCCGCACTACTACACGCGTATGCGCGAGGGTGTCCAGCGCGCCGCGCAGGGCATCGGCCGTAGCTGGTGGAAGCGCTTCTTCCAGGTTCGCGGAAGGAATTAAGCGTCAGGTCGTGTGAGATGTCTCCGCTTGATCGCACCCGCTGTGTGGTGTTGCGTCGCGCCGACGCCGGAGGAGAGGAGGAAGTCAAGACGGCCCTGTCTCATGGTTGACAGGGCGTGTAACATTATGCATACCGCGTGTACATTTGGCGAAGTGCTTATCGCAGAACGGCTTACGACTCTCAACCTGTGGTCGACGCTGACTATCTGCTGACGCTCAGCTTTCGAGGCCTCTTATTCGCCAGACCGAGCTACACATAGTGCAAGACGTGTACGGAAACGCATGAGGTCTGGCAAGCTTATCGCAGGGTGGCTTGGAGTGCCGTTAGCTATCGACCAGCGGATCTCTGCGCTGCGAACTCGGTGGAAAATGGCTTTCTTCGTGGGCGGGGGCCAGGAACCCCGCACTAAAAGAAGTAGCTGCGATCGATGCCGAGACTCACCACAGCCTGCGATCTAGCGTCCTCTGCAAGCACTGTGCCGGAGCGTAACGGCGATGATTCACGAAGAGGCATCGGCTGAGTCGATAACTTCTGCTCAGCCATCCAGAGACGTGCGACACTTGCTGCTGCACCAGGTGTTGGGTGCGGAAGCGCTGTCATCCCGTCACAGTCGACTGTCACATTGAGATTCTCCGTTTGCAGCAAGGTATGAGAGCAGCAGCAGCCAGCGAACATGAGAACTAACGCACTAGCTACCGGGAGGTCCATTCTTTCTCTTGTCCTAGCTGCCACTTCAGGCCGCCCGGGCAGTCACATCACCTATCATCCTCGCCAGCTTCACGGCTGGCCGTGGCTAACCCGTCATCTTTCCTCGCTGCAGGCGCCGCGAAGGATCACTCCCACGGCGTCCAGTCACGACTTCGGCAGCCCAGCAACGCAACGTACCGCATGCAAACGGACCGGCAGCCATTAACGTTGCCACACGGCCTCACCCTTGGCCGAGCGTACGCCACAGCACTGCCCACTTAGTACACCGCGGACCAGTTCCACGGACGTCGAAGCTCCGTCCCCACGCACGATCCTGAAGTCCGCGCTGTGTGCATTCCGAGTTCCAATTCCGCGAACCTTCAGGTACTCGTGGGACTCTCGGACATCATGGAAATCGGCATTCTAGGCTCTCTTCCACGGCGAGCACGGCGACGACCTTTGACGTTCCCACTCAGGAGCTCACAACATCCCATGCCTCCGCGATGAGCAATATCCCCTTCCGTAGCGCCGATGAATGTGCTTGGCATGCCATGTCAGTGTCTTTTTCGAGCATTGAGATTCCCTCGGCTGTCGACAACAGCCGTTAGCTCCATCACCGCTCTACTGTCGAAGAAGCCCGGAGCCCGGACCGCACTGACATTCCGCTCACACACATCCGAGGCTAGCAGGGACGCAGATCACGGATCTCTTGCGTAGCCTCGCTAGCTGACGCGAGCTCTCCGACCCCGCAGCTCCACTGCTTCCGACCTAATGGCGCCGATCGTTACGCCGTCACCGCCAGGGACACTGCCACACTCCATGCCGAGCCCACAATCGACAGCGCGCGGCACCTAGGCATCAACTCGGCCGGTAGGCTACGCCGTGTGTGCGCCTCGTGCGTCATGAGCCTGCCTCCGCTTCGTGTCAGCATACCGCGCGATCTTCGCCCCATTCCCCACTCGGGGACTGGTGTTGAACCCGACGGCGTCGGGTTGTCGGCCTGTCGGGTCGGGATAGCACTTCGGTCCACGATCCGCGGCTGTCCAGCTAGCCCTGTCCAAGAGTACTCGTGGATCATGGTCCACGAAACGACCATGGGAGCGGCCGCTGGCAGTCCTAGCCGCCGAACGAGCCGATGCGTCATACGCGCAGCGTCTCTCAGTGGTGGCACCTGTCACTCAAGGTGACATGCTCATCACGAATGTGACAATCGGGAATACGGATGAGGAAACTGGCATCAGTAGTCGGCGATCGATACGCGCCGCGATCAGGACAGAGACACATAACAGGCGGAATGAATGAGTGACCTGAGCTCCAAACATCGACGACAGAGGACAGCGGGTGACACGGAAAGGCTCTTCAAGTGGGATTTAAGTCAAGGTTCCTGACGTTGACGAGGAGCATGACAGGCTGAGAACATTCTGCAGTAGTGACCAGGGTGATGAGCGTTACGCTTGGAGAAAGTTCGACCCCGAGGATGATGTTTGTTGATCATCACTGAAGATCGAGTCGCTTCTGTTGTTGGTTACAACTGCAACTCCATCTGGCACCTGTTGACTTCGACAATCTCGAGTGCCAACGCCACGGAGTGTGCATGCACTCCGAGCCAGAGTCCTTTTTACGTAAAGTGGTCACGTGCAACATCGGCGATAGCGCCACGTGGGTCGGATTTTAGCGCTAAGGAAACGATTTACGCCACGAACTCTTCCTGGGGAGCGGGAATTCGGCGGTAACGGTCTCAGCCTGGCTTGTGCCTCCACCGCTGAGCCCGTCGAACGTCGAACAGAGAGCAGGCCGGTGGATCGTAGCGACTCCTCAACCATCAACCAATCTCCCCGACAGGCCCGACACGCCAGCCAGGAGAGCTCTCAAAACACATCAAAAATGGCCCAGATTCCCGCCGACGTTCAGAAGGTCGCCGACTCCGGCTCCGTCCTCCTCTTTGGAAAGTGGGACGCCCAGGAGTGAGTAGTTCGAGAAGGCTCGGAAGATTGGAAGGCAAAGGCAGGCAAATTCGATCGACGGATTCAAGTCAAGCGACCGACTGGCGAGCATGGAATGGCAGCGACGGGAGGACTGGAGACGGGGAGGGGAAGATGAGAAGTGGAACGGAGCGCAGGAATGGAGTTTGGAAGCTGGAGTTTCTGTCAACAACGATCGACTACAGACGACAGAAGGACCGCGGCCGACATGTCTTGCTATGGCGAAAACGACCATGGACGACAGTGTTGTTTACGATGGAGAGGGGAGTGGAATGTGCTTGCGGTGGTTGTTGCCTTCGTCGCTGAGCTTGATTACGCTTGAAATTGCCTGCCTGAACCGACCTGCCTTCCGACCGAGCTCGACAGTTTCGAGAGACGTTTCGCTAACCTTACAGTGTTGAGGTCAAGGACATCTCGCTGACTGACTACATCAACGTCAGCCACGCTGTCTACGTCCCCCACACTGCTGGCCGCTACGCCAAGAAGCAGTTCGCCAAGGGCCGCATGCCCATTGTCGAGCGTCTCGTTAACGCGTGAGTTTGCCGAGAACAATTCGCAGGAAGCAAGACTGACAAGCAGCCTCATGATGAACGGCCGCAACAACGGCAAGAAGATCATGGCTGTCCGCATCGTTCAGCACGCTTTCGAGATCATCCACCTCGTCACCGAGCAGAACCCCATCCAGGTCCTTGTTGACGCCATCGTCAACACCGGCCCCAGGGAAGACTCGACCCGTATCGGTTCGCAGGGTACCGTCCGTCGCCAGGCTGTCGACGTTTCGCCCCTCCGCCGTGTCAACCAGGCTATCTCTCTCCTCACCATCGGCACCCGCGAGTCGGCCTTCCACAACTCGAAGTCCGTCTCTGAGTGCCTTGCTGACGAGCTTGTCAACGCCGCCAAGGGCTCCTCGAACTCGTACGCCATCAAGAAGAAGGACGAGCTCGAGCGTGTCGCCAAGTCCAACAGATAAATGGTCTTTGGTGGTACCGTCGGGTGCTGGCATCAAGTACTCGTATGCGGTGTACTCGTGCCAACATGCCTCGGATCATTCTGCGGGGTCTGTGTACGAGAGTGGTGCGGTACAGAAGGACTTTGTTCCGAGCTCGGGATGGGACATAGATTTTCTGCATCGAATTTCCAAACAAAGGCTGCAGTCGCAACGGAGAAGACTGTACGGAGGTGGTGAACTGATAACAGCGTCGTCAGAACGGGGAAGTCTATGCTGATCCGCCTTCTTCGACTTGCTCCGCGATTGCACGGACTTCTGCATGTCGTGCGAGTCGGCGATCTGCGATGCGCTCTACATCTCCGCAGAATTCATCAGTGGCTAGACTGCCTGCTCCTATCGGCCATCGGCTCGATCGCTCGCTTCGCCCGCGGGAAGACTTCTCTGGGGCTCTGCATTTTGCCACCCAACTTTGACGGCCAAAGGTGCCACAGACGCGGATCCAGATAATGCCGAGAGAGTCCAATCCCACGAGGAAGCCACGCGAGACAAACAAGCGGGACCAAATATGATAAGATGTGATAAAGCGGAGTCTTCCCGCGGCCCGTTGTCACTTGACGTCACAGGTGCCTGGACTGAGTTTCGTTGGTTCGCGCGTCAATTCAGCAACGAGTGGGAAGTGCATGCGAGTGCGGAAGAGAACGTTGTGCACAGCACTTACAGGGGTGCAGGGGACGCACATGGGCCGTGAGACGCGTGCAACGTGCTGCGGCCTCTTGCTTTAGGCCACGCCCTGCGTTTTACACCTTGATACTGACCGCGATGTAAAGGAAGGAAGGATAGCCAAGGTCCAAAGCGAATGGCCCACGACGCACCGGACAACGAAGCCGCGCGTCGTGTTCTGCTGCGTGAACTGCGAACACCGGACGCAATTGGGCAGGTGGGCTAGTCAGCCCAGCTGACCACTCAGACTCAAGCCGTGAGCGGGTGCGGGCATTTACCTCGGGCACCTGAGGCTCTTACTGGTGAGCGGGATTGCCTTGGGATAGGTCCACGGTCCCTGGTTCTGCTGGGCGTGGGCATGAACAGAGGACGATCACTGATCAAGGGGTCAGACGGAACTCCCAACCTCTACACACTCTACAGTGGAGGCAGCGATCATCCACCAGTCCGGCCGGGCCGTGGCTGTCTCACGGATGCACTTGGCGAGCTTGCCAGCGAAGATGTCGCCTTCAAGGCGCGGGTCCACGATCTTATCGATCGATCACAAAGCTGTTAACTTCGGGGGGAGCGAGTGAAGTTGATATCTGAAGTCAAACCGCGTTCACCACTCCGCCACAACGCCGATGGTGATTGATTCTGCTCAATCTCTGAGGCCAGGGATCGACTGAGTGGTGGATCACGAAAGCCGTGTGTTTGTACAGTGCCCGCCCACCCCTCAACGCATTGGGACTGTCGCACAGGGCTTGTCGGACGCGTCGCCGCCAAGAAACCCTGTTGACAGATGAATTCAAGACGCCTTGGTTGTCCTGCCCGTCTGTGCCTTCGCCGCTGCCCTGCACACTTTCTGCCCGCCTGCCCGCCTGCCCGCCTGCCACCCTGCCCCTCTCTTTTTCCAGTGGCCCTGCATCTCATCTGCATTCTGCTAGAGTGCTTGGATATCCTTCGCCACGCCATGCCATATGAGCAACATCGGTGACTCACCTCATCTGTGATATCAGCCTCACCTTCGGAGCTGACCTCTGATCGCGCGCCAGTCAGGTAACCTTGCCAACTATACTACCCTAGAACCCTGGAGAGGTCGGAACACTGCTCAGCCCATCATCCGAACGTGTGCAATCTCAAGGTGGGTGCGAAACGCAAGAGGTAGCGTAGAGTTTGCAAAACTGGCCTTCCTCATGATCTGGTAGCATCGACTTCCGCACTCTGCGTGTCCTGATAACGACTGCGCGTTGTTATTCCGCACGTCGACACGTCGTGCTATCGTGCCGAGCCAGGGTTCCGGGACGGACACTGTAACGGATGTATGACGAAGTGTCCGTCGTTGCTGCCGCTAGTTTCTGCATGGCAGGGTATACTGCGCGGTGCCCCCACTCTCTGGCGCGAGTCCCGGGACAGTTCACGCGTATCACGCTTGTCCATACCCTTCGAAGTTATTTATGACATTGGGGATGCTCTACCCCAGAGACGCAATAGCGGCTAACCCGCCAAACCCATTAGCCTAGGCTGCTACAATGTGCAAACCAAGCTCCGCTGTGAACGGACTGCGGTGACAAAATCCGTGATCCGGTGCACCTCGTTGTCGGGCTCCGGTGAACATGTATTCGAATCGAGGTGATAACTTTGATAGACACCTCCGCGTCGCGTGTGTGAACCACTGATGTATGCAGTACCCAGCTAGGTTCTAATACCCCGTCGTGCCGCTCACCTTGTGATATACGCACCCCTCCTGCGGTAATAGCTGCGCAAATGGCTTTCCAGCTTCCGAAAGAACAGTGGCGGACCGGTGTCACCAATTGACACGGTCCCACTGCGCAGAACGTTCATGTGTTGCGTCGCGGAATCTGGGATATTAGGAACCGGCGGCCGAGGCATGTGATTGAAATTATAGAACTGCGGACCTCCGGAACATGGAGCAGTTTACCTTGCCCGGCGCAGTCGACCGTGAGCATGACATGCCGAAGCAGAGCACCGAGCCGCCGGTCGGGCAAGACCAGCGGAAGTGGTTCGTACCCAGCATGTTATGTTCTGCGACGAAGCCCACAAGCATCCCTCTCTAGCATGATATTTTCGTCAGTGGCGCACGCGGCCTGCTTTCTCGGTCCATCGTCTCGAGCAATTCTATAACCCCTAAATCCCCTCGCAGTCTTCGTTTCCTGCCACTTCCTCACGCTCCCCATGGGCACTCGATACGGCGTCAGCTGGACCTTCTGTACTAGTTTGCCGAGCAGCCTGACCATCGAGAGCGAGAACGTTTCATCGTGCGGAAGTCGTGATTGGATTGAGACAAGCAGGAAACCCCTCCCGTATTGTTCGGTTCCCTTCCCCTTTGACGTAGCAGAAGTCTTGGAAAATTGGAACGCGCGCTCATGGGCAGCGCTTGTGTGGTCAAGCTATCAGTCGTGTTTCGATTAGTGTGTGTTGTCGCCTTCAGCCCGTGCCACTCCCATGAGGCGACACAGCGGCCAAGACTCTTCTATCACCAGTGGTATCAGACGGCCACCAACAGCATGAGTAATTTAAGCCAGTCTCCGGCGAAGACCAGGGAAGTATTAGCTAAGTGGTCTGCATCGGCCCGCATCTATCATACATGGAGCCGACAGCCTCGGCGCTTGCGGGTGAACGGCGCCATGGAGGGGTAGCCATCGCACACCCAGTCGAAAATGTCAATGCTGCAACTGTTGCCTTCGCTCTGCGACGATCGACGTTTGGTGCGGACCTGAAGGGATCGTCGATACTTGGGCCTGACAATCGCGATGCACTATGGAGTGAGGACAACCACGACCACACATCCTTCCGGCGTCGGAGTGGCTGCCATGTGTTGGTATTGTGATAGGTCACGCTATGCCGCTGAGCATGACGTTCTTTGACATGGTTTAGCGGCCCTGCGCTTAAGCTCGCTTGCCCACCAGAGATCTCACTGGCATAGATGCCGCAGGCGTGCTGGCAGGCTGTCAGTCTCGAAGATAGCGGGCAGCGGTCCGCAAAGGTCGGTCTTGGCGGTGACTACCATTAGTCCCTTGGTAAGCGAGGTGTCAACCCATAAGGCGCACCTTGGCCTCCTGTTTTTCGCTTTAGATAACAGACCGACCGCGGCGGTGGAAATGAGCCGAGTACCGTCCGGAGTGAGCATGATACATCAGCGGAGTGATAAGCGACGATCCCACCAGCGGAGCCGAATAGCACCCGGTGAGCATGGCAATGTCGTTGAGCGCCTTACCGAAGGTGAGGCGGAACGGGGTATGGATGCCTCCAACACCGAGCTTGGTGACATTCGACGCGTTCTGGTCCGGGTCGCGGCCCGGTCCGGGTCCAGAAGCCATGTCGCTTCGAAGCTTGCCGCGCTGCAACGACTCCCGCCTACAATGGCTTTACAGTGCGCGTTATGCTCGACCCATCTTGGACCGGCTGGGAGCTGGCTGACATGCATAGCCATTCGCCGGCTCCCCTCTCAGCTAAAGAGTGACTGCCCGCAGGAGAAGGCAACTGTGACCTTCAAGGCACAGGCAGTGCTTGAGCATCTGATTCGCAGACGAGGCGCCGGCTTACACAACTGAAGTGCCCGCCAGTAGTGGGTCGAGGAGCTAAATGGTGCCTTAATCAGCTCTCACCAAGCTCACTCAGATGGCAGAAGAGATGGCCGGTGCGGACAGTCGACGAGAGCCTGTGCGGCGGTCCTCGGCGCGAGCCGCGGCAGGGCCGTGCATGCGGCTCTGTACTCGTTGAGGCTGCGATGCATATGTTCAAATGTCGGCAAGGGTTCGGCATGGAGGAGCCCTTGCCCACCGCAGAAGTTTCGGGTCGACGCCGCGAGCCGTTATGCATCAGCCACCGGAGAGTGTGGCGCGATCACTGAATGTCTCGCACTGAGGCTGACAAGAGACGAAGACGGCAGGGTGGCGCGCCGCATGAACCCCGTACACAGACAGCGCTGATCCATTCCACCCGCCTCTGATCAACGTGGTATCCGATGAGCGCCCCGTCGTTCCTTTTCTAGGCTTTTAAACACATCCTTCACGGGCCGCCTGTCAATGATTGTACAGAGGTGTCCAAACCAACGGTAGACTCCGAATGGCTCATTGAAAGTCCGACTTGAATGGAGAGGTAACTCAGGAAGAGAAAGACAGAAGGAACGGATCTCGCACTGTAGTAATTGATCTACCGCCCTGCCATAGATTTCAAGGCATAGCAGAAATCCCGGAGATGGGGGCCAATGATCATTGCTCAACATGTGCACATCCGCATGCGCAGGCATGTGGTGGGAAGCCAGGGATGAACCACATCGTCAGCGTACCCTATGGCCTTGCTTCTGCCCTTTATGCGTCTTAATGCAGTCACAGCTGTCGGAAACGGGCCTCGTTATGGAGCAGACCGGCTGCGACGAGCGACAAGAGCCAAAGTTCGGCATCATCCCAACTTACCCCTGAGGAACAGGCTTATTACTTCCTCCCTGTCGCGTGCGCGTACGCGTGTACCCTCGGGCAAGCGAAATCCGATCACAGAAGCCCGGCAGCTGTTCTCGGAGGGTCATGACAAATGTAATCCATTATCTCGTAGGTTAGAAACACATGTCAGCATGTCAGAGCCATAGCGAACGCCGAGGTGGCATTTAGATTGACTCTATTTGGGTGCACGCGCGCGCGCGTGTTGGGCCCACGGGTGATGGAGTATATCCACAGTGTCGGTGCAGGAGGAATGTCTGAGAAGAGTAAGATAGGGCTTAGGGAAGGTCCGGAGGAGCTCAAGTCGCCACATACCGCGGAAAAGTTGACAGGGTTCGTCGACACGGGCTGCTCCAGGCACTTTAGGTAGCAGGCCCGAGGACATGCAACAGGGAGCGGTTCAGAATCCCTGGGCGTTTGGCTTACCTGAACGTGGTACACCGCCGAGGCTGACGTTGACAACCCCTGTGGAAGTAAGCAGCCATTTGCTGGTCAAATCGCAGAATAACCAACCCCACGGCCGCCGCCGTATGTGCTGTATGCCTAGGCAGGATTGAACCCGGAAATCGCCATTTTTTGGAGCTCATGGCTCGTTCGTATTCCATGGAGACCCAAAATCACATGCCGTTCGAACTTATACGTCCTTCCCCCACTCAAACCATAGTAGCAGCATGCATGTCTGTCAGCCGCGGGAAAAAGCTTCATAGCCCTGCGGTGCAAGTTCAGAGCTCTTGCTAAACCTATGTCGCTACTCTCGCCCTACTTCGTGCTGCCAGAGCACTATATGAGCGTCTGCATGCCGTCTTTAACACTTATTGTCCTACAAGGTTTGTGAAACCCGTGAGGATGTCGCAGCGAATGTAGGCCTTCGAATCGTATTGGGAGCTGGTGTCTCTATGCAGAGGCGGAGGGTCTAACAAGGTCATCGGGTCTTCAGGACGAGCAGGTTTGGCTCTATTTTACAAATGCTCTGGAAGTCAGCCTGACACAGGTCACTGTAGGGAAACCCTTGGCCGAAGTCCTAAGTGGATGGCCTTGGTCCTCAAGCCTTCCTCAGACTATGCGGGAACTGTAGTATGATAGTCGGCGGCCAACCCGGTGCGGACAGGTTGGCGCGCCTGGTAAGCCTGGGCCAGAACCGTGAGCCTGGTTGGCCGAGCAGTCTACCCATGCACCCAAGCAGACTCGTGCCGTGCCGTTGTGCTGCTGCGTGCTGCGTACCTACCGGCGAGCTGGTAATTATCACCAGATTTCCAAAGGATCACAGGATGTGTGCCTGCGACCTACTCCTAGGTCTTCCCCTCAGCAGCTCCAATTGAGGCAGAATCGCCTGGTGCAATCCCGCCGCGCCTGGCCCCTCCCATCCACTTTCGCCACCAGCCCTCCTTCCCTTCTTAGCCCCTAGCTCCTCCACTTCATGCATGCACTGCTCATCTTGCTCCTACTCAGGCCAACAGACTTACCCACTTTGCCTGCCCTCTCCTCTCAACCGACCTTCGTACTCTGGCACTAGTTCCAGTTCAGTGGCGACGAAATAAAGAACTTTGTTCGCACTAGACAGTCGACTTCCGACAGAGTCCATCGCCCGCCGGTCTGTTGCAGTTCTGCGTCTGGCCACCTTTCGACTCGTTCATAGCACCGACATTCGATCGTATCGACTCTCCGAGTTTCGCATTGCTCCTCCCACCATCTCCATCCCTGCCTATCGTCTCTTTTGTTCGCCAACCCCTTCTACCATCCGACCACATCCACAGCGAACCCTCCATCGCCCCCCTCTCCCCTATCTCTGTTCTCCGCTACCCTCGGCTGTTCGACTATAGCAACGGTTCTTTCAAGTGGCAATTGCGCGTCTCGTTCACGCCTCTAATATAACGAACTCCAGCCACAATCAAGACTCCGACCCGATTGATCCTAGCCCGAGTGCAGTGAAGATCAAAGTCCACCTGGTCCAGCCATCCTTTGCATTGTTGAGTAGCGTAGCCGGTGGTTGTGCATTTGAGACACGCTCCGGTCAGGATCACTATGTCTCGGCCGTCTGGTGACATCGATCCGCCCGACGTCGAAGCCGAGGGATCGCGCGAAAGACTCCGTGAGGTGTCGGCCAGGTCGACCTCTTCTGGAGCTGGGCGTTCGCCGCCAGGTGCCAACACGTATGTGTTCCCCATCCGCTCCGTCTACCAGCGGGAGCAAGCGCTCCAGGCGCGAGAGGATGCTAAACACCTGAGGACAAGTCCCGGGAGCCCCTCTCTCGCCCTTGGCCTCAGCGACGCCATTTTCCATGCTCCTCCCTCGCCTCGCCCATCCGGATTGCAACGTGCGTCCTCCGACAATATCCACGACACGATTCACGAAATGCTTGAGCATCGCGGTGATCTGGCTTCCAACAGAACTATGACAAGCATGTCATTCATCCCCAAGTCGAGTTCCAGTCGTGGTTCACTTCCCTCCCCTACTTTCAGCGGCTCTTCGAGTCTCCCGAACGTTTCAGCGGAATCGCCACCAGCCTTCCCGGAGTTCAATCGTCCTTCTTTCTCCGCCCGGCCTACAGCCGTCCGAGTGCCTACGGTAACTTCGTCCAGCAGTGGTGGCACCAGTGGCGCACAAGCATTGTCTTCTGGTGAACAGGGTTCGAAGGATTCAAACGAACTCGGTGTGCCAATTTCGCCTATCACGTCGGTGTCCCAGGATCCGCTCTCCATGCCCTCTGTCTCACCACCCCGCAAAGCTTCGGCCACTACCATGTCGTCCTCCGATCTTCCTGTGACTCCTGCAACGGGTAGCATAGGAAACCCTGCTGAGCCGCCACCTCAGCCACAAACCAACGACGAGCCTGGTTCAGGAATTTTGGAAGCGGCAGACACAGACGGCTCAAAGTCACCCGTCACACGTCTTGAGCCGAACGAGGAAGGTCTTCCTTCCCTTGTCAACGACTTCATGGACATCATTCGACTTGACGGTGCAGTGCAAGTACCCAGCCCCAGTAGTAACGACAACTCTGGGAGATCGGGTCGCAGCACATTGCATCAGCCAAATGTACCGCCTTCCGCTGTCTCTCGGATAGCCAGTACCATGATCCCCAATTCGACAAACCTGGGCCCTAGTATCATTCGCCACGACCAGTCGGTGTCCGGTTCCACGCCATCGAGGAGTACCCGCAATAGGGCAGCTCAGGCGCAAGCGATGAGGGAACAGAAGGAACATTCCGTGCTCGACTTCATCAATGAGCAAGCCCGTACGGTCCAGATCTCCGATCCCAACGAGGCGTCACCTTCCACCTCGCCAGTATCCGACAGTGAGATGCCTCAGTCGGAAACATGCTCGTCTTCTCAGGAGGATTTCCACATTTATGCACCCAAGGCTGAACGCTGGAACGAGGGCCAGGGGAAGGCGGAATCCATCAACACCTCCCCGAGCAGCGATCAGCGCAGGTCTGACAACTCGACAACCGTGGGCTCTCGCACCAACACCGGTACCAACACGGGTACCACCGGCACTGGCACCGGGACGGGAACTGGAAGTGGCTCTAGGCTCGACAGCGCTCTGGCTACCAGCTCAGACCTTGATTCGCCGGAGCCCGTTGTCACCTTCCGCTTCCAGCACGTGCAGCGTGACGACGGCCATCATGTCATTACGGGACGTGAGGGTGCTATCGTCCGCTGCGAAGACGAGCCAATTACTACACCCGGTGCCATCCAGAGCTTTGGAGTGCTTATGGTGCTAGAGTGGGACTACGAGTCTGGAAATCTCATGGTTCGACAGGTCTCGGAGGTAAGTTTACAAGTGTGAGTTTGCGTGGCTGACGTAAGAACTCAACCGAAATCCTGGGTCTCAGCCCGAAGTATCTCTTCAGTCTTGATTGCTTCACAGAGGCCTTACCGCCCCGCCAGGCCGATATTCTTCAGGATACTATCGAAGGCCTCGGGGAAGCCATCGAATCGGACAGTGAGGCGAAGCATGCCAACGAGGGTCCGCAGATCTTCCGCTTGTCGGGATATTCCGAGACTGATGCTCCGGACGATCCGACCGTTCTGGGTGACAGTGCTAGTGCTACTGGTTCTCGAAGCACCCAGAGCTCTACTTGGCGCACAGAGTGGACTTGTTGGGTTGCTGCACACCGACCCAGGCAGCCCCAGTGGAACCGCCGTGATGAGAACGGAAACCCCGTACCGCCCCCTGACCTCATCATTCTGGAGTTTGAACTGGAAACCGACGTCTTCAACCCTCTGACCAGACCCGCAAAGGGTGAAGGAATGACTTCCGACTTCCCCACACCCAATTCGCGGCTGGCCCAGCTTTCTTCCACCAACTCTTCCAGCAGCATCCGACCCACGACGGCCCCAACTACCTCGCCCAGCAGTGACGAGCATTTCGGCCGCGTACGCAGAGGAAGCTCTGGTATCGAAACTGAAAGCACCGTACCAACTACTGTGCAATCCGACAGCGTCTCTAGCATCTTCTCTCCCATGGATGATGATTGCCAGGACGTTCCTATGGGAATCGACGGCAAAGACGAAGACGTCCCTCTGGAGCGTATTTTAGCGTCGACAACGAACCACGCGAAGCCTTTGCGCTGTATCGGTGTACAACGCCAGCTCCGCGACCTCTGGCATACTAACAGCGAGAGTGGCTCGTCTGTCCAAAGTGCAGCGAGAGGTACCAGACGGGGACGTGGCGGACGCCGCACCCGTCGGCGCACTGGCGCTAGCAGCGTCACGGACGCCCTCGATGTGTTCTCCGTTCTCAACCAAGTCAACGACCAGCTTGGAAGTGCTCAAGATTTGGAACACTTCCTGAATATCGTTGTTGGAGTCGTGAAAGATCTCTGTCGCTTCCACCGAGTTCTCTTCTACAAGTTTGACGAGGACTACAATGGAGAGGTCGTGAGCGAGCTCGTCGATTGGGGAAGGACGACCGATCTTTGGAAGGGTCTCCGATTCCCCGCCAGTGACATTCCTCCCCAGGCTCGCGAGCTTTACAAGATCAACAAGGTCCGATTCCTCTACGATCGCACTCAAAAGACGTCCCGCCTCGTTCTGAAAGACAAGTCGGACCTCGAGTATCCCCTCGACATGACTTTCTGCTACCTGCGCGCCATGTCTCCCATCCATCTGAAATGTACGTTCGCGCAACGAGGACATCGTGTTCCTGCCTGCTGACTTCAGACCTCGCCAACATGGAAGTGCGATCTTCGATGTCCATCTCCATCATGGCCTTCGGAAAGCTTTGGGGTCTCATTGCTTGCCACTCATATGGCCACCATGGCAGCCGCGTTTCGTTCCCTTTGCGACAGATTTTCAGCCTCATGTCTGACCAGATCTCGCGCAACATCGAACGTCTCACGTACGCGCATCGACTCAACATGCGTTCCATGATCCACGGGGCGGCCAACGCCCCCGGCCCTGCTGGTGCGAAGTCGAAGAAGAGTAAGCGCCGCGGCAACCAGAGTTCAGATGGCCCAGAGTCATCCGCTAGTTCTTCGAGCGGTTCATACTTGGTATCGAACGCCGACGCACTCCTGACGGTTTTCGATGCCGATGCTGGTCTTCTGGTCATCAACGATGGTTGTAAACTTCTAGGCCAGAGTGAGCAGGGTCACGCCATGCTGGCCATTGCCGAGTATCTTCGCATAGCCAAGTTCACGGAGATCAAGTCGTCGTTCAATATTCAGAAGGACTTCCCTGACTTGGTTCTGCCTCGAGGCACGGACACTATCGCGGGCATGCTGTACATTCCGTTAACAACGGAGGCCGGCCAGGACTTCATCGTATTCTTCCGCAAAGGTGAAGTGTACACCATCAAGTGGGCTGGTAAGCCCTACCGTGACCCGTCGCAGGTGACGGCCGCCGTCCTGGAACCTCGCGCGAGCTTCAAGCTCTGGACGGAGAACGTCACTGGTCGCTCTCGAGTTTGGACGGACGATCAACTGGATGCCGCTGGAGTACTTTCCATTGTCTACGGAAAGTTCATCCAAGTGTGGCGCGAGCGTCAGAATACCATGGTGTCCAACCAGCTTACAGCTATTCTGCTGTCCAACACTAGTCACGCAGTGAGAACGCCTCTGAGTCAAATTATCAACACGCTGGAGCTCGCCATGGCGGGCAACATCGATTCCGACACCCGCCGCATGTTGGAGAACAGTCACCAGGCCTCTCGTGCCTTGCTCTTCCACGTCCACGATTTGCTCGACCTCACCCGTATCGAAACTGGAAACGAGACAGCATTCAGTGACCCCTTCGACTTGAAGCAGACTATCACCGACACCGTGCGTCTCTACGAGACCGAGTCAAAGCGTCGTGGTATCGACTTTACCGTCAACGTCGACGACGCCTTGCCGCGAATGGTCATCGGAGACTCGCGCAAGATCCGGACGCTTATCTCCAACTTGGCGGCCAATGCCGTCAAGTACACGAAGGACGGCTACATCGACATCAGCTGTCGTATCGAGCCTGGCACGGAGCCTATGCCTTCGCATGCCCCTGGTGAGCCTGGTGTAGTCTCTGTGGAGATCATCATCAGCGACACCGGATGCGGCATTCCTCCGGGCAAGCTGGAGTCGATGTTCATCACGATGGAAGGTGCTGAGGACCGCAAGGAGGGCGGTGTCGGACTGGGTCTCGCCGTTGTTGCTCGCATTGTTGAGCAGCTTGCTGGTCAGCTTCGCGCAGAGTCCGAAGTCAACAAGGGCACCAAGTTCTACTTCACTTGTAACATGGGCATCTTGGAAGACGGCCAAGTCGTCCGACCTACGGCGCTTGGTGACCACAACTACATTCCGGGCTCGTCCAAGCGTCTGATCGGCGGAACACCAAGTATTGGGTCGTCATTGGCCTCCAGCCGCCACAGCAAGTCGTCTTCAAAGTCTAAGCGTTCCTCCAAATCCGGCAAGTCGAGCAAGTCTGGCAAGTCGAGCTCGAGCAAGTCTGGCTCAAGCACGTCAGGTAGCAAGTCCGGTGACTCCGCCTCTAAGGTGTCGACTTTGGACTCTGGTGAACGCTCCAAGTCTACGGTGTCTCAAGATTCATCTGGAGTCGCCTCTGCGTCCTTCCCAACGGCCGACCTGTTGAAGCGCCGAGGCATTACGCCGTCCGCGAGCCCAAACCCGACGACGACCAGCAAGACGAAGTCGAAGACGGGCATTTCCTCAGCTGCTTCTCCGGATAGTGATCTCCAGGAGAGGGGGTCATTGAAAGAAGGAGAGGTCAAAGAGGTCGCAGCGCCCACATCCGAGAAGGCCGCCAGCATAGCGCCCTCGACAATCACGGAACGTCCGATTCTGCGACAGCGCAAGAGCCCGAAGGGTCTGCCTATCCTGAGAGTGCTTGTTGTCGAGGACGACATTGTCAACAGTCAGATCCTCCAAAAGCGCTTGCGCATGGAGCACCACAATGTCATCGCTGTCACCAACGGCCAGGAGGCTGTTGATGCCCTTTCGAGGGATTGGGACATCGACGTTGTGCTCATGGACATCCAAATGCCGATCATGGATGGTTTCCAGGCTGCCGATGAGATTCGCAGGCTTGAGTCGCGCATCAACACGCTGGAGGGTATCGACCCCGTTCGAGTAGACGGACGTATCCCCATCTTCGCTGTGTCTGCTTCGCTTTACGAACACGACCGCGGTAGCCTGTCGAAGAACTTCGACGGTTGGATCCTGAAGCCTCTCGACTTCGCTCGCGTCCGCTCGATCCTATCCGGACTGGAAGACGACACCAAGCGCGATGCTGAGGTGTACAAGGCTGGCCACTGGGAAGCCGGTGGCTATTTCAATGGTGCGAATCCTCCAGCTGCGTCGGGTACCTCTTCGACGCAGCTATAATCTGTTTCAATCATATTTCCTCATTATCTCCTGGTCGTGTTACAATCCTGTCGGGCCCTTTGCCGATTCGCCATACCGCAACCGCATCTGCTGTGACTCTTTGGGTTCGTATTCCATGTGTTCATTTCTAACATCAGTTGCCGAAGAGAAGTTCCGCGATCCCATGATCGCTCCTGTGCCGGTGCGACCGGCTCAACTTGCTGCTACTGTAGCGTGAGCGACGCAGTCTTGTCTCAGAATTTTGTCCGCGCTCAAGTCTCCGCGAAAGTTCGTTAAATTTTCTAATCAATGAACGACAATGTAGGGTTAAGAGGTGTAGTAGGAAGGGGAAAGGATAATCTCAACGTGTATCATTAGACGCCAAAAGACACGCTCGAGCAGTGGGCGGCTCTCGAGTTAGTCACCAAGTAACGAAGAATCAGGACCGGCGGCGTCGATGTACAATAAGCATGAGTGAAGAAGTGCATTCGTGGTCGTGATCACGTCAAAACAATCTGAATCACATTGTTTCATCCTTCTGTAGTGGGCCATGCAGTTCGTACGGGTTTGGGTCGCACAATCAAGCAAGAACCACATTCACCTCTTGCTCACCTGATCCACCACCGGCGACCGTGGGAATGTGGAGGGTCTTCCACTTCGAGTCCGATGTGAAGTTCGGAGAAGCCATGGTCCGGACTTCTGTTGACAACACCAGTGTACATGGCACTCCGCCTTGCTCTTCTGCACGTCTCGAAGGCCCTGCCAACATCACGCTCCACCTTTCTTCCTGCGACTAGAACCGTCCCCTCTCTGTCGCCTCTAACGCGTGTGTCCCGAATCCGTCCCTACCCTTTTTCTACCATGTCTTCCTCGACCGTTGTCGAGTCGCCCATGATCGGTATCATCGGAATGGGCGACGTGAGTTGCGACTCGTCTGATGGTTACTGACATCCGCAGATGGGCCGTATGTATGCTCGACGCCTCTCTGAAGCAGGTCACAACGTCGTCGTGTGCGACAAGCCAGAGTCGTTCGAGTCGCTGTCGGCCGAGTACGCCGACTCCCCGATCAAGGTCCTCCGGGACGGGCATGCGGTGTCGCGTGTCTCCGACTTGATTATTTACAGTGTTGAAGCTGCGGCTATCGGCGCCGTCGTGCGGGAATACGGCCCAAGCACAAAAGTCGGTGCGACTGTCGCTGGCCAGACCAGTGTCAAGGCTCCCGAGAAGGCCGCATTCGAGCGTTACCTACCGGAGGACGCCGACATCGTCAGCGTGCACTCGCTCCATGGACCTGGTGTCACGACTGAGGGCCAGCCATTCGTGATCATTCACCACCGCGGTCCCGAGGAGAAGGTTCGCATGATCGAGGATGTGTTCAAGAGCTTCAAGTCCAGATACGTCTACATGAGCTACGAGGAGCACGACGAGGTCACCGCCAACACACAGGCGTGCACGCATGCCGCTTTCCTGAGGTGAGTACTTCTCTCTTTATGCAGGCTTGGAGGTTGGAAGTTTCGACATGCTTAGAGGTGGCTTCATGACAGGATAGACCATCAGGACTTCTGACAACGGACAACGGCGGAAACAATAAGGTTTAGACCACCTTAAACGATGGACGGACCGTCACGTCGAGGCTGCTCGCACATGACCGATATGCCTCGACATTCACACGTTACGCGCGAGCTACACTTAGTCTCAGTGCAGGTCTCGGAGATATAACGGAACGGTGCACCCACGGGGTGTGAATCCAAAGGATTGAGGCTGGACGTCATCACCGGAATGATGTCAAGGCATGACCTTACTTAAAGGAGACTGCGTAGGAGTTCGTGCATCGTCTCTCTTTGTCATCGTCACAGAAGGACGGTCGTCTACACCACGACCAGCACCATACACTGGTTGGCTTTACAACTCCCGCCCGACCTGATTCGTATCACATCGGCACCTGGATGACCCATGACATGACAAAACCCACATAGCCAACTCGTGCGTGATCAGCACGATAAGAGGCTTTGAGGACAGCGGAGAGGGCCGGCGAAACTATCAACGGGCGACCCAACCATTGCATGACGATCCGATTATCTCCCTTCCATTCTGAACTCGTCGCGACACAGAAGACACGAACGCCGCGGCAAGCCAGGCCTTACAGTCTGGAGCGGGAACGTTACTGAATCAACTACCAGGGCGCCAATGCTCATGGTCCACTGTTGCTCCCTGCTCCCTGTTACGTCCCAGTACTATCGCAGGGGAGCCCCACACCCTTCCGGGGTGGCAACTTGCCTCCATAGCCACGAACCTCCGAGCCTGCAAATCGATACCACAGAATCTTGCGAATCTTAGCTGACATCAGTATGGGAGAAGCTTGGCATTGCGAGGGCCAGTACCCGTGGGAGCGGGCGCGCTGGGTGTCCGGTATCGAGGTTGTGAAGGTCAACATTGCGTTGCGAATCTACTCCGCCAAGTGGCACGTCTATGCCGGTCTTGCGCTTCTCAACCCGGCTGCTCAGCGCCAAATCCAGCAGTTCGCTCGTTCGTGCACGGAGCTGTTCAAGCTCATGACGGGCGGTCATCAGAAAGAGCTCAGCGAGCGTGTGTGGGCCGCCCGCGAAAAGGTCTTCGGCTGGAAGCGGGATGAGGACGGGCACGATGAAGAGCGCCGACCAATTTTGCTTTCAGACGAGATTCTTAACCAGTTCAGTCTCGGAACAAAGGACCCCAATGCTCCTGAGGAGCCTAACTCTCATCTCAGTCTGCTCGCCATGGTGGACTGCTGGGCGAAGCTCGACATCAACCCGCTCGAGCATCTCGAGGTTGCCGGTACGCCCGTTTTCATGCTCTGGATCGGTAAGTGATCAGCAGAGGATGACTGGTGCAGCTCTGTTTTCCATGGCACGTGATATTGACTTCAGGTGTCGCTGAGTACCTGTTCCGCTCTCGAGACCGCATCGAGAAGGCGATCAATGCTGGATTGAATGACAAGGTCTTCCGTGCGGATGACCTGGAGTTCACCGTCGCGGCCCGCCAATGGGGCGAGTGTGTTTCCTTCGGCAACTTTGACCTCTACGAGCGTCGATTTATGGACACAGCCAGTGAGTACAACTTCGCTTCTGCCAGTTCGTTGTCTGCGTTACAACTGTTCCCCGAAGCGACCCGTTGCTTGCCTCGTCAGTGCCACTTGACTCGCTGTTCGGCGTGCGGCAAATTTCTTCGAGCTTATCCGTGCTCTCCAATGGTTTTGCCACTCGGTCCCCGCGTGCTGCGCGACAACGGCGTAGCACGTGTGTGGGCCGTGGGCATCGTCGGCGCGCGGTCGTGACCACCGCCACCGTGTGCCACTCGAGAGCGGTCTCGCGCAGTATGCCCGCCTGTTGTGTCGCGCGTGATCCGTGTTGGGAGCTTGCAGCGACACCTCCACCAGCTATGCGTGACCTCTCTTCCTGCCATACCTACCGGCTAAAGGGCATCTCCCGCGACGGTTATCCACAGAACCCACTCGAGGACATCGTGCGGACCAGAGATCGCGCGGAAGGAGGTGCCACACGCGGTGCTCATCGCGCGGGGGCGGCAACTTATGACCGCCTCGACAGGCGCGCTAGGAACTGAACATGACGCCTCGGCCTCCATTGGGCTTTCCTGGGAGTTGAGCGGTGCATCTACAGGACGGACTGCCACGCGCAACGAAAAGTCGAGAGCAGAGGTGTTGTATGCTGAGGTGAAACCCCTGCGGATGTGTTAGGACTTCCTCTTCCTGCGGCTGAGGCACTTTGGTCCTCTTTTTCGACGTGGTGTTTGTCTGGGTTGTCGTCTGGCGTACAGGCGGGTTGCCTTCGAACAGCGGATACGGGCGTGCGCCGTCGTGAACGACTAAGCCCAATCCAGTACACTGTTACCTGGCTATCCAGGCCATGGGGGTTGCCAGCGCTGGCCCAAAACACACTAGCCGCCCAATGAGACGGTTGTGGAGGGCGTCGTACGTCGTTTCACGACCTCTACGCCCACACCGATAGGAAATCAGGCGTCGTGCGAAGCTGTCGTGAGCCTCGGCCCCACTGCTTCCCGCATACGTTATCCGCTAGCGTGTCTGCAGCCCGGCGCATGGTAGTGGTATGATGTGCGAACACTGTCTCACCAAACTCCTCGCCGTCGGTGGGGCGCAGGCGGATCGGCATCAGATGTGATAGGACTGTCAATCACGGATCGAGGCGTAGTCACTGTGTGTCCTTCTCTGATAGTTGCACCCGCGCCAGGAGGGGTGTCAGTGGCAGCAACGCTCGATGTGGCAACACCCGGTGGCTCGTTGAATAGCTCAACCCGGTAGTGATGAGCAACCCTTCTCTTCGGCAGCTAGCAGACCGAGCCGGTCACCGAGAGACAGGCAGGGGCTAACGACGCAGATTTCTTCGCACCCCGCTTCGAGGAGGCAGGCAAGGTCGGTGGCCGCATGATCAAAGCTATTCAAGAGGCGCAGAAAGCGCATGGCCAGTAAATTACCCCGCATTCCACCAGATGTATCACGGCTGATAATGTCCAAGTGTCCCTCGAGTAGAGGGTGAGACTGTTGCATGCGACCATGACCGAGGAACACCATGGCCCGTGTCACTTACCAGCATTCTGCAACAGTATCGAGAGATCATCCCGATGTCTTATCGCGAATGCGCGCAGTAAGACTCGTCAACGTCCACAAGGCCGATGAAGTCAATCCGTCGGCTGCTGAGCCATCTCACGTAACACCACGCCTTCTCACTTCGTACGACTGTGTGTGTCTGGCGCTCAACCTACGCTGAGCCTCTCCTGCATTCCTACGTTCCTTCGTCCTGTGCCTCACATCGCCAAGGGGCTGCACCTGGACTGTCGGCGACATTCTGCATGCAATCAGCGTAAGATGCGCGAAGGGGGAAGGAGGACGGAAGAAAATGCGAGGTGAGAAAGACCAGGGCTGGCCCGCCCGTCCCTGCGAATGCGGCCCTTCGCTGCCCTTGTCACGCTGCTGAAATTATTGTGCAAGCGTATCCCCATCGCGTTCCCATTGCCCCTCTGCCCCTCCAGCCCTCGCCGTGCTCGCCAGATCCTTGACCCTCATCGCCGGAGCCCGGACTGCGTAGGTGGGCTGCAGAAGTCGGGTACTCCCCCTACTCGTGCGTCTATGTTCGTCGAGGACTTTCGCGCCGCCTGCCTCCGCGCCGCCTGTTGCGCCGCTGACAAAGCTGCCGGGCCGGCTCCTGCTTATGGCAGCGATTGGCTGAGCCGAGTACTGCCGGCGTCGAAGGCTTGGGGACACTGGCTTGGAGTGAGATTTAGAGGTTCTTGGAGAGGGAGGGGTAGAGATCTGCTAACCGTGAGCAGGCAAAGCGGTACGCAACGACCGCACGCCAAGGTTTATTGAGTGGCCAGACCGAATAGCATAGCAGAAGGGCGTTGGCAGGGTTCAGACTGCTGCAGTAGTGGACACGCCTCGACGAATGTTGCTTGTTACTTGCCCGGTTGTTCACCGCCGTGTCTGCAGTTTTGCCCTACTCCCTCTTGCAAATGAGAGACAGTCGTTGCCATGTTTCGCAACGTTTCACGGTGGATTGTTTCGCTGCAAGTCATGTTGCGATTGTGCATGGCAGCTCGGCACTAACAGAATCACACCGCGGGCGGGCCGACTGTGAGAAGTTTCACTCGATGGGTTACAAAAGTCACAGCCGGTGACTACAGGTGACAGACCTTCGTTGTCGCCAGTGACAACCCGGCTCCGAACTGCTCGAAAGTTCCACTCATCGACATTGTCGAGGGGTTAAAGAGATGCACAGCGGGCAACGACGCAAGCCGTGTTCCATGACGCTAGCTACAGTCACAGAGTGTGAGACTGTCGGATCCGCTCGGCACACGGCCGGTAATGCGGGGAGCCCGCGCAGCCCGTGAGGCCAAATGGATATAGGCATAAAGCCAGATTCTCTGTTGTTGTGGGGCGCGCGCGACCTGAGTTCATGATCCAGTACATGTAGCGGGCAGCGGTCGAAGAAGAGTTCGTCCTTGAAAGTCTCGGCTCGGGGCTCGAAGGTGACACACGGTGCGCGTAACGTGCCACAAATACTAGCCGCAACTGCGCTGGGCACTGAGTCCAGTTTCATGCTGAAGCGCACACTGCGCTGTGTATGTTCAGTGAACCGTTCGTTCATCAGAAATCAGGCTAAACACCCCGACTCTTGAGCCAGAACTTTCCCGGAATCGTTGCATGCGTTTACATCCGCGTCGTCTCACGTCTCAAGTCTACAAAGTTGAGCATTCAAATGCGTGCAGCAAACCTTGCATCCTCGAGTCAAGTCGTTTCAGAGCTGAAAACGGGCAGAGGGGAGATGGTCCAGTTGTGCAGCATGTCTTGCTGGTCATGGGTGGACCTGACAGATGCCGTAAGTGGTGCACGGACTTCTCGTTTGTTTGGGGGAATTTCATGTCTGCAAAACTCTAAAACTGTCAAAAGGAAAAGGGTCTTCGTCTCACCTTGTGGCCTCGGTTTTCAGGATCGTTCCTCAGACCAAGGCTGACGAGGACGACACAGGACCAGGGATGGCTCGAAGGGTGTGCCTGGGGCCTGCTTCAGCCGTAGGGACGATGACAATGAAAGGAAGACAGGAGGCGTACGTCGGTGAGACCTGAGAGACTTGACAGATGTTGCATGCGGCCAACGGACAAAGAACAGACGCACGCAGGTGAGCACGATTGCAGCACGAACAAACAAGAACATCTGTGCGTAAGGGCATGATCTGGACCAGGGGTGAGTATCGAGTGACACAGGGAGCGAGAGTGACTGGATATTATAAGGTTTACAGTTCTCAAGGGTCCTCTGCGCCTCTGCCTAGGCTGGCGTCTGGATGAGCCTTGGGATCTATCAGTGCGGCTCATCGAGTGGAGGCCAGGGACTTTTGGCCCATTCAGATTCTAGTGCTCAGACCATAAACCGCTGAACTCGCCGAGCTCTCGGTGGAGTCAGGCTGTGGGACCTGCTTCACAGGCGGGACCCGTGAGGCACGGCTGCCTCTTCGAGGCTGAAACCACTGAGACAGGCCGACACGATGCGAGCGCCGATTGCGGCAAACGGGAGCGGCTCTGCATGTGCTACCAGATCTCGTCAGCCCTCAGGATGATTCGGTGTTGATAGAGTGGCTTGCTGACACTGTCTTGCATGAAGTAGACGACGTCGTGATTCCCTCGCTTGCACCGCTTACACGGGTTGAAAAGGCTAAATGGCGCATGGGCGGCGCCTCAGGAGCGCCTCGAGCAGGTGGAATGCACAGAAGCGTCGTGGTCCGGGAGGCGCAGAACTGGTGACACCGACCGGGCGCCATGTCGGCGTGCAGGGCGGCGGCAGTCGGAGGTGTCACTCAAACCTGAACGCCGCCCATTCAAACCTCGTCACCGGCCGGCACCGTACCGCATCTACGGAGATTGGGGACGGTGGTAGCCCATGAGCGGCGCAAACTTTAAAGCTGCTGCTGAGATGAACGAAGTGTGCAGACGACCTGGAAATGAATTCAATTCTGTTCTCCCATTCAGTGCCCAGTAGTGAACTCAATCAGACGATCTTACCCCAACCGCAAGGACGTAAGCGCCCTGGTTTACGGGCGTCTCGGCGAGCTAGACGGCAGCACGACATGCAGGACATCGGCAGAGCGGCAACGTTGCCGCGCTGCCGCTCAGGGTGAGATGTGCACGGCCCCCCATTGAATTGCAGGGAGCAAACCCACCAGCCTGCCCAAGAAACACACTAATCCTCCTAGCGCCTGAAGAGTGAGCGCGTGGGCGAATGTCAGATGCTTGCAGAGCTTTCCTGCGCACGGTCATACCGCGTTGTCCATAAAGGACGCTAGTGCACCCCATCCGGGTGAGAGGAGGCTGGAACCTGCGGTGGCCCGGCGCTAGTCGTACTAGTGATGTCTATGATGTGCAGAACTCGGTGCTGCAGCAGACCTGGATCAGCTTCGGCACAAGAGTATACATTTGCCATAGAGGTTGCCGAATGAGGCATTAATGTGGTAGCTTTCGAGCTCGTCCTGACGAGGACTGGCGGACCTGACGATATGTGGTGAAACCTGATGAAACCTGATCTTACGCCTCGGGTGAAATGCTCCCCAATTCGCGCCAGCCGCCAGCCGCTGCAGCCGCCGGGCTCTGCTGTTTGTTGACGGTTTGCTGAGATCCCGGCATGGCGGCATGGGCCAGTCGGCGAGCGCTGCGCAGCACACGGGCCCCGAGATCCACAGGCTTGCAAGCCGCGAGGCCGCCATCCGTACCCTCATCTCCTCACCTGGTCCTGGCGCGGAGCGGGCCTGCGGAGCCTGACCGTATCCGCCCCCCCATCTTCCCACCTGATGCGCTCATGTTGCATGCACATGCTACATGCACAGTGGCTGAGTCATGTTTCGCGGCCTTGCTTCCCCATGCTCGGAATGCCGGCCTGCCGTCTTGTCCGGCGCGTGCTTGCCTTAGTTCTTACGCGATGTGACGGCGCAGCCGCCCGGTGGCTTCGCTTCGCGGCTCACGCACGACGGCACGCCGGCGCGGTGTGCCTTCGCTCCGCAGTTCCGGTCGTCCTACCGGCCGAACGGAAGCGTCGCGACCCCGCGTCGTCTCGAGGTCTTCCTGGCCGAGGTCAACCGACCTCTGCACAACACCCTCAAACGTAACCCGCCTCCCGGAGCTGCTACATCCTGCCCGCCTGCCGGGCGGCCTGCCTCTCCGTGCCGTCAACGATAGTCCGTTGCTTCCATCAAGTGAAAAGCCAAAAGAGGCAGTGGGGAGTAACCACGGAGCATGTACAATTGAAACGTGAATCTCATCACTCATGATAATATCGTTATGCAAGTCCAGCGAGAAATGTGAGGTGACAAAATAGTACTTATGTAAATGATGGTCCGCACTCACGCCCTTGATCCTCGGGGGTTGAGTCCAGGCTCAAACGCCCAGGGAGAGCGCGAATTACGGCATGTTAAATGACACCAGGTCGTCGCGAAATGGAATAAGAAATAGTTGACGGTGAGCGGTTTTCAGCCTGGCAAACACCCGGGCTGGACGGCCGCCCATGCGTGTATCGAGAAATCGGAAGGTCATGTGTCGTACTCGTCACTTGTGTCGGGAATGGGCGACGGTAGACCAGGTGGGGGCGTCATGTCGATCAAAAAACGAAACGAAAAATATATAGCGAACTTGATGTCGTCCATACGCCAGGGCTTATATTTGCTGGCGTTCAGGCGATAATGAACCATAAGGTGGACAAGATATAGAGGAGGAGGGATCAGTGTCAATGTTTAGATGCTGAGTGCCACGGATGTCGAGGCGATTGTTGTCCGGATTATATGGATGCCTTATTGATGTAGGGCTGCTTTTGCCGATGGGGGTAAAGGTACAGGGAGGAGACTGCAACCAAAGTAAAGTCCGTGTCTTGTCTGTCGGTTTTGCGACGTTGGGGAACCGCGTCTTCCTCAACGTCGATTTTAAGCAATACCAGCTTGCCACCCATCCTGCGACACAGGGTAGGGTTGAGGGAGCTGGGGAGGGTGGTTGTCCCAAGATTGACCCGCCTGGTTGCCAGGGATGCCAGTCCAACCTTCAGGAGGAACACCGGCCCCCGGGCCACCGCTGTCCATCGAAGTGGACGAGGAGGTAGGATACTCGCCGCTACCACTGAGAACGTCGGGACGGCTCATCAGGCGCACAGGCGGAGCGGGGGGAGCGTGCCAGGAGGTGTAGCTTCCCGGAGCAGATCCTCCATATTGGGGCGAGACCATCGGAGAGGCACCGGACGCCTGCGTAGGAGGCTGCTGGGGAGGCGCAGTGGAGGAGTAGTATGTGAAACCACCCGGGGCGGTCGCGGGAGGCTGGTAGTTGTAGTCACCGCCCTGGGGGTAGAAGCCATCGCTGGAAGATGGCGGCTGGGACAGCCGTCGGCTGTGGCCGGAATCACCAGACATACCATGGCCACCACGCATGCCACCGTAGGGATCGTAGCGTCTTGAACCAGTCGAAGGACGCATGGGGCCCGAGGTAGGACGGCCAGACATGTGCACACTCTGGTCGTAGTAACCTCCCGCGGACCCTGGCGGCATGGGGTAACCGGATGGAATGCCCGGGGAAGAAGTGGAGGAAAGGTTTGGAACAGTCACAGAGCGGAGGCGTGGCTGGTGGTGTGGGTCGAAACCAGCTCCAGCGGAAGGGCCGTAAGGGTCGCCATACATCTCTGCACCGTACGGGCCGGGTAGACCACCGCGTCCAGGAGACACAGCGCGGTCGTCCGGCTCGCCGTGGTAACGAGGAATACCGTCATGACCCATCTCAATGGACGGGGTCGTTCGGAAGTTGCCGACAGCGAGGTACTCGGGGCTGATTTCGAGAGCGGTGAACTCCGGGATGGTCGAAGGACGGCGAAGACGGCCGGCGGTTGCGTCCTCGAGCGTGTAGTACGAAACGACGTGTTGGTGGAAGCCGTTGATGGTCAAGGTCATGGTCTTAATTGTCAGCATTCTGCATGCACTGGAGACGTACCTTCTTGACGAGACCTCCGGGTTGAAAGAGGTATGAGTTGGTCAGGCTCCCCACAAGCTTTCGCTCCAGGTGACGGTCGATGATGACTCCGTTCTCTAGGCGACATCCACCAGCTTCGGCAGCCGAGCGGGGACGCATCTGACCGTGAGCCAACGGCCTCGCTGCGGCCTCCATAGCCATGCGTGAGGACTCGGCGTAGTTGCCCATCGAAGCCGGATCAGTGGGGGAAGTGTTCGTGCCGGGGGAAGAGTGCGACGTTGTCGGGCGCCCGTGAGAGGAGTCAGGGCGGCCGCTGCCGTACTCTTGTTTGGGAGTAGTCTCCTCACCCTCCTTGCCATCTGAAGGCTTGATAGTTTCACGATAGACCTGTGGTTCACGTCAGCCTAGTGCAGGAGCAGTGGTTCATGGACTTACGAGGAAATTGCCCAAAATACGCGACGGACTCCAGGAGTGCCCATCAGTCCAGCGTTTGATACCGCTCTCCTGCTCGTCGTAGACGAACACCGAGCCCGACTGAACCATGTTGCGCTCCGTGTCATTCAAGCGACGGGTCACACGGGGAATCATACCACGGCGAGCGGCCTCAAAGACGAGAAGCGCATCGTAGGTGGTAGCGATGAAGCCATGGAAAGGTGGGGAGATGTCCTCCACCTTGTCGTCGGCCATCATGGGCATATTGAGTACGCGGGTAATGTTGGGCGGCTAATTCGAAGAGTCAGAAGCGCGAAGAAAGGGTTTGGGACTGGCTGGGTGAACTTCAGTATCGACTAGTTTAGTAACTGCTAGAGTTACTTGGAGGAGACTAGTGATACGGAAAGATGGGCGGAGGGATTGCTATGTATATTGGAGTCGCTCAATCAAACCGGATCGTGGATCGGAATCGGCAGTCGATCAAACAATTCGGGGGGGTGACTGTTGGCGTTAATGGGTCACCGGACGATAGGCGTGAGGGGTGAAAAGGTAGTGGCAGGCGGATTCGAGGTGATGATAGCCGCGGTGACACGAAACTGAGCGAAAGCCGGTTTCAAACCGGTACGGGGTGAGAGAACAGAACAAGAGTCGTTAAAAAAGAGATCAAAGTTGGGAAGAAGAATGAAAGAGGAATGGCGAAGAAAGGAAAAGGTTGGAGGACAAGAATAAGCCGAAAGCAAGTGTCTCGGTAGTTGACGAGATTCAGTGGTGGTCGTGTAGAGGTGGGAGAGATATCCGGTGCGGTCGCGGCGGCGGCACGGTACGGTAGCGGTTGAGTAGATGGGATATGAGGGGGTGAGGGGTCAAAGGGGCGTGAGGTGAGGGAGAGCATGAGGGGGGAGACATGAGGACATGAAGGGGGATCCAAGGATCCAGGGCAAGGGCAGGTCAGGTCCAAGGGTTGAGAAGGAGGCGATGGAGATGGGAGGGCAGACAGGTGGGAGGCAAGGGACAGGGGATTGGTCCAGGGTCGAGGCGAGACGAGACAGGGCGCGAGCGGCCACCAAGGTAACAGGGCGATAGCGCGAGAGCAAGGGTCGAAATCGAGAAATCAGAAGCACATGGTCCAAAACCGCGGTGGTTAGCCCCCGTTACGTCTGCACGATGTAGACCAAACAAAAACCAGAGAGCGACACAGAAGGAACACAGAGGGTCCGTCAGCGAGTGAGGGGCCCAGGAACATGGACAGGGTGGGCGATGTGCGGCAAAAGGGGCAAGTGACGTTATTGCATTCTGGCGGGCCTCGATCGAGGGGTGGTTTCTAGGTGAGAAAGCGCAAGGCTCACTGTCCCCTAGCTGCTCGACGTCCTCGTTCAACACTTTGGTTGATTGGACATGAGCGGAGCTGGACAGAGAGCTTGGCCATCCACCAAGGCCATACCCAGGACCCAGGACCCATGCGCCAAATCGTCAAATTGCCCAAGCCACCCACCACAGATCGAACGAATTGATACAATACGCCAACGATCTGCGTGTGCTGCTGTAATGTTGCAGTTGCCGCCATCTGAGGTCGTACGCAATCTGTCTGCGCCGACAGACCGGATTGGAAGTGGGAGCAAACGGCGGCAGCCACCGCTTGCATTGCGACAGCCCTCCTGGTGACAGGCCAGGCTGAAGTCCCGCCCCAGTCCTTAGTCTAGTCAGGCCCTTTCCGCACTCCCCTTCCACTGTCCGCGAGAGCCCTCCCTTGGTTTCTGTTCGGTTTCCGGAGGTCTGCGCGAACCTCGGTCCGGAAGCTTCACTCACAGGTTAAATGTAACGCTTCTTCCAGGAAGCTGTACTGTTGAGGGATGAGACGCTCGTGAAGCGGACGACCAGTGGAAGAGACCGTTTTAAGAGGTTTATCCAATACTGCGACAACTGGCAGTCAGCGTCACACGCCCGGTCGATGTCTGCATGATATGCGACTCTTACCTCCATCGATGCCCCGGGAACGGCCATAACGAGGTCTGTCCCGCTCGTTCCTTCTACGTTCCTGCTTGTTGGTCCAGTCGGCCAAGCATGTATGGGGTGGTGATGGGCCACTGATGGCAGAGCGCCCTCCACAGTCGGCATTGTCTCCGCTGTCATTGTGCATGGGTGTTTACGCCCCATTAACCGCCAAAGACCAAGGCACAGAATACAGGAACCACTGCAGTACTCCTTTGAGAGTAAGGCTAGGGGCGGCCAGGGTAAAGTGCAGGTGGCAGTATAAGGTTTACACTCTGCGTTGGATTTTCACCCGAAGAAGGAGACCTCTAGGGGGGAGGCGCCAGTGCGAGCTCCGGCGATGCTCCTTCCCCTGGCTGGTACTCGCTCCATACCAGGACAACATCATGCCCCTCAATTGGCCGGAGCACTGAGAGGCTTCACACACGGTGACCTCCACCCCCATAATGCCACAGAGGCCAGTCTCGAACCTGCCTGGCACCGTGTGTGACATAGCATGAGGTATGCTGTTGCAGGTCCCATGAGACCAGCAGAGCAGTGATCACAGACGCAGAGATAGAATGGCTCACAACGTTGGGAGCCACCAGTGTGCGTGCTACACCGACCCGAGACAGAAGCAGCCACCGGCTTGTTTAGGAGTACTCACCGACAACAGTAACCGCACGCAGCACGGAAGGTAGTGACGGCCGAGCTATAAGGAGTATGAATGCAGGAAGCTAGTCGTCGCTGTCGTAGTGATGTAGCAGTCCACCTCTGCCAGCAGAGATGTCGGTAGATGGAAAGCGAGCAAGGCGACTCGGGGGTCCGGGATCGTAGATCAGGGCACGACAGACTCTTCCGTAGGTCGCTTTGGATGGACTGACCCAGCAAGAGTCACGTTCAAGTCGAAGCTGATGATGTTGAAGTTGACGGAGATAGACCAATGCCTAGAGTACGGGCTCGAATGGAAAGAGGGATTGATAGGCGAAGACGAGCGTCTGCGGTATCTTGGATTTAAAGTACCGAACAAGGACGCCAGACGAACTATGATGCTCGCGCTGGAAAGTTAGATAATCGTCGTGGCTTATCAAACTTGGCTCTAAGATCTAAAACACGTACCGTAATCCTGGCTTGCCAGCCCGGGACAGCCCTTGAAGGTTGTATGGATATGAAGCTTGGGCGAAGAATGTGAGATCACCTGCCGCTTCCGGTCAGCCTCTCGCCTCCTCCGGACCTCTTCCCCTTGGCATCTTGACACTTTCAGCCCACGACGACTCCCGGCGATTCGGTGAGGACCTGGACTATGACAGTGCGTACCCCACATGCTGATGTGAACCAACCATCCGACACCATGCGGGGAGAAAGCACGCCCGCGCCCGCCCCGCACAGCCAAGTCACCGAAAACCAATCTCGTAGCTCCCCTGTGACTCCTGATCTCCTGATGGCCTTCCTGCCGCCTCTCAGGATTGAGACACTACTTTATCCTTCCGTCCATGGCCGTGGAAGCTCTTTGGAATTCCTACGCAATGAACCATAGAGCTTGTTCGCAAGGTACCGTGACGCACAATGCCAGTGTCAACAGCACCGGCGTTACTCTTTGCTGCCTTCCCTTCCCCTGAGTTGTGACTGCGGGTGCTATGTCTTGATGCGATAGCAACACCCGCGTTTCAACCCGGTCTCCTCTCCAAGTACCTCAGACACCTACAACGGCTGTCGCGCGGGAATCTAGTGGGCACGTGAACGTCTGGTTGACCTTTGGATGGGGGCGTCCCAGGGTACGGGACGTCACCAGAGATCGACGGTTCCTCTGAGTGGTCTGGATCTGCTCGCACAATCGTTCCGACGCGGTTTATGAACGCCGCGTCTACACGAAAGATGGCCGTCTATCTCGGCCCATTCCAAGAGATCTTGCGTTCGACGCCGCCGCCGGCGCTGATCATACCATGGATGAGGGCGAGCCACGTGCCCCGCAGCAGCCGCAACAGTCTCCCCCGGGGAAGTCTACCGCCCTCTCGTCCACTCACAGAGTTCTCACCTGCTGAAGGAAAAGCGAGTTGTATCTCCCCTTGACTTGACCAGGTGAAGATATCTGGGCCAGTCAGCTGTCAGCCGTTCTCGAGGGCGGGCATGAAAGTGATGCCGATGGCGCGGTCACCTGAAAGCGCGATCCACCTTGGTGTGAGCCTCCAATGAGATCTGGGATTCGTGGCAAGCTTCGATGACCCCAGTGGGGTGCTGCACTTCCAGACTACCGCGCCGAAATCGCTAAGTCTCCCGTCAGACACCACGGGAGCGACCTTGACCGTCCCATCTGAGCACAGCTGGCCTGTCGTTGGAGAGCACCCAGTGGAGCGGTATCAGTGACCGTGGCTCCTACCGCGGACCGTGTCAAGCGGGGTTGAGATCTTCCCTTGGGTTGTCACGGCTGCTGCGCGCCCACCGAGCTGGCTAAGAGTTTCGGCTTGGACGTGCCTCTTCCCGGCATGCATGCAAGTGGGGATGATGAGGCCCCGAGCGACCCATATGGATACTCACGGTAGGGGGTGGACCTTACGTCAGGAACGACGTTGCGACGGCACGCGAAACGTGCGGGGAAAGCGGGGTCGATTTGGGCGAGAACCACAGCGGATCTCACTTGGCAGAGAGTCACTCCAATGAAGCCAACGACGAGGTCTTCTGAAACTTGCGACGGCGTTGACGACAATCCGAGTTTCAGATACCGCACAATGGTGGAGGCTGATCGTTACTGAGGCAGTACGCAACAAGTATACGCAAGCGCAGCCCCCCCCCTCAGAAGATGGTGATGGCACTTGCAGGCGTGGGACTGATGTCGAGGCCCCGAGGGCCAGACGGTTAAGCAGTCGATCAATGCCAAGAGGCGTGCTATACGTGCGGTAGCAGTGTGCCGGTCAACGGTAAGCCCAGCAGGCAGAAGGATGCCGAACGTCTGAGCGCTGGCCGCAGACCTGTCGTCGTCAAGGAAGGTACTCCGCTATCAGTAGTGACTGGTGACGGCACGTTGCTCGGGACCACATAGAACGGCAGGGAAACCGGGCAAGTTGCGGCACAATACTTAGTACCGATTGTCGCTGATAGCCCGTGCCACAGCTGTGGATATGACGGAAAGGTGGAACAAAGACGGCCCGGTGTCGCGAGGAAGACGCTACGATCGGAACCCCGCCACACGGAGCTCAATAAGTCTGAAGTTTCGGAGGCGGCCGTGTCCGCGGAAGTGTTCACAATTCCGTGTCGCTGTTCACACGAACAGGCTCGGAGATCGAGTTTGATGGCTCCAACTGTTTTGAGACGAGGGGTTGGAGGGGTGCCGGGAAGGTGGAGGCCCGGTTCCGATATCAAGACGACGGTGACAGAGACAATCCGGCAACTCCACAGATGGTGTAGCAAGGGATAACCTCCGAGATAACGACGCGTTGCCGCTTGGAGACGGGTGTAGATGAGCAACTGGGGACGTACGGCGACGAGGCGGGCAGCTTGATGGGAAGATTAAGGTTAATTGCGCGTCACGGAACGTCCGAGAGAAGGGGAAGCTGGAACGTCTGGGCTGTATCAGGTAAGCATGTTTCGAGCCTGTGGGACTTTGGCGTTGGATGACGCACAAAAGCGATTCCTCAGCCCTTGACAAGTGAAGCAACGATGGAAGAGGCTGTACTTGTGTTGAGCGCGGGAATGTAAGAGGTGGGCGGAGTGTAGAGCGATGAAGGAAGGCAGATATGTGTATGACGGCGGTGAGCTGGGAGAATGATCGGATGCGCAGGGCTGATGGCGGCATGCAGGACTGAGTACCTGCCAGACTGTGCAGCGCATGCGTGCGGACGGCTTTGGGGGAAGGCGTGCGCCGCGCGTCGGGGGCAGCGTAAAGTGTGCAGATCGTGCAGGCGCCCAGTGTGCAGTGCAAGCAACATACGCGGGACGTGCAGAGCGACCGCTTTACGCGTGTTACGTCCATCCAAACCACAACAATAGCGACATGTTCTTGTCTCCCCTCGCCTGCCTTCCCTGCAACTCGTGTTCAACAACCTCCCCACGGACTCCTCGTCTGAGCCGTTCTTCTTTCACATCCTCGCATCGGAAGGGTGCACTTCCAAAGTGTCCACGGCGTAACGGCGTGGCTGCATGGGCGCCGCATTGACCATCCATTCGCTGTTTACACGGTCCCCGTGCTCGGCCCGTCTCTTACCGACTCACCGTTCACCGACATACCGCCCTTCGACTGCAGCGCCTGAGTCTCTGAGGCTGACCCCCCCTTTCCTTGGCATCGACGCTGGTCTTTCATTGCTCAGGCTGGGCTGAGCTGCGGGCAACTGACTCGAGACCGGTTGGGGACGACGGCGGTCTGTGCGTCATGCGCAGAGGATAGGCCATGCAAGCTCGAGGTCACACTCAGGTCGCCCTCAAGCCATCGCAGACACCGACAAGTACCCGGAGGGCACTGCGCCGCGGCGCACCGAGTAAGGCCACCGAGCAATCTGAGGTGGTGGCTGATGGCGTCGAGGTCGCGAAAACGTGGTTAAGGGGAGGCAGCGCGACATTACATTAGCTGACCTCCGGATGTCTCAAAGTAAAAACTATATCCAAGCCACAATCCTGTCCTGCGACAGAACAAATTCGCGTCCATTGTGCGTCCAACTCATACCGAACATGCAAACGTCCATCATGCCCGGTGTGCCAGTCAGCAAGTATTACGGGTCACTGGACCGGCAATGGCGGCCTGGTTGAGGCATGGCGATCGCCTCTCTGTTGCCCGGTCGTCCGGCACTGCTATTTCCTACGGGAGCCGTTCACAAACAAGGCACCCCGAGCACATCGCTGCAGCAGTGAGACGCTTCACAGGTACGAGAAGTACACGAGGATCACCTCAGCATGTGTCATGCAGCCGTCACTGTTCGTCATCGTGTTCGACACAGGTCAGACTGTAACGCAGTCGAAACGACGCAGAAGGCCCCGCCCGACTTGTCTCGACTCGGCGCTATGATTTCTCAAGCCTGCCCGCTTTCGCTGGCTCAATCGGCCAATGGAAAGCGACTTTGCGGCGCAGCAAGCGAGATGGAGCTCTCATTTCGGTGTGACTCGTGGTGTCGAACCTCTCGTTATGGTCACTCTCTTTGCACCTGTGAGGGCCTGTCGAGGTTGTCAGGTCCGCCAGGTCCCCAAAGTAGTCAGGTCCGTCAGGTTCTGCCAGGCCCGTCAGGTCCAACGACTGGATGCTCAGGTCAGGACCGTCACCACGCCGGCTCCCTGTATCCTCCAGGTCCGCCCAGGTCCCAGTCAGGCACAGTGATACGAGCCAGTCGCCTGCTCTGTCAGAGATGCGAGGATGAATTGCTCCAGACTCACTCAGGCAGCGTGGGCAAATAAAGTTTGCGCGCGAGTTATTTGCCTGTGAGACTTCACTGACGTATGCACGCCTGTGACTCGACTGACAGCCTGCGACTGGCTACAGTGGACCTCCTCCATCCTCGCTACTGGGAAGTAACTGGTAACTGACCACCGATGAGAGGCATGGGCACGCCCGCTCACCACAAGCCAGAAGTTGGCGATGGGACGAGATGAATGCTCAGAGCAGCGGGCAGCGTGAAGCCAAACCTCAAACTCGAGGCTCTGGGCCCTCTTTCTCGATTCATTAGCTTCTCCACCGGGTCGAGCGCCAGCTCCCCCGGCTTCTGCGTGCCTCGTTCGTGTGTCCCGCCCCATCCGTCCACCCGTCGTGCATGCATGCATGTCCCGACAAGTCGCGCAAGCCTTAGCCCAGGTAGCCCAGCTTCCATCGCCTTCGCGTCGCCCCCCAGTGCCTGCGTGCCTCGCCGTCACCCACGCGGTCGCGGTCGTCTCGTTTCCCAGCGGGTGCATCCCATCTCTTGCAGCTGGAGCAGCTGTCCCAACCCATGTCCCGACTCGCACGCTGCGTATGCTGCGGCACGGCACGGATGGTGCGCACGGTAAACAGCGGGGTACGGCACGCACGGTACGATGCACGCGGGCAGGCGGCAGGCGGTACTGCAACCTTGTCATCGCCCTGCTCGTGTGTGCCTGCGACTCCATAGGACAAAGTAAGGTGCGGGGCGCTGTGTGAAGGCCGCGAGCCAGGCGTACACGAGGCCGCTCGACGCGAGGTGTATGCGTGCTGGCCGGATGATGGGACGCTCACACCGGGTAGTTGCTTAGCGCCGCTGCTGCCGCCCTCGGGAGCGGTGGACAGCCACGCACCGCTCTGGACCGAGGTCACAGGTGCACGGGTACGTTGGTTGGAGGCCGGGCGAGTCGAGGCAAAGTCGGGGCGAGTGTGGCGATCGCTATCTGTAACGCTCCGGCAGTGGGTCAGTGGGTCCCTCTGGCTTGGCTGCGATCGAGCCTCGCCCCGTCCCAGTCCCACCACTGGCGGGGCCGATCTAGCTGCGCCGGTCCAAGTTGGGCAGTTCAGCAGCCTGTGCGAGGAGATTCTCGTCAGCGGCCGCGCGGACTGCGATGCAATTGCTGCGCAGAAGGGCCCGCTGCAGATCGGCCAGTTCATCAGGCAGGCGCTGTCCGGTCAAGGTCGACCGACGCAGCGTGCGACGCCGGCGTGCGACGCGCCGTAGAACATGCGTTCGGCTCGCGCGCGATTCACTGGAACAGCGAGGCGAGGGCATATCCTGGTCCCACCCCTCCCAGTGGTGCTGAATTGCTGCTTTTAGCGGTGAGTGATCGCCAAAACGCATGCCTCGTGCTGCATCACCGAGATTGCCTGTGGCATCCTTTGTGGAACGGAGGATATCCGCTCGCAACGTCAGCTGCTCGCCTGATGAGATTTGCTGAACACGGCGAGTGACAGCGCAAGGGAATCCGTGATCGAACACTTTGACGCAGGGAGGCCAGATGTCACAGCAGGCCGACCTAAGTCCCTCGGTGCCAGCCAGTGTCCTGGAGTCCTGCGTCCGGTGTCCTGTGGCAATTTGGGCCTTTGTTCCCGATCACATTGCTCGAGCAGCTCATATGAATTAAGCTGCAGAGTTTAGAGTTGGCAGTGCGCTTGACACTGTACGTCTGCACTTCTGCATTGGATATTTGTCTTCTGTGAGCACGCTCATGCACACAGAATGCAGCGGGTGCATGAGAAAGCAGCCCACCGAATGAGACAATGGAGCCCGTAGCTCTTCACTTTACGCGTTTGAATTGCACTCTGGAGTGTATCGTTTCCTAAACAAGGCAGAGCTCGCACTACTGAACACCCTCCTCGCTTATGCCCGCCCGTCACCCGACCTCGTCAGACATTGCTGAAACAGCCTTGCCAACGTGAGCTAAGAGCCCGGGATCAGTCTGTAATCTCAAGAGCGAGCCGCAGTCGTCAAGAAACACCCCCAGTTGGCGAGTCGGGGTCATCGAAGCCTAAACGCTACTGAGTGGTTTTTGATGCAGATGTCACTGGAAACAGAAATAGGCATAGCGTGAAACGCTGCGAACACTGCGAGACAAACTTCGATCACACATGGGGTACAAACAGCGACAATCAGCGCCATTCCGCACTCATGTTGACTCAATTACTCTTGTTCCTCTTGTCGCCCTCTGGAACCGCCACGGCGCGGAACGCAGCGTGGAGCAGTCGTGCGGTGCCTGCACTGCGCATCGCCTGCGCCCTCGATAGCCTGCGTACAGGTGAATTATACATGGGCACGATCACGTTAGCCAGAGCCGGTCGATGTGGCTCGGTAGATCTATGGACATTGACAGACACGGCCCCACTCCTCACTTGGCGGTGCGGAGCTGGCTCACGATGCCGAGCCCCCCGCCTGCGCCGACTGCCCCGCCGCCGCAGCTGCCTGGGCGCGGGCCGCGGCCTTGGCCTCCTTCTTCGCCTTGAGCTTGTCCCACTGTGGAGTCAGTGAGGTCCGATGAGAGGAATGGGAGTGTGTGGAGCAGGGGCACAGTCGCCTATTCAGCCACCAGTATGCCGACTCTCAGCTCGTTGAATGCCACCCAAAAGGCAATCGTGTCGCCGCCGAATGGAGCAGTAGGCTGACCGAACGCACAACAATGCGCAGCGCTCGTCTCCGGCACACTGAAGGAGGTACCCACCCCTTCACCACCCCGTGACGAGCGCACCGCCAAGCTCCAGACTTCACTTCACCGAGTGGAATGAATGCCAATCAATGTCGATCAAACGAGGGCGAGGGCATACGTTTGGGAGTCGTAACAACTCACCTTTTCCTTGAATTTGTCGACCTGAGCGCGCTGTCACCGTCAGCCCACCGAACGCCCTAGCCACTAATGAACTTACCAATTTCTCATTGTCGCCTTTCAATTGCTTGTTCTCCTTGTCGAGGTCCTCGACCTGTTTCCGGAGTGCTGATGTTAGATTCCAGCCAACGCCACCTCACTCGGACGAAGTCCCCGACACCCCAAATCTCCGAGCCGCGTAAAGGAAGTGTTGATGTTATCAGTTGAGTTTCAGTCGTCTGGCGGCGCGTCCTCGATCCTCCACCTTCTGACGCCTCCTCATTTCGACGCCGTGCCTGAAACCTCCACTTCGGACGCGTCCAGCCAGCCTCACCGTCACCACGCGTCAGTCATCAGCGCTAGTCTGGGCAAGTGGATCTAACTAGCTCTAATGGATGGCTATCATGCATATTCAACAAGACACATGCAATGTGGGAGAGACTAGTAACTAAGCAAATATCTAATACTGATGCACTGCACCATGGAGCCGATGCAGCGACCAGCTTGTAAAGCCTTACATGAACGAGTCGTGGAAGGGGTGGGATGTGAGGAAGGAAATGGAGATTCGGCTGGTGGTGGCGGTCTCTGTGCTTGCGGCTGCTCCTTATCCACTGCAACTTACCTCTCGTCGGACACCAGAGACAACCGAGCGGACTAACTTGTCGCGTTCCTCGGAACGAGACTTCAGAGCACGGTTGGAAAGCTCGAGCTGGTGTGCGTGCTGGGCGAGTGCATCCAGTGACGCTCGGAGAGATTCGTTCTCCAACAAGAGCTCCTCATTTGTCTTTGGGGCCGGTGAAGGACCACTGACATCAGCTGCTTCCAAGCAACATCACAGCTTCACTCACCTAGACCGGCGCTGACCTGCAGCTGTAGTAGCTTGTGTACCGTCGTTCCGCGGGACCACGTAGAAAGACTCGGTAGGAGACGGCGCTCGTCCTTCGCCTGCGACCGGCGCTGCTGTGAGCTTGATAGTGTGGTGGCACGTACGCCGTGGCCTCTGCTTATCCCTCCGCTTCGACCTTTCCCTCCTCAGCTCTGGCCGCGTCGGGCTATCTGGGCCCAGCTCTGGAATATCCGTCAACGCCGAGACCGGTGCGGCTGTCAAGGCTTTCGGAAAGCTGATCTCCTCAAGCATGTTCTCCAGCATACCCCAGAAGCGCGAGAACGGGTCCGACGAGTCTGGGACCTCGCCTGGCAGGACAAATGACTCATCCGGTGGATCTGAACTGGAAGAACTCGACAAGATCGGTGACGTCGGTGACACGGCGTTGCCCACGGTGCGGGGCTGCCTCGGCATTTGCGGCTGTGCGCCTGGTCCAGGGGGTGACGGCACCGGGCGCAGTGAGAATGGAGGTATAGATCCCCTGGAGTTTGCATGTATCGCTGCGTTCTGTCAGCATCACAGCCAGTCATTGGGGATGCGAGATCGGCCTCAGCAAGAAGTTGACTCACCTAGTCCGGAAGACACATTCTGCGCTTTCGCGAGACCAACGGTAGTGCCCGAGCTGCGGCGGCTCATCGACGGAGGTGGAGACACAGGCGGACGAAACGGGCTGTTTCCCAGGGGACTGCTGGGTGACGACATAGGAGGTGTGAATGTTGCACCGACCGGTGACGACGGTGCCGATGAGCCTGCGTTGGCGATTCGCCGCTCAAGGTCGCGTGCCAGCTTGCGGTGCTGCGTCGTCAAGAGACGGAGAGTCTGCTGGGTCTGGGCAGGTAAGCTTTGATGCATAGGAAGCTGATTAGCTCACTCCATCATCGGTGCTCGACTGCCTGGCAGTTTCGAACAGCTCAGCCGCTTGATTGTACGCGTCGAGGCCTCGTCTGAGCGTTGCGGTGTCGGCGTTGGGGGCACGGATAAGAACCGAGGCTTGGGCGGATAGTTGATGAGCCTGAGCAGGTTCAGCGCAGAGGTGCAAGGCAACTTACTCGTTGAAGATCGTTATCCTCGCTCATCTGTGCATGGGTGGCGAGGATGGTAGTGACAAGAGCGCAGGCGAGTGTGATTTGCATGATGTGTTGACAGAATGTGGGGCCCAACAAAGTGCGGAATTGTGGCCATCGCCGATACTCGATAGACATGCAGACCCTCAATATCCTCCCTCTTTTCTATTGTTCGCCGTCCTGACACGTTGCCATCGCAACACTCGCCATGTCTGGCATCCTCAACCCGATACTGGACCTGCCAGCACCGTTGGCGACGGGTATCGCACCCAGGGCGGCACATCTTCTATGCTTCACCTTCACGGGCGGTTATGTCGGATCGCTTTATCTCGCTGAAGCGCTTTTTGGACAAAGACCAAATGACAAGCAGCTCTATTCGTACCCTCCTCCGGGGCACCGTGACCACCCCGAAACTATGAAGCGCCGCATGAAGGCCGTGAGCATAGCCACGGGGATGGCTATTGCTGGAGTATATCTCACCGTTGCGAAGGAGAACGGCTTCCGATGGAGGCAGGCGGTAAGCTTACGTCCACTGAGCAATACTGACTTGGCAGATCATAGAGACGGCGAGGCTCCTCGGATTGTCATCTATCGGCTACAAGCTCCCTCTTGCTTACGCACTCGCCCCTCTGCTCTTCACCGGTCCCCTCTATGCGGCTTACCTCGACGAGGAGCTGCCGGGCATGAAGGGCTCTGGCTACTTCGAGTTCGGGCGACACGAGATGCGCAACTACGTTGTTGTGAGTTGCGCCGGGCAACTGTTGCTAACTGGAGTAGGGCCCTATCACCGAGGAACTGCTGTTCCGATCCTGTGTGCTCTCCGCATGTCTGCTTGGGAAGATGAGTACGAAGTGGCTCGTCTTCGGCACGCCCCTCTGGTTTGGCCTTGGTAAGTGCTCTCATGTGGCTTATGCTGACAAGCAGCCCACGCACACCACTGTTACCAGCGATGGAAAGACGGCGGCTTCACCCGCGGAGCTGCTATCCGATCAATCGCGCAAGGACGTGAGTACGCGCACAGACAGAGGCTGACTCCAAGTCTTCCAATTCGCCTACACTACGTTGTTCGGCTGGTTCGCAGCCTACACCGTCATTCGTACTGGTAAGTCGATCAACTGGCGACGTCCGTCTGACGCACGAAGGATCAATTATCCCTGCCATTCTCTCCCACACGTTCTGCAACTACATGGGCATTGACCTCCCAACCGCCGCCGCACAGCGCCATCCATCCAAGAAGCTTTGTGAGTGACTTTCGAGTCCCTGCGACTAACCCAACAGCCATCTACTCCGCATACCTCGCCGGTATCGCCGCCTTTGCGTACGGCCTGACCAGATTCTGATTCTTGGGGTTATAGTGTTCCTTGTTCTCTTCTCTTATTCTCCTCTCATGTCACGTTTCGTTAGTGTTTCCATCCTCGCGTCCGTTCAGTCTAATGCGCTATCGCTCGTGCATCGTACACCCAATCCCCTAAAGTAGTGGAACGTCTTAAACGACAGTGCCGGCGTTCGAGGCGATACGGGGCCAGAGGTCGGCGCACTCCTTGGCAACGCTGCAAAGTCAGATTTTTCGATCGTACGCAGAGAACATGATGATACTCACGGGCCGTTGATGGCGGAACCCTTCATCTCACCCTTGGCGTTGACGATGACACCGGCGTTGTCCTCGAAGTAAAGGAAGACACCGTCACGACGGCGCCAGGGCTTGCGCTGACGGCAGATGACGGCGGGCATGACCTTCTTGCGGAGCTCGGGCTTACCCTTCTTGACGGAGGCCATGACCATGTCACCAGCGGCGGCGGCGGGGAGACGGTTAAGACGGGCACCGAAGCCGACGACCGAGATAACGTAGAGGTTCTTGGCACCCGAGTTGTCCGCGCAGTTCATGACGGCACCGACGGGGAGACCGAGGGACATGCGGAACTTGGTTCCGGTGGCAGCGGCTGCGATAGTCAGCATAAAAACTCCAAATGGTAGAGAACCATCGTCTGGCGTTGGATGTTCGCAGAGGATCAGAGAGTCGCGAGGTGTCGAAGTCGTCCGCGTTGAGAACGGCTCAAAAACCGGGGCGACGATGTCGAAATTCTGCACGAGACCAGTATCCACCAAAGCGCTCCTTACGAGTGCTCCATGCACGCATGCAGTTCTCTGCTTCTTTGGAGGTCGTCCACAGCTTTCCGGACTAGATCGCGCGCAGAACTTCGTTTCAACGTCGCCCGTTGATATTTCGAGTCGACTCCTTCCTACTTCGCGGCAAAGATCTGGACGAGATCAAGAAACTTGATGGCCGATTTCCTCGCGATCCACTGATCCTATTCCGCTCAATCCAACGCCAGTCGAACCGGTTCGTCGAACTCGCATTTCAACGAAGGCATATTTGCGCTGTTTTTTGGGGGTGGGTGTTGTCGAGACTTGCTGGACAAGAGGAAAGTTGAAGGACGATGTACGCTGTCGTTCGTGGGCCCGGGGGCATCCGCGCCAGGCACGAGAATTTGTTGCTTTACTTCTGCCACACACTTCTTTGGTTTCGGTGCTTTCGGCAAAAGACACGTGGCAATCACATGGCCCGCAGCCCCTTCCAGGCCTCCACCGCCGGCCCTTCAACACGTCGGCCGTCTGGGTGTAAAGTCGAAGGTGCATCTTACCAGTTGAACTTCTTATCACTGCTCTTCATGGCACAGAATTGATTGAATCCACAGCCTTGGGGGCCAGGCATGTCAAGGTCGTAATCTTCAAACTGCAGAAAAGCGTTTCGGTGAGATCCTAAGGTGTGCCGTTTTCCCGTTGCACACTGATCTATCAGAACGCCGAGTCGCAAATAGTGGTGGTTGCTCAAGCAGACCAAGACGCGGTGAAGAGATCCACAGGAGCTCTTTCCACCCGGAGGCACAGGTCAGAGATCTCTTGCAAGATCACCCAAGAAGGCGCAGGCATTGAAGACTCATACAGCGAGCCAACGACGGACTGTCGGATCAGCTTGTCTGCGCTTGTGCCGGCTGGCAACGTAAACAAAGCTCCGAAGTGAGCATGATGTCGAGCAATTGTCGAAGCCACGTCGTCGCTCACGCCGGAATCCGAATTCTGTGATAACTGCATCGCTTTGGCGTTCGAGTACCTCTTTAAAGGCGTACGCGGTCGAGCTGCGCTTCGCGCAGATGGGGGTGGCGGCGGGCTCAAGAGGCAAGGAGGGCCCCACCTTTTCACCTGTACAACTTTGGCCGCTCGTCGCGAAGCCAGCGGCTGGTGCACAGTATTCACATCACAACGTGAAGCCCGGCATCCAGCTGTTGATGCTTCCTCCAGCCAGGGGGAGCTACTTCTGGCGTTTGGCCGATCACCCCTGCCGTCACCAAGTATCCCCGTGCTCCACAGGACACCCTGTCCCCATTCAACGGCTGGACAGCCTTAAATGTAGCACCAGCATGTGTCCCGAGTCTGTGAAGACGCAGACGAACTGAGATGTCCTCGGTGAGATCAATACCTTCGCCTGCCATCGGCTGGGGAACTGCAAAATCATCCCCGCCGTGCTCAACTGGGTAACCGGCCGCCACATCGATCTCGGGTGGATGCTCGTGGGCATGGTGCTCTGGCAATCGCAGAGGTCGACTGTCTTTGCCGACGAGCTAGCGTCAGCTATCCAAGGTCTCGCCGACGATGACAGGCTCCATTGCAACATTGGTCCCGCGTAGACAGAAGAGCGCTTTGAGCTGCTCGAGCGCCTGAACGACTACGCCGATGGCCTCGGTGAGGGCGCGACCTCCCACAGCCAGTTCTTCGTCCCCTCTCCTCTACCCGATTCAGTCCCATTGACAGCGACTCTCAAGCTGTACAGCCGATGGCCGAAGAAGGAAGATCGTCTTGTCGATGAATGGCTGCCGCGACTCAACGCCTTTCGCAGTATCGCCCAGGAGCTCGAGTAAGTTGTTGACAACTAATCGCCCACTGACGTCAGACTGGCGCATGGCGGAGCACTCACCTGGAACACGGTCGACAACTTCCCATCCTTCTTCTGGTCCAGCGCCTTTTCAAAGGTTGACATCCTGCGCATGCCGCTTCGCGCGTGGCACAGGGCCAGGGAGCAATGTGATCGAAGCGCCAACACTGAATGTTCCACCAACTCGCCCATCGGGGTCTTCTACGTCTGGGCTGTGAGCTGCCTAAAGTATGACTCACGGGACCCGTTGACTGGCCTTCCATTCAACCTCTCCGACACCGGCAGCCTGCTGAAACCCACCCTTCTGGCGCACAAAATCCACAAGGCGCCCTTGGATCTTGGCCAACTGAAGAAGGTGCCCACCCAGCTCAGCCATTTCGACGACTCCCGTCGAAACGCCCGTGTCGAAGCCTGGGGCGTCAACAAATTCCTCAGATCGTACCGACTGCCCGCTGTCGAGGCATTCTTGGACGGCCTTCGTGAGTATCCTGTGTTGTAAGCGCTTGATCTGACAGTGCAGTCCCAATGCTCAGACAGCGTCTCCAGCGTCTGCAGGCCCACGGGCTCCTCATTGGCGCGACCCTGCCCGAGACGTTCACGTTCTCAGCCGACTCCTAGGAGGAGTACAGGCTGAACGGGCTTACGACAACCGAGCTGAAGCACGTTGTTCGTCCGACACCATATGTCGACACACACTTCACCTGTCGCATATCGACTTTGCATCGCTGTTCGACGAGTGTGGGACCATGACGGAGCGGGACGTGAGGAAGCTTGAAGGAGTTGGGCGCGCAACCGGCGACGTCCGGCGGCTATGGCGCGACGAGTTGAGGAAGTGGCAGATGGAGAACGACGAGCATGTGGTCACCGTCCTCAAGCTCAATTTCTCGACACGCAATCTGCGCACCATCCCGTGGGTCGAACATCACCCTATCGATGCTGTTCGACGAGTGCGGAATCATGACGGAGCACGATACGAACAGGCTCAAGGCGGGCGAATGTGCGAGGGGCGAGTTCGAGTGGGCGTGGCGCGGCGAGCTGGTCCAGTGGCAGCGCAAGAACGACGACAACACGCGCGACGTCCTGAGACTCAACCTGGCAACTCGGAATCTGCGAACGCTCCCGTGGGTCCATCATCATCCGATCGATCTCGTGTTCGAGTCCAACGAGTACTTCAGGAGGAAGCTCGGCGTGACGCCAGGTCGTCAACTCACTCTGTTCAGCTTCTGCCAAGACCAGAACAGGCCTGAGCGACGTCCTCTCGAGCGGCTGGACCGTAAGCGTCACCGCGAGATCGCGATCGAGCCGCCATTCCCCACTCTCAACGCCGCCATAGACAGTGCTCTTGCACTCGAACGTCCCCCAGAGGCGGCGCGTCGCGCCCTGGTCGTCCCCCCTCGCCCCGTCCCAGCCCCTAGGGCTACCAGGGTTATCACCGGCCCCCTCAACCGTCTCGAGCTGCAGCTGCGCGAGAGGGAGCGCATCGCCGTCCGTGAGGGGCGCCCGCAGCGCCAGATCCTTCTCGCTAACGTTGTCGAGCCTGCTGCTGCCGAACCGATTGCTGTCGAGCCTGTCGTCGCCGAGCCGATTGCTGTCGAGCCGGTCGTCGCCGAACCGATTGCTGTCGAGCCTGTCGTCGCCGAGCCGATTGCTGTAGAGCCTGTCGCCGCCGAGCCGATGTCTGTCGAGCCTGTCGCCGCCGAGCCGATGTTTGTCGAGCCTGCTGCTGCCGAGCCCTTCGTCGCTGAGCCCATCGTCGCTGAGCCTGCCCAGCATGCCGTTGCCGAACGTGTCACCGTCGCGCCTGCTGCCGTCGCGCCTGCTGCCGTCGAGCCAATTGGCGTCACTGCCGGTCGCGTTCCTGCCGAAGCGGAGCTGCCCGTCGTGAGACCCAACGTGCCTGTTGCCGGCCCCGGACACGTTAACCGCGCTTTCCAGGAGATGTCGTCAATTGAACGGCGACTCCGACGCGCAGACCCCGACGCCGAACCGGCGCCCCTCGTCACGCCGGTGTCTGCCTTGGCCGACAGCAGCTACCCGCAACGCCTGGCCTGGCAATTGCCGGCTGTCCAGGCGCTCGCCGGCATCATCAAGGCTTCTGCACCGGCTGAGGAGGACGACGATGAGGGAGGCGAGAGCTTCATGGGCGGTCGCCGAGCAGTAAGCTAGCAGGAGGCTTGGCAACGAGAGTTGATAAACTTATATCGAAATGTCGACGAGACTGAGGATTCCCAGAGGGACAAACAGTCTTAGAACCGACGTCGCTGGGGCAACTAAGTTATCTATTTCTTTCCTTAATCGTTAATCATATGTTCATACCAATTTCCTGCCTGTATGTATGTTCATATCAGTAGTATCTCTCCGCCAAGTTACACATGTCCATACCTCGAAGAGAAGAACGAGTTCGTAAGTTACAGAGTGGGTCTGGCGGCAAGTCTGGTCTGATGTCGGTATGAACCCCGGCACACACCTCATTGTCTACATCTGAGTGGTTGTCGGTTCAGAGGCTGCTCAGAGGCCGCCAACGTGTCTGCTCGGCGACGCATTGAAGTTGAACGTAAGTCGCATTCCCCAAGGTAACTGTGGCAAAGCGGTCGCTAACGACTGGGTGAATACCACTGGAGGATCGCTTCAGAAGACGTTCACCGAATCGGCGTGGACAAGGAGCTTTCAACAGCGTCGTCGTGTAAGAAGTCGTCCAACCTCGGACTCTGCCGATGCTCTTTCGGCTGCATACCTTCCTGCGCTGCAACGGCACTGACATTCCAGTACCCCAAAGCTGTCGTGCGCACCCTGTTCGTTCCAGCATTCAGCTAGTGCGCCAAGTAGCGTGTTGCCGGCCTGCCGGAACGCATGCCGTGTCAGAAAAAAGCACAATGACGTCGAGAGGTGACTGCGGCGCACAGACCTCGCTCTGCCATGTGGCTGTAGAACGAATCACCTACTTGCCTGTGCGTGCACCTGCGGTTTGCTGAGAAGTGAGAAGTGCACTAGCACTAGCGTGTGCAGCGGCGATCGACGGCCGCCCTTCGATCGTTAGTCGCTAGACTGGTTCCGTTTGTCCGCTCTGGGTGCTGTGCGACCTAGCGCGCCTGGCGATCCTGGGGGGTTCGTCCGTTCGGCTGCATCGGCTGGTCCATGCGTCATCGCTGTTTCTAAGCGGGCCTATCGCGTTCATGTCTGCGAGTATGACGCTGCAACGGTTTCTCTAATCTGTTTAGCATCATGTTCGGCGGGTGACATGCTCCGATGGTCCCGACGAAGGACGTGCTTAACGAGCCCGTCGCGCGGTTGAGAACGTGCGATGGGGTCAAGGATGTACGAAGTGCGCGCCTGTTCGCATGCACCGGCTGCGTTCCGGGTCTGACGAGAGTAAGGTTGGCTCTCCACGGGGTATTAAGTGATCGACAGGGTAAAACCTGATGCAGGGCACGCAGCGCAAAGGCGATCCCACGGCGCTGCGGTGGCGAAGGGGCGCGTGACGGGCCGGGCAGGCAGAGGAGCAGAGGAGGATGCAGATCACGTGAAGGTTAGACCGCCGCCGCTGGTCGTTGACGTCGTGCTCCGCCCTGCCCCAGTGCCCAGTGCCTGTTGTCTCCGCTGCAGCATCCTGAAGCGCTAGGCTTGCTCGTAGCGGTAGCGGGTCCAACAATGAGGCTAGAAGGAGCTATGGGAGCCGAGCTGACCGCCGCTTCAGGGCTGCGCTACCCAAAGGCTGAGCGCATCGCATCACAGCATCCCAACACCCAGATAGCCGCCCTCCCCTGGCTAGCCTAGGTCATCTGCTGGTGCCCGGTACCCAGCAGCGCCCAGTATATCCCAGCCCACTGCTCCGGTCACATCCCCCACCAAGGACGCATCCTCCTGTCTCTTCTTGACTCCTACTCTTCTCCAGCATCCGAACACCCCCCGCCATGTTCAAGAAGCTCAAAGCCAAGGCGAACAACATAGCCACCTCCCCCACCGACAAGACGGGCTCCGCCCTCGCGGGCATGCAGTTCAAGGGCGGCAGCAACGGCAAGGCGTCCTCTGGTCCTCGCAGCCGTCCGGAATGGCAGTGCTCGTTGCGTCCAGACCCGGCGACGGGCACGGCCAACCCGTTCCCTGCGCGCAACGGCATCTTCTTCCTCGACGCCAAGGTGGCTTGCGCCGATCAAACCGAGGTCGGCAACCTCCTCGTCGCGCTCGCAGAGGCTGGCATTCGGCCCGTGCTCGTTCCATCCGCCCTGAAGATTGTCGCCAACGTCCTCAAGAGCCGGCCAAAGGCCAACGTCGGTGCGCGTAACGATCGCTCCCTCGTTGAGGCATATCTGCTCGACGCCATGTGGGCGGCCAAGCCCACCGAGGAGGTCGTCGCCAAGCTCAACCCCGCGCTCGACATGAGCTGGCTCGAGGAGAAGCGCTACGGTCTCAGTGATGACGTAGAGGCCGGTGTTTGGCTTGCGCTCGTCAATGGCATCGACAACCTGAACCCCAACGGCAACAAGGCCGACATTGCCCAGCTCGCCGAGCACACCAAGGACGCAAAGCTTGAAAACCAGAAGCAGACTTCGGACCGCTTAACCATCTCGCATGAGATTGTCACCGTCTGCCGCAACACCCTCGGCCCCCACATGCTCTTCTGCTCCGACCGCGTCCTCGAGGCGTCCACTGTCGAGGACCTCGGAGGCCCCCAGCTCGCATCCAGGCATATCGACATCCCCGACAAGTCGACGAGTATCGGTCTCCGCTCCAAGGACGCCGCGAAGCAGCTCATCACCGAGCTCCAGAACTGGAAGCCCATGAGCCCGCCGGTTTCTCCCCAGGCCCCCGTGGAGCCCGTCCGCCCTGTCTCCCCCACCTCGCCCGAGGTCGCGACCGTCGAGCCCGTCCGTGCCGTCAGTCCCATGTCTGGTTAAGTGTTGTCCGATAACGTATGCCCTGCTCCCGGATCGAACTCCTTATCTATCCTCACGGAAGCGACCCGTGCCGCGCCAGTGGCGTTCCCATCGCGGGGCCAAGCTTTCCCTATCTTCTGATGCCAAACAGTTGTAGCAGCCAATGTAACCTCTTGCGTATTCGATGTGCTCGCAGCCTGACAATTGAGTGGCTGACGTTTGGGTTCATGCATAGCTCGGGTGCTGATGCTGTGTGTCAGATCGCACGTCAGTATGAGCCCCGCATAACGATCACCGTCATGCGGCGGGGTGGGGGCGTCACGTGACCTGGTCGCGCGGTTGACTGGACTGTCATGAATTCGCGTCGCCTGTCAACAACAACATCAGTGGCAAACGCCAAGCCGACGAAACACGGAAACAAGCGCAGCATGAGTGACTCGGATGACCTGGTGGTCATTCCAGAGTCACCGCCGCCGCCGAGGCGCTCGGGCCGCTCCGTTCGAGCGAGGAGCGCACCGAAGACGCCAAAGGCGCCCTCGTCGGACGACGACATTGTCATCCTCGACGTCCCACCGATAACACCGGCGCAGCCGACACCGAGCGCCCGCCGTCCCCGCAAGAAGCGCTTGTCGGAGGACGAGGTCATCTGTCTCAGCGACTCTCCGCCACCCAGGCCGCCGTTAAAGGACCGCTTCACGTACGCTGGACCATCGGCTCCGAAGCCCAAAGTCAAGCGGGCGGCGAATACGGGGCCCAGCCGACCAAGGAAGGTGATGTCGTCCGAGCCCAACCCAGACTTGCCGTCCATCAACAGAGTGTTGCGACCACCGCGAGAAGAGCCGGAAGTGAAAGTTCCAGAGTGGCTGGGGAAGGTCAGCGTGCTTCTCCACCTGCGGGACTGTCCTGTCTGTCGCCGGCAATTCAAAAAGGGCGATGCTGGACCCGCGCGATGGGTAAGCTACGAACAACTTGCCTCAATTAGCTAACGGCAGCGACACATATCGACGTGTATCCCGATTGCTTACCGTCCACCGAACCCGGCTCCCGACCTCCAGGCGCTCATCGTGGCGGCGCTGAACCCCGACCGCGAGCTCACCCTGCTCGGACAGCGCACGCATGCTGCATCGGAGAGCGAGACGCTGTCTACCTCGGTCGACCTCGAGATTCACTCCAGGCACAAGCTGAATGTGACGACGGTCACAGAGTTGTTCGGCCGGGAGGACCAGGTGGACGAGAGGCTGCGCGCCTTCCTCGGCAGTCCGGAGCCTGAACCTGCAGAGCGGGGGTGGCTCAGCCGCCGCCCGTCTGCATCTGCGACTGTTGCCAGCCTCCCTTCGAGTCTTCCTCCAGCCACGCCATGGGCACCCTCCCCGTCTCCGCCACGGAGCCGCTCGCCGACAGATAGTATCTCGTCGCGAGAGTCGGAGACATTGCAACAGGAGGAGGAGGGAGACCCCTTCCCATCAACGCAGGAGATGGGCACCTCTTCGCTTGCCTCTCAGTACGCTCGCCCTCCGCACGTGGGAGCGCCGCTGTCATCACAGTCGGGGTCATTGCTGCCACAGGCTCCGCCAATACTCGGCTTGACGCAGCAGCAGCGGGACGAGTTCCAAAAGCGTGAGGCGACGCAACGACGACGCGACGCCATCGCGGCCTCTCAGGCCGAGCCCAGTGAACCGAACGAAGGCGGTTTCCACTTATCGTCCCAAGTCCCACGAGAGTCACGCGAGTCGTCAACACCGTCCACACCGACGAGGAGACCGCTGGCGCCGCAACGCAAGCCGCTCTTGCCCATCAGCACCCACTCGCCCTTTCGAGCCGGGGGAAGCACGCGCGATCCAGGGTGCCTCCCCAAATCGTCTGGATCTGGCGCGCGGCGCAGGGCCATCTTCGCAGCGCTCGGGAGTTAGGAGTCGCGCCGCTACGCCGGTCTGGGGTAGCGGGCCGTCGACGCCGGTGCGGAGCGCCGATACGACACCGACGAAGAAGGCTAAGAACAATGACGGCAAAGCGAGCCCCTCAACCCTGACCCCGCCGTCGAGCGCGATGAAGAGTATGAAGATCTCCAGCCCTATCGTTATCAGCAGCGACGATGACCCGACGCCGAGGAAGCGCAACTGGGATGAATGGGGCGCGGGTGCGGACCTCGTATACGTCCCGTCCGACGACGAGGAGCCCGCCCCAGCGTCTCAAGCAATCTCTGTGACATCGGGAAGCGAGAGCGCCGTCTCCGTCACATCTGGGAGCGATGACGACCTGTGGGACAGCTGGGGCGCCGATGCCGTGATGCACTTCAACGCCGACTCCGAGTCGGACGGCTACGATGCGTTCGAGTTTCCGTCATCGCCTCCGCGTGAGCCCTCGCCTACGCCCTCCCGAGCACCTCCGGCTCCCACCGCCCCAGCGCCGAAACCGCCAGGCCCAACCATGCCAGACTACATCAGCTGGGAGATCTCCAAGCTTAAGGTAAGCTGCTGCGTGCGCCGCGAAGCTGACTGCCAGAAATTGGTCGAGGGCTACGGGTTTCGTGCGAGCAAAGACAAGGGTGGGCTCGTTCGCATTGCGACAGAGTGCTGGGTCGCGATCCACGGCACCGTCAGCGAGTCCGAGGAGGAAGTGCCTTTGGCTCAGCTGCACACGCCCAAGGCGAAGACGCCTAAGGGCGCGCGTCCCCGATCGGCCAAGGTTGCTACCGAGCCAGAGACACCGTCCAAGTCCAAGGGCAAGGGCAAAGCGAAGGAGGACATGACGCCCGAGCAGCTCGACGAGCTCTTCTTCGCCATGGTCCGCGATGATGACGAGTTCTACCTTCGTATCCTCCGGTATGAGCCTATCCACTGGGACGAGTTCCTCTCGCGGGCCATCCGTGACGGCGCCTACGGGAAGGGGTGGAAGGACCGTCTCCGCGCCTTCCTTGATCGACAGGGGATCACGTTCTACACTGCTGATCCGGGACAGCCACGCAGCCGGCAGAAGAAGCGCCGATAGACCCAGCCATATCCCCAGCGACACGATTTAGCTCCACCCATTCATAGTCACATGTTTTACACCCCTCTGTCAGCTCTGTTGTACCATACACCACATACACATGCATACAAGATACAACTACGAGCGATCCTTAGCCCGGTCCAAGATCTCGAGGAGATTCTGACTCAGGCTCTTGACAGTGAGATTCGGCGAGTTCTCCCAGATATCCTTCAAGCGGGCCTTGTACTGATACGGCTTGATGGCCTCGACGACAGCGGGCCGGGGCCGTCTGCTCGTACTGTTAGACTCAAGCAGATGCCTAAGCGTCCGGAGGGCAGGGATGCGGAGTGCGTCGACCTTGCTCCCAAGAGCATCGCTTATGCCCTCGAGGACTTCGACGCGGCCGAGCAGCACCCCGCGCACGCGCTCATTGCCCAGCGCAAGGTTGGAGAGAATGTACAGCGCCGGTTTCCTCAGCTCGAGATCATCGGCTGAAAGAGCTGAGACAATCGAGTCCATCCCGCTCACACTCAGTTCGGGCGCGGGGAGGTCGTCGGCAAACCCGCCGTCCATGAGGCCCATACCATCGCCAACGACGTCGGACACGCCCGACCCGAGCGCGTCCAGTGTTCTGCTCAGCTCGGCCTTGCTCGCCTGGTCGACCACATTTTGCAGCAAATGCAGCGCCTGCGTGCGTAATTGCGGCGGCGTCCTCGGCGAGATAAGTTCAGCGAGGCGGCGCCAGCTCAGCGCGCGCACGACGTCGGCTTTGAGCGTCTCGCTAGCGTGGTACGTCAGATTCTTCAGCGCCCATAACGCATTCAGCGCCAGCGGCTCGTAACTGCTCGAAGTCAGGGAGACGAGTAACTCGACCCCGCCGCTCATGACGAGCTTAGCACGCAGAGGGCTAAAGTCTGTGACGAGGTTGCAGATCGTCGCCGTCGCCGCGACCTCGACGGTCCATGCCCGGTCGCCCAGCTCTTCCTCTGCCGTCACGTCGAATTCGGCGGGGAGCTCGCCGCCCTCATCCGCCCGCCGCGCTACCTCTCGGCGTAATGTCTCCACGACCTCTTCGCCGACGCCCGAGTCGACGAGCGACGTCTTCAGGATCGCGATCGTGCGGCTCAGCGCGCGGGCGAGCTGGCACGCGGCCGCGCGCACGCCGTAGCTCGGGTGCGATAGGGCTGAACACACTAGCGGCAGCACGGGAGGCGATGCGTCCGCGATCAGACTCCTAGTCGGCTCGTACTGGAACGCCAGGGCTGCGAGGGCGAGCAATGCGCCCTCGCGCATTCGCGATGCCGCATCGTGGCCCATGTCGCCCCGCGTTTCGTCCCCGTCTACCTCGACCAGGGCCGAGATGAGCAGCGACGCACATCCCTGGTCGGCTGCTTCCTTCTGCAATCTCTCGTCATCCGATACAAGCGCCGCTGGGCGTCAGTTCGCAGACCTCATCGTAACTCACCCAGCACGAAGCATAGCTTCACCCTCTCCTCGATCTCCTCGGTGCGCAGGAGCTTGATGATGACGTCGAGGAGGTTGCGATTCGTGAGCCGGTCGCTAACGCGGTCGCGCATGTGTCCGCCCTTGTCGGCCTTGATGATATTTGTGAGGCACGAGGCGACGGCGATGCGCACACTGCTCGTCCCCGTCTCCATCAGCTGGGTGAGTACCGAAATGACCTCGGGCGCACCCGCACCGCTCTCGCTGTCGCCCCCATCGTCGTCGGGCGCGTTGTAGCTCCGGATGTGCCGCGCGATGACGGGTTGGCCCTTGACCAGCGCAGCCACTAGCTCGAGCGCCGCCTCGAGCAGCTTCGGGTTCGTCCTGTGATCGTGCCACTCGGTGATCGTCTCGAGGAGGTGTTCGAGGAGGAACGGGCAGCCGCTGCCGCCGCTCTCTATGCCGAGGAGCTCGCGGTGCGATGGGAGCGCAATCACACGAGCGAGAAGCTGGTAGAGCGGTAGCACAACTGCTGGGTCGGGGTACAGCGTGATGAGGGACAATAAGGCGTGGCGATTCGCGTCCTCAAACACTAGCACGAGGGCGTTGGCAGCGTCGCTCCGCCATTGGGCTGCCTTGGCCTTGCTCCGCACGCGCGCAGGACGCAGTACGTCGTCGCCGACCAGCCCCGTGCCAACCACCTTCTGCTCGGCGCCGACGCCCCACATGTGGCCCCACAAGACCTCGGCCGTCGAGCCGAGTACGTTTCGCAGTGCCCTCAGTAGGGCAGGGAGAAGTCGCGGCGCAGCAGCGTGGCCCGGCAGCCATCGGACCAAGGCCAGAAGCGCCCCCGGCACTCCCTCGGCGAGGAGAGGGCGCAGTGTGAGAGCCCCAGCGCTTCCGAGCGCACCCAGAATGACCGCCGTCTCGACGACGATGCTCGCCTGCTGTTCCGTCTCCGGGACAATGAGCTGTGACAACAGGCAGGAAGCGTCAGCTGCATGCATCCAGAGACGAACTCACTAGTGCAGCAGCTCGTCGTCACTCGCGTACTCGACCTTCTTCCAGGTGTTACCGATGACGGCGTTCTTGAGCTCTTTGAGCGTACGCAGCTGCTCATCCGGGGACCCCGAAGGGATGGTCACAGCGGCGGCGCTGGACGCGGTGGCGGTGGTCATGTCGCGCGCGTGGTGTGCTGGTGTGTTTATATGCGGTGTTTCTCTGTTTATCAAGATTGAGCAAGGAAGGTGACCAAAATGTTCGGGTGTCGCCCGAGTAGTGTGGTGGATTGCTCTGTAACAGAGTGAGTGGGTATGGGTGGGTGGTGCTTGGCGTCATAGAGCACGCGCGCTCATGTTCTCCACATCGCTCACCCACTCAGCGGCTGACTCCCACCGCAGCTGGCCGACGCTAGGCTGGGTGATTAGGTGTCGAGACATCTGCTTCCGCTGCTAATCGCCTCCCTATTCCCTACGTCATCCGATTAGCCCTACCCCAGCCGGCTAGCTTATACCTCGCATTACTCCGATAAGCAGCGTGTGCGCCTTGTGAGCTCTGCGGTGGCAAATTTCCCGTCACGTGCACGTTCACCCGGTATGGATTTTTGAGAACCACCCGGGCGTTCGGGTCCTCGGCTTGATCGATTTCCTCCTACCAGTCTTCACCTTTGCATCCTCCTCCGACCTAGATTCGACGAGACCACACACGGCCTCTTCATCCTCTCATCGAGGCTTTCTCACCCTCTGTCTCACCTAAAAGGGGCGCACACACACACGCCCAATCCCCCAGAAGGGGCCACACGCCTTCCCAGGCTTCCGATCTTTCTTCTCACACGACCCCGACCGAAATCAAAATCAAGACTCATCATGTTACGCTCCGTCAAGGCGACTATCCGCCGCGCCCCCAACCCCTCCGTGCAGCGTGCACTCCTCTCGCGCGCTTACACCGCCCCTACCTCGCCCGCCCAGAAGCCTGCCCTCGCCGTGCAAGAGGCGCAGCCCGATTATGAGCCGTCGATCATGGTCGGACGGCGACAGGAGCCCGAGCCGCACCGCTACAATCTCGGCCCGACCTTCCGCAACAACAACCTGATCCTCCCCACTCCCCTTCCTTCGGACGTCCTTCCCCCATCCGGCTCGCTGCAGTCCCAGCTGTACAAGACGACGTCAGCCGTTGACACCATCGCGATGCTGTCCATTTGCTCAAGCCGACCAGAGTTTGTTCCGCGAGCCTACCAGATTTTCGCTCAGCTTCTGGATGACGCCAAGGTCGGCAAGGCCAGCTACCCCGAGGCCACTGTATGGGCTAATGTCATTCGTGGTGTAGCCAAGCTCGGCAAGGAGAAGGCGGCACGCCCCGGTCAGAAGGACCTCGCCGCTCTCTGGCGCGGACGGGTATCGCAGCTGGTTTGGGAGTGGGAGAAGCTTCACGACCACGCCGTCGGCTCCCCCTGCACCGAGGACGATGGTATTCTTCTCTACCGCGCGTGGTTTGCCGGAGCCGTTAGGTGAGTAGCTTGCTTGTACCAGGAGCAAAGAGCTAATAACAGCGTCGGTGCCCCTCTCGCCAACCTTGCACCTTACATCGAGACTCTTGGCCTCGAGGCTCTTACCCAGGGAATGCAGCGCGACGAGCTCGACAAGGCGTTTGACGAGGTCGAGACGTACGCTGAGCAGAACGGCCGCGGCGACCTGAAGGAGACCGTCCAGGCTCTCCGGAGAGAGGAGTCTGACAAGCGAGAAGTTCTCGAGCGCGAGGTCTTCCCCGAAGTCAGCCCCGTTCTGGAGACCACCGGAAAGGTCAAGAAGCGCACTCCCGAGGAGATGGCCGCGATGGAGGGCCAGGCTCGTTTCGCGATCCAGAACCTGCGTGGCAACCTTGCGCCACTGCAGAACGCGGCGTCGACTTACGCTCGCCAGATGGCTCTCGAGAGGGCTTCTTACGACGCGGCCGAGAAGGAGATCCAGGAGTCGGCCCGCAAGATGGAGGAGGCCAACCTCAAGGAGGTCACCGATGCCATGCGCATGCAGAGCGGCGTCCTGCAGGCGTGGATGCACGAGTGGTACCTCGCCCTCACGGAGTACCTCGAGCAGGACATTGACGACATGCGCAAGCGCATCGAATCTACCAAGCCGGAGCAGCTTGACTCCCGGGCGACCCGCTGGGGACCACAGAGCGGCATGAAGGATGACCAGAAGCTCCTTTACCTTTCAACTCTTCCCCCGAAGCGCCTCGCCCTGATTACGATTCTCGAGCTTATGCGCATGATTGGAAGCGGTGGGGTCAACGACGGGATGAAGCTGCTCCGCGGTGTCATGGGTGTCGGACGTGCCATCGAGGCCGAGTACCGTGCCGACATGATCCGCTCCATCGCCGGAGAGAAGTCGCGACTTTGGCAGAAGGTCATCGACCCGAAGACCCAGAAGCCCTCGCGCCTGAACGTCGAGAGCACTTGGAAGGAGATTGGCCGTGAGCGCGAGAAGGAGGCCAAGGAGTCGTCTGACGGTGCGGCCGCGCAGTCTGTGAAGGCTGGTCCGGAGTCTGACCTTCGCGCTGTCTGGACCCCTCCTTGGAGTGGAATGGTGCAGATGAGCATCGGTACCCACCTCGTTGAGGCTCTCATCAAGACTGCCCGCGTCGTTCGCCACGGCACCGACCCCCTCACCGGCGAGCAGGTCACCGAGAAGCAGCCGGCGTTTGCCCACTCGTTCGAGTACGTCCGCGGCCGGAAGCTCGGTGTTATCAAGGCCAATCCGGTTGTTGCCAAGCGTCTCGCGAACGACAGCGTCCGCCAGGTCATCTCCCCCAAGCACCTCCCCATGCTTGTTCCCCCCAACTCCTGGAAGGCTTGGAACCAGGGCCCCTACCTCACGATTCCGACGACGATGATGCGCTTCAAGGACTCGGTCGAGCAGAAGAACTACCTCGAGGCTGCCAGCAAGAGCGGCCACCTCGAGCCCGTGTTCCACGGTCTTGACGTCCTGTCATCGACGCCCTGGCGCATTAACCGCAACGTCTTCGAGGTTGTCCTCAAGGCGTGGAACGACGGCGACGCCATTGCCGACATCCCCGCTACCGCCGAGAAGTGCGAGATTGTGATTCCCGAGAAGCCCGACGACCCGAACGACCCGACCAAGCGCTACGAGTACGTCCAGGCGATGAAGCAGCTGTCACTGCAGCAGCGCAAGAACCACGCCGAGCGCTGCAAGTACAATTACAACCTCGAGATTGCCCGCTCGTACATCAACGACGTCTTCTACATCCCGCACAATCTCGACTTCCGTGGCCGTGCTTACCCTATTCCTCCCCATCTCAGCCCTGTCGGTGACGACCTGTGCCGTGGTCTCCTTACGTTCGGCGTCAAGAAGCCACTCGGCGAGAACGGTCTCCGCTGGCTCCAGATCCACCTTGCTAACCTTTACGGTTACGACAAGGCGAGCTTCGACGAGCGAGTGCAGTTCTCCAAGGACCACGTCGAGGACATCTTCGACAGTGCCGACCACCCGCTTGACGGCAAACGCTGGTGGCTCCAGGCCGAGGACCCCTGGCAGTGTCTCGCCGCGTGCTTCGAGCTCGCTGGCGCCCTCCGCTCTGGTGACCCGAGCAAGTTCGAGTCGTCGCTCCCCGTGCACCAGGACGGAACCTGTAACGGTATGCAGCACTACGCTGCGCTCGGTGGTGACGTCCGCGGTGCCAAGGCCGTCAACCTCGAGCAGGGTGACCGTCCGGCAGACATCTACTCGACTGTTCTTGCGCTCGTGAACGAGTCAATCGAGGCGGACCAGAAGAAGGGTGTCCCGACCGCTCTCCTGATCAAGAACCCTCTCGGCCGTAAGGTTGTCAAGCAGACTGTCATGACGACGGTGTACGGTGTCACGTTCGTCGGTGCCCGTGACCAGATCGCCAAGCAGCTCCGTGCCCGTGGCGACATGTCGTCTGATGATGTCTGGATCACCTCGGCGTACATTGCGAAGAAGGTTTTGAACTCGATCGGTTCGCTCTTCTTCGGTGCGCGTGCGATCCAGGACTGGCTCACGAACACTGCTCGTCTCGTTTCGCGTGCTATCCCGGCCGACCGTCTCGAGGACGCGACTGCGGCTGAGACGAAGCGTCCCCGCGGCCCCCGCCCGGGTCCGAAGTCGCAGGTCAAGTCGCGCATCGCCAAGGAGCTCATGACGAGTGTCGTGTGGACGTCGCCGCTGGGCCTGCCCGTCGTGCAGCCTTACCGCAAGCCGATCAAGAAGCAGGTCATGACGTCGATGCAGACCGTCTTCATCAGCGACCCGAACGCGCCGTCCGAGGTCTCGCCGCAGAAGCAGGCGACGGCGTTCCCGCCCAACTTTGTGCACTCGCTCGATGCGACGCACATGCTCCTCACCGCCGTCGCGTGCAACCAGGCCAACATCACGTTCGCGTCCGTGCACGACTCGTACTGGACGCACGCCTCCACTGTCGAGCCCATGAGCGAGGTCATTCGTGACTCGTTTATCCACCTGCACTCTAACGACATCATTGGCAAGCTCCGCGAGGAGTTCATTGACCGGTACAAGGACCACTACATCCCTCTGAACCGCGCAAAGGAGTTGTCGAAGAAGGCGGCCGAGCGTGCCGAGGCCCTCGCCGAGCTCAAGCGCGAGAAGACAGACGAGGAAGTCGCCGCTGCTGAGGCTGACCCCGAGGCCGCGCTCGAGGCCGAGGAGGAGGACCTGAAGCCGGGCGAGGAGGGCGTGAACGCGTCCGAGGTCGACGGCGCGCCGACGATCAAGATCAACGGCCGCGAGTTCGTCCGCTTCCTCGACTGCATCCCGCCGACGCCGCCGCGTGGCGAGTTCGACGTCCAGAAGATCAGGCAGAGCAAGTACTTCTTCTCTTAGAGCACTCGTTCAACTCGTTCGACACAAATCCATTCCAGCATTTTTCCCAAACCAACCATCATCTTGTTTCTCTGGGGCTCCTCCGGCCAGGCTTTCGGCCAGGAGGAACAAACAATATCTCGCATCTCTTCCAATACTCCCTTCGCCTCCGTAGGGCTAAAACAAACATAAACCTTCCCCCCTTCTGTATGTCTGTAAGCATATACCATGCATGCACCACCATTCGAAATGACAACGCGCTATCGGCGAATGGCAGTCGTGATGGACGCTAAACTGCGAGAGAACATGACGCTTGCGGCGCAACATTGCCACTGCGGTAAGTGACGAATGTCACTTGCTGCGGCCATTGACATCGGAGCAGATCTGGTCCCGGCGGTGACTGCCAAGACGGCTAGAAGCTAGACGGCGAGACGGCGAGACAAGTGAGATGGCTAGAATTGCCTCACATGTCCTCACACGTCCTCACGCTTTAGCCTCGCACGCCGGCGCCACGCGCAGTCCGCAGACGAACACATGTCTGCCTCAGTGTGAATGGCGGATCAACGTGATCATCATGGCTTGCTGCGGCGGGCAATGACAGCTGCCTCGGCGTACAGCGGCGTACCCATGTTCCCCGCGCCTCTGATTGTGTTGCGCCCCCGCTACTGTGAGGCATTGAGTTGCGCCCCCGCTATCTCTGCCTACCAACGTTCTGCACTTCTGTGATATGCGCCCGCGCTATGTCTATTGTTTTGCGCCCCCGCTATCTCTATTCTTCTGCGCCCCCGCTACTGCCGAGAAGCATTCTGTTGCGCCCCCACTATCTCTATTGTTTTGCGCCCACGCTATATCTGGTTCTTCGTCATGTACTGCGGAGCTAGCGGTGTGCGCCTGGGGTCCTCCTCGGCGTCCGGCAGATGCCGCAGGAGATCCAGCTGACATCTGGCTGACACTGCCGACGCTGTCAGTAGATCAGTAACGGTCGATTTCGGGGCCATGGTGACTTGCTCGCCACTGCCAGAAATGATCACCGCTGCATTTTTGCCACTGACAGCAGCTACAGCGCCATGTTGCCATGAGAGGAAGTGGGGAGTCTATCTCGCTTTAACCGTCTGCGTTCTTACTCACGACATGCATACCGATCGTAGACCGAGGTGGAGACGGTGTGGGGTCGGTGAGGCATGCATGTGATCGAGCTCGAGCGGAGCGACATATCCGGGCACCAACAGTGCATGCACAGTCTGCCCAAAGACGCAATCGGCTAGTTTGCAGAGATTTAGGAGATTTGCCGCCGGCGGACAAAGCTTAGGACGGCGCGTGGGCCAACGTGCCTGCACTTTCTGCCTGCGGATTGCAGCCGGGCAAGGGATGACCGCGGATTAAGAGATCAAGAGTGCCGAGGACCGAGGGGGTGGGTCAGATAAGCTAGTGCCTTTGCTTTTGCCGTCTACCAAAAGGTAAGCGCACACGATGGCGACTAGCGTGGGCATGTGTCACATCTCTCCTGCGGCCTGCATGCTGCACCTGATTCACAACCGTAGCGCTCCATAGCGTTGCATCGTGTACGTATGTCATCGTGTGCATTGCAGGGATGCATTGATGCAGGAAGGGCCGTGATGGCGGAGCATGAGCGCATGAGCTTTCTGAGGCCCCTTCGTCGAAAACACTCGCGAAGGGGCGCACAGGGTCAAGGCGCAGAGGGCAGTCACCGTGTGTCTGACATTTGCTCCGACTAGTCCCCAGATCCACCCAAGATCGCGAGGGATCGCGAGGAGCAGCCACGGGGTCACCGACGCGAAGTGTGCGAAACGTTGCTCTGTGTGCATTCTTGTTCGTCCGCCGAGACACGATGACACGCGCATGACAAGGTGGCGTGCAGCACCACATCAGCCTTCGCTCGCCTTCTCGCCACCGAACGCCGTCGGTGTTGTGTCAGTCTCGTGCTTCGGTGGATCGGTGAGATCGTTTCTGCATCGTATCGGTGGATTAGACGGAGGTCGAGGTGGGTATACGTCATAGCCTCCTTTTTGGTTCCACCAGCCGCACGCCGCACCTGCATCCGAGAACACGGCGAAAGGAGGAGAGGACAAGGAGGGCACCGGAAGCTCGCCCTGGGACGCCCTGAGCGTGCACCGGGGAACACGGTGTCTTCGAATCCGGTTGCGATCGTTGCTCCGCGTTCTCTCCGCTGGTATCACCGGGGGACCTAGCGGTACGCACGGTACAGGAACGGTACCGAAAGTGGTCACCCCGGACCCCACGATGCGTCGCAGGCAAAGCAAAGCGACACCCTCGTACATCGTCCCCTACCTCCACTATGGATAGGTGGTGGGCGGTGGCCCCCGCCTCCCTTTCCCCTCGTCCCCTCTCGCATCAACGCATGCATCGTGACACCTGCTACAGTTGCCAGTCGCAGCGCACTCTATGTGAAAGACGGAGGCACCAGACGGGGATGTTCGGCCGTGCTGTGGCTCTTGTCGTGAGGGAGGAGAGGCACTCGTCGGGTGCTGCGCCACAGCGGCGGTGAGGAGAGGTGACGACGCGGCGATCGTGAGCTAGATCTCATGAAAGCGGTACGCTGCCGCCTCCCGTCCACTCGCGAGTTCACAATCGTAAGCGAGCTCCCGAGATAGCACACACATACGAGCTCGATCGAGCGGCGCGGCATGTCACCAGACCCAAACCCGTCCACCGCCCGGCGCTGATTGGCCTATCAGCTTCGGCGTCGCGATAAGAAACCGGAGCATGTTTGGGCGGACTTCTTTCGCCCACGCATACTGCGCGACTACGGCCGATCATGCTTCTGGCGTGTTCGTCGCCTCATGCTTCAGTGCACTGCCATTCAGTGCTTCGGTAGTGCAACTCAGAGCTTGCAGCGGGCAGCGGCAGGCGATTCAGGTGAATTCAGCTGTGTCGGCAGACTACCATCACTTTACACCTGCGGCCCAGCGGCAGATGCCGCTCTTCAGTTCATCAGTAAGAGCAGCGATAGTGCGCCCTCTCCGCAACCCTCGTGCATGCGATCGTGCACAAGATTCCTTCACGATCACTCGTATGCTTCCCCGGCTTCGTTGCCTTCGTTCCCTGTCCTGTGATCGGCGATGCACATGCTACGAACTCTCCTCGGAACGTCGGAACGCCGGTCCGCCCTGCCGCTTTAATGCATTACGTCTTACCCCACGAGAGAATTCACTACGATCAGAAATGGGATCAATCGCGTCAATGGCGTTGTCCTGGGTTTCGGTGAAGCGTGAACTCTTGTGGTGACAGCCTCAGTGGAAACTAGTGTGCCCGGGGAAACGCCCGCTGACCGCACAATTTAGATCTGGGTACGTTCGTTTGAGCCTTGGGCTACGAATTAGATTAATTAGCGTCCCTCTGCTGTCCCTCGGTGGCTGCAGGATCCACCTTCTGCTGCAAGTCTCAGGCTTCAGGACACGTTACGCACCAAGCCTGCCACCGTTTCTTGTTGTCCTGCATGCAGGAGTTGTAAGAGAAATGGATCGTGGGTCGCTTGCAGCTCGTTTCTGAAGCGCAGGGAAGAGAACCACTTGGTGCCCACTGGCGTGCCGGCTTCTCAGGAGCAACCTCAGGTTATCCGCATTCAGGTCCGTCACATGTCTGGGTTAGGTTCTACTAGCGCCGTCAGTAGCGGGGACGCCGTGTGCTTCAGCAAATCACATCTAAAGCAATCACGCAAAACGCGCACAAGGGCTCCATGGGATCTTGTTGCAGGTTTTTTTTTTTTTGCAAGCTCTTGCTCTAACGTTTCTGGCGTGCCGTGTCCTGCAACTTGTCCTGAGCTTGAGGTGGGCTGACAGCACAGTTCACGCGCTTCACGGCTATGGACAACTTCGGCATCCCCTGTCCGTTCTCGTGCCGTCGTGCCGTGTACCGCTGTGCGAACGGAGAAGCAACGAGTGTACCGCCTAGCTCTCGTCCAACGTGCAAGCAGACGGCACCCCGTAACAAGTCTGGGACACAATCTAGGATCGCGCCAGGGCAAGTGCGGAGGCACAGAAGGAGGGCGTGTCGTGAATCGTGAATCGCGGTGGTGCCCGGTGGTGCTCACGCATGCAAAATACGTCATCGTGCATGGGGCGGCAGGTTTCAGCTGCTCCAAGCTCGCTCGCTCGCTCTCTGATCGGTGCATTGCGCGGTAGGCGACGAGGAGGGCACGGCGGTAGGCTGAAGCGAGTGCAGACGCCCCGTGCCATCGCATGTGTCATATAGTCATGTGCTAGTGCACTAGGACGCTAGGACAGGGTGTCATGCTCATGCGGTCACCGGTATCTGCGCCGCGACACGCGTTGAACGGACCCTTTCCGCGAAGCCAATCGACCGGTCCCTACATGCCCCGCGCCCCGCGCGCCCTCCGCCGTTTGCGTCTCGCCGTCACGGCGGCGGCTCCGGGACTCCCTTCGCCGCCGTCCCTTCGCCGTGGTCCGTGTGTCTTAGTGTCCCACTAGTTTGATCAGTACCGCTCGTACCGGTTGTACCGCTCGTGCCCACTCGCCACCGTCTGTCAGGCTCCTCCCTCTCCCCTTCCAACAGGCTCAGGATGCAGGATCACAAGGATTCAAACACGATTCCGAGGCCTCACGACGCCCTGCTAACTCATTGACTTCTCGGCTACTGCCCATCACCGCGTTTGGAAATTGCGCGACACACAGCGAGCCCAGCAACTACCACTGAACCCAAGGAATGCATCGTGCCCCATGTGATGTGCTTCGGAGCCACCCCGCGCCCTCCCCTCGTCCCCCGCATGCACCGGTCGTCAGACAGGCTGGGCACATTGGCACCCTCTGGCAATCTCACCGACGCTACACCGCCATCTCGTCCTTTGCCCCGTCCCCGCGCCGTACCGCCGTGCCGTGCGGACCAACCTGAGTGCTGCTGCGGATGCGACCACACCATCGCTATATTTATAAGAAACGACTCGCTCACCGTCACCCCAGCTCTCTCTTCTTCTCCCACATCATCACTCACCCAGCATCCAGCTCCGCTACCCGAGATCTCCCGCTACCCCATCCACTCCGGTAGTACTTTCGGTCAGCTCTAGATACCAGACAGTTTCCATCAAACCAACTGTCATCCGCCACGCCACCTTTCATCCACCCGACCACCACCCGCTTCCCGCCCTCAAGCTCACCCCGCACTACCGTCTGCATCGGGTAATTTCCATCAACGGCAACCAGCAGTAGTCACGGTCACAAGCCCGCGACTGCCACAACACTACAAGTGAGTCTTGCTTCCATGCATGCTTCCTTCCTCCTCTCCATCTTTTGTATGCTTCGTCGTGTCTCGTGTTGGTGGCAAGCGTGGATCTTGGTCTTCCTTGTTTGCGGCGGAGGACGTGTGTGTGTGTGTGTTCGCCTTGGGTGTGCCTCCACGTGCCGGCGGCTGGTCGCAATCGGTGACTTGTCGATCGGAGAGATTGGGCCGATGGGCCAGCGTGTGCAGCAGATGGTGCAGCACGTCAGCGCGCCCGGGTATCCCTGGATCTTTCTCCTGCACGGGCCATTTGGGCAGAGTTGTCACTTTGAGACGAAACGTGTTGTTCCCCGGTCGGGCGCATGGGCTGCGTCATATCGCTCTCTCGCGCCTTTTCTCGGCGGAGCGGGCGGGGACGGGAGCAGATTTGGGGACATCGGCCGCGGTATAGCGGACGGCGGCGGTCGCCCATGGTGGCTGCTGTCTTGGCTATGACGCCTGGGATGTCTTAATGGCGCGGGAGCAAATGGGCAAATTGGCCATAGCTGCATGCCACGCCAGGGTTAGGGCAGATCGAGGATTAGGGCCAAGCCTTGCCAAAACGCTTGCTCGCTCGCCGCCTCAGGGCAACCCTAACCCAAACCGGTGCATCGCCTTCTTCACCCTCTTGCCCTCTGCTGCTATTCCCAGCCAGCACACACACCCTACTACTGCCCACACAAACACACCGCCCTCCCACTCCCACTCCCCCCATCCCACTCCTCCCACACCACCACCACCGTCCTACATCTGCAACCACCACCACCACTCTCTTTGTCCTCTTTCCTCATTCTCCATCGTTTTATTTTCTTTTTCCCTCCGTAGTCTATATTCCCTTCTGTCCTCGTCGACTCACACCACCAGCCAACTGGGCTTTTAGAAGCTCATGTCTTCCCCTACCCTCGCCTTTAGCGCGCAGATCCCCGCCTTCGTCGCCGCGAAAAACCCACCTCCCCAGCCCACTTCTCTTCCGTCGCCTCCTCTTTCTGTCTCGAGCGACTCGTATCCCTCTGGCCAGGCCCAGCTCGACGCTCTTGACCTCGACGGACTCGAGGACCTCAGCTTCGACTTGGCGACCACTCCCCAGTCGACGACTCTTGCCTCGCCCAAGACCGCCGCCGGCCTCTCTCCCTCGGCCTCGTTCTCGTTCGACCCCACCGTCGACCTCCTCGGCAACAACCTAGGCCTCACCCAGGAGTCTCTTCAGCAGCAGCAGCAGGGTCCCCATTCGACTACTGCCGACGCCCTTAGTGCTCATCACCTCGAGCGCTACCTCCACTACAAGGCGCTCGCTGCTCAAGCCCAGGCGGATCTCTCCGTGTCCATCCTCGGCGCCAACCAGCTCATGCCTGGTGACGACTACCAGAAGCAGAAGATGCTTGCTATCCAGCCCAACCCTCAGCCGTTCTTTACTCCCAGCCTTTGGACCCAGACCATGTCTTTCCAGCAGCAGCAGCAGCAACAGCAGCAGCAGCAGGCTCAGGTGATGCACGCCCAGGCTCAGGCTGAGGCTCATCTCCAGGCCCACGAGGCTGCCCAGGTCGCCGCTGCCGCCGCCCAGCGCATGTCCATTGCCAACTACTACATGCCTTCTGCCCCTGCCTCCAACAGCATGCCCAGTATGTCTGGCGGTGGTCAGGTTCCTCCTTCGCTCTGGTCCCGTCGCTCCGACTCGGCTCCTTCGGTTGCCTCGCCTCCCAACCCCTCGACTCCTCCTTACCAGGCCCCTGCCGTCCCCGAGCTTCCCCGCATGGTTGCCAAGCCCACCTTTGCGACCATCGGCCACCACCCTCACTCGGACGAGGAGCGCGACGAGCTCGAGCTCAACTCGCAGTCGAGCGGTGCCGACGACCACCACCACCACAAGCTCGCCGCCGGTGTCCCCGCCGCCGCCGCCATCCCCAACCTGCACGGTGGTGGCCGCGGTTACATTCCCGGCAAGACCCCCGACGACCCCAAGAAGCGTCACAAGTGCCACGTCTGTGGCCGTGGCTTCGCTCGTGCGTTCAACCTCAAGTCGCACATCCAGACGCACGACCCTCTGCGTCCCAAGCCCCACCAGTGCCCCCACCCCTCGTGCAAGCGCTCCTTCTCGCGTCTTCACGACCTCGAGCGCCACCGCCAGGGCATCCACTCTGATGGTCCCCTCGTCGATGCTAAGCGCCAGGGTGTCAGCCCCAGCGTTGTCCGCGCCCAGAGCCGGATGCAGCGTCGCGCCGAGGCCGGTGGCCTCATCTAAGGCTATCTCACTCCGAGAGCCTTCCCCGATTGAATATGGCATGCTTGTCGCTGCCTCCCACACCTACTCTTCCTCCTCTCTGGCTCTACCCCTCGAGTCTTTACCGCGTCCCCCTCTTATTCTCTTTCTCCGCCCAGCCTAGTCCAAAACGCAGCGCCGCCGCTCGCGCGGCAGAGAAACGTGAACTGAGGACCTGTGCCCCGCGCAGGCTCGGACCAAGGGTTAAGACGGCTTTGATAGCTAGACCCCCACCATCCACACCTCTTTCAACCACCCCCTCCAACACAACTTTCACCCCCACCACCACACACACACACACTCTTACTGTGCTTTATTTTCTACCAGCCGTTCCCCCGCTACAACCGTACATTCGTTTTTTTACCAGACTCCCGCACCGCCTCAACCATCCCGTGAACCAGCTTACGCTGGCAAGCCTAGTGATAGGTTCCTGCGCCGTCCGGCTCTGGAGTAGATATAGCTGTAGGATTATGAACTTTATGATAACCCCAGCGGCAGTTGCATGAGTACAGCGAGGCAGCGAGGGCAGTACGGACTAACTGGTGCAGAGTAGTGCAGCGTGCATGACCATCGACTTCGTGCGACGAGCTGGCATCGGTGTGGCATCGGTCACTGGACGCACAGTGTGACCAATTCTCACCGCTCGTCGCTTGCATCGTCTCGTCCATCGTCCCAACACGCAGTGACCCCCCAAACCGTTGAAGTCTAGAACAAACGAGTCTGAAAGCAGTGCATGCATTATCCGCAGCAGATCTCGACATCCGACAACGGGCACCCCAGTATAAGCCACCTCGTGCAACTTGTTCGGCCGGCCGAAACGAGCACAGGTTGCAGGATCCAGATCGGAAACGGTAGAACTGGGGTGCGCGGTGGCGGGTCTGGACCTGTGGCGTGTAACTTCTCCGTATCCTGCCTTGTTCTATTCGTATCGTGTGGACTTCTGCGGGTCTAGACTCTTGCACAGGTGTGCGCAATGTTTGCATTGTCTTCGTAGTCAGGTATCGTTATGCATTTGTCTATCGGAAGAGTAGGACTGCGCAACCTTGCTCGCTTTGCTGAGCTGCGAGGGAATTTGTCGTGAGGTGAGCGAGGAGGAAGCGGCCGAGCCGAGACAAGCGAGCACCGCCCAACTGCGAGATCTACCGATACTCAAGGTTTCTCTAAACCGTGGTTTGAGCTCCACACACATGCATGCGTGCTCGTTCGAGCACATGCTTCCAACGACGTGCGTAAGAACCCACAACTTCGTGCGCAGCAAAGCTGAAATGCATGCTGGCATAGACCTCTCTTGGTTCTATTTACAGAAGGTGGAGCTCGGAATGGCTCAGTGGTCGGTTCGGTGATTTTACGCTACGTCGTAAGCGTGTAGATCTGGTGGACACAAGGGCAGGCCGGATCGGACCCGACGCGTCCGCGCGGAGTGGGCTCACAGAATGCACGAGTTGCAGTGTTCCCACGGTCAGCCCTTGTGGCACTTCGAGGTCTTCGGCACCGATGCGCTCATGTGCTCGAGCATGACATGCCGAAGCATGTCCGAGTGCCAGGCTCGGGCACGAGCACGACGGAGAGCTGGTGACTAACCTGTCGGTGCTGCGCTTGAAAGCGAGCATGGCAGCAATGCCATATCCAGATTCAGGAATCCCGACCTAAGTGACAGTGTGTTAACATTCATGGCATCATCGGTGGGAGACGAAGCCGATCACTTGCAAGAGATAACAGCTCATCTCCGATTCGGCGAGACGGCGGCGGGTTGTCCGAGACAGGGGACTCCACTCAGCATGAAGATGAAGGGGGCGGGCGGCACACGGCACGATTCGGAACAGATGTCTCTTCGATTGTCGCCGCAGCACATGTCCCGGTCCTGCTCTGGGCACCTATCGGAGACCGCGTCTCGGAAACGCAAATGGCTGCGCGGTCGGTAGCGAGGAGAAGCACGGGGGTCGTGTGAGCCCGTTGACGCAACTGCTCTGTCATGACGTAGCACCGGCTGTTAGACAGCGATCGTCGTTCTGCTGGAGCGATGGATGCACTTTGCTTTGATCGACGGTATCGCCGGCCTGGTGACTACCCGGCTGCCCTACCTACATTGACCACTCTGCGTTGCCCCGATTGTAGCAGGCAACGAACAAACGCGCATACACACAAGTGTGTCATGATGTCGTTCGGCCGGCTTTCGGGTTATGGCGCTTACAAAACATCGCCGAGAGCGAGCGAAAGGCTGTCTCAGAGTGTCTGACACTGACAACCCTCCGAACTCCAGGAGAACGTCACGCAGGTGCCAAGAGCAGACCACAGCTACCATGTCTCGGCAGTCAGTGGAGCCCGTATCAGCACGCTGGAAGTCGATCACATGCACGAGGGTGGATATGGGGTAGTCACCATCAGAAGGCGATCAATGTCACGCCTGTCATCGGTTAAGCGCCTCGAACACCTAACGAGCTCCACAGTCTGCACGAAGAGCTCCGACAGCCGGAATCCTCTACTACACGACCAGTATGAGGTATGAGGACAGGCGGCCCACTGTTCTGCGCCAAGAGCGGTAGTCACCCTCGGAGAAGTCACAGTAACCCGGCACTGGGGTGAGACACCTCACCCAGCTCCACTCCGAAGCACACAGAACGCTCATCGAGGGAGTGCCACCGCTCCACACCTTTTGCAACTGTCTCAGACACCGCACACTGTACACCGTTATCTTACACGAGGCTGGCACAAGCAAAAATGCCTCACCGACCCCCCACGTCACCGCATCGCCTCCTCGTGTTCATGTCCCCCTTCCGGCTCATCTCCCCTCGTCCACAGCACTCACAGACACCCAAATCACCCCCGCACAGACCTCCAACCCTTCCAGAACCCAGTCCACCCTTCCAAAAAGCAAAAGCTGAGTCCTCTGAGGACACTCTCTTCTCCGCCAGGGAGTCGAACCCTGCTCTATCGCGCACCCTTTTCAGCCTCCGAGGAGGCTGAGGATCTCTCGAGTTTGAGAGGCGATTATACTAACCGATATACTAGCGAAGAGGCCATGCATGGCTGCTCCGAAGGCGTCACGTGAATCGCTCCCACTTCTGTGTTGCTGGAGCGGGGATCGTATGCATGCATCCTTGTTGCGTGGATGAAGATGGCCGAAAGGCGGGGGAGTGGCTTGTAACGGAAGGTGGAGAGTCGCTGCGTGAGACTTGGGTGACGAGGATCCAAAGTGCCACATTTGAACTGGTGGAGGTATCTTTGCATATCGCAGTCTGGTACAGGTACATGTCATCATACAATGCTGTATATATAACCTATGAAGTATTCTTTTAAACAGAGCCGGCGCCGCCCGAGAGCGCCGTGACGGGCGGGGGCACAGCGGCCGCAGCGGCCGGCGCAGGAGCAGGTGTCGGACTGGTGGGCACAGAGCGCTTCGCTTCCGGACCCACGGTGGGCTCGTCGACGGCGAGCAGCGGCCGCTTCGCCGGCACAGTCGACTCGATGGGCGGCAGGACAGAGTGCCCGTTAGGCTGCTCATCCCTGGCCGGGCTCCGGATGGGAGCTGTAGACTGCGCCAGTGGAGGCGGCGCGCCGGGCGAGTGGAACGAGGGTGTGCGCTGCGGCGGCCTGGCGCCGAGCGGGAGAGGAGAGATGGAACGGGGACCGGGCGAGCCGTTCATCGAAGGCGTGCCACCGAGGTGCGCGCGGTGCAGAGGAGGCGTACCCGAGGTCGAGGGCATCGGAGGAGTCATCGTCAGCGACGGCTTGCGGTCAAACGGCGAAACAGGAGGCGGTTTCGAGTAGAACAGCTTGCCGCCATTGGCTGAGCCGGCGTGCGAGGCGTCTGGCACAGGGTGCGGGCTGTACGAGAAGCTCGGAACACGTCCGTTAGGCGGTCGAGCTGCGCCGTGTCCGTTAGCGACGGGCAGCGAAGCCGGCGTGTTAGGCTGGGTGACCGCCCGGGCCTGCGAAGGAGCGGCTCGACCGCCCATGGGTGTCGAGGTCGCGCTGGACGCGGCGGCCGGAGCGGGCTGAGGCGCAGGGTCTGTCTTTCGGCGTTTGCGCTTGGTGTCGTCCGCGCCTTCCACCCAGACAGGTCGCTCGAACCCGTCCGGAATCGCAGGCGGCAGGTACTTGCTGCAGATGAGAGTCACAGACTCGGGATTCGGCGGCAGGTGGCAGACGATAGGCTCGTCGGCGTAGGTGAACAGCGACTGCCTCCAGTCGATGTACTCGTCCGTTCCAATCTTGTCGTCCATCTGGATCCGGATGTTGAGCCCGCGAGGAGGAGCCTTACCGCTCTTCACGACGCAGAACGGGCACCGCCATCCTCCTCCCTCAGCGTTCGCCTGGCTAATGGGAGCCTTGACACACGACAAGTGATAGCCCTGCTCGCACTTGCCACACTGCACCTTAAGCAGGTGGTCAAGTGGCTCCGTCGTGCACAGACAGGAGAACTCGTGCGGGTAGACGCCCTCCAGCTGGAAGCGCGGCTTCCGGGCGCGGGTGCGACCACTGCCGATGCTTGCCCGCGGGCCGCTGCTCGCGTGCTCGGCATCGAGGGCAACGCGCATGCGGCGGTACAGCCACTCCTCGAAGACGATCATCGTCCTTGTCTCATCATTTACAGCGTCAAAGCGCACGTTAAGCACCCAGAGCTTTCGGAGAAGATGAGACACCAGCGCCAAGTCGCGCACAGGCTTCGAGTTCTCCTGCGGGTCGCAGAAGGGCACGAGCAGACAGGCGTAGCGGACAGCCACGTTCATGGCACGCTCGAGAAGCGCAAACTCGGCCGGCTTGATCACGAAGTTCCACTTGGTCGGGTCCGCGTACATGCCGAGAGCATGCAGCGACGGTCGGTCGTCATACTGCAGGTTCTGGCACATGGGGCACACAAAGTCGGCGGACGCGGAAGCGATGGCTGAGGCAGACTTTGCGTTGATGCCGACGCACTTCGGGTGGTACTCGCCGTAGCACGCAGGGCAGGTAACCATGTGCGCAGTGGCAGCGCCGCGGCAGAAGCAGGTGTGCTCATCGTTCGGCGTGTCGTCCGAGGGGTCGAGGTGGTCCTCAAGCTCATTCACGAGCATGTTGAGGGTGTGGTTGAGCTTGTTGACGGGGACGTCGAACAGGTCAGCAAGGCCCTCGGACCACTTGGCGTTGAACTCGAGCTCGGCCTGCAGCTTCTCGACCTCGGGGATGTGGATACGACGAAGCGCACCGTGGGCAGCCTTTACCTGCTTACAGAGTCGCTGGGCGCCGCCGATGGTGCCGGCGGGCGACAGCTGCAGCTTCGCAGCCGACTCCCAGTTCTGAACCGTCTTGCGGATGTTTTCGAGCTGGCGCATAAGGTCACCAGCGGTGGGAGTGAGTTCCTGGTCATCGATGAGCTCCGAGATCTTGTCGACAGAGATGTCCGGAGAAGCGAGGAGCGCCTCCGCCTTCTCCTTCCACACGCGACCGGTCTCCTCGCGCTTGCGCAACTCCACAACGCCGGGGTGGTCCGAGGGGACACCAAAGTCCTCAGCCTCCTCGAGGAGCTTGACGATGTCCGAGTACTGAAGCATGCGGTCGTCCACTTCCTCTTCGACCTTGTGGTACCACTGCAGACGAGACACGATCTTGGAGATCTGCGCAACCTCGGGCAGCTCGACGTTCAGACTCTGGCCAAGGATCAAGGCAGTGCGGCACTGGTCGTAGTCGAGCTCGTCATCCGTCTTTGAAAGAGTAGCAGCGGCCTCCTTCTGGAAGTCCTCCGTGGACGAGACCATCTCCGACAACTGGGCGATCTCCGGAGCGTCGAAGCCCAGCCGCTCAGCCTCAGTCAGGAGACCGTTGATGGCAGCAGGGCTCCGGTCGACGCCGTCATCCTCAACAACGACCTCGCTCTGACGTCCCTTCCTCCGACGAGAAGTGTTCTTCCGCGTAGTGATCGCAGAGGCACGCTCAAGCCACACGTTGACGCGGGCGACAAAATCCCGGAGGTCATCGAGACCCTCGAGGCGGTGAGGAACGCGCTCCCCGTCGGCCACAAGCTGCTGCAGCTTCTTTATCGGAGGCCGCGGGTTGTCGAGAACCTCCTGGAGGCGTTCCTGCCACTGTGACGGAACGTAGGCACGGGAGGCGACGGTGGTGAGAATCTCATCCAGGTGGATCTCGGAGAATCGCTTGCGCATCGTGCGCTTCGTAGCAGGGCACTGGCAGAGCATGTCGTAGTGGTCCAGGCAGGCGACGTGTGGAGTGCAGGAACACGTCACCTGGGACAGATAGCAGAAACCCTTGCACACGAAGCACTGATACTGCTCTTCCGGCACATCCTCCTCCACGAGCGTCTCCGCAATCCCGGGCATGGCCAAGCGAAGCTTGTCACGCCGTTCTGTCTCCTCGGCCACCATTTCCTTCAGACTGTCTAACAGCCAGATCGCCGTCTTGATCGTATCAGAGTAGAGCGTAATGGTGATCAGAAGCTCGTTATGCGAGAACACCGGCGGCTTGGCGTGCTCCTTGTAGCGCACGACCGACTCCTTCGCGTCTGGCAGCCAGTCCGGCAGGGCGAAGTTGACAGCCTCGTTGAAGTTGAGACCGTGGTTGAAGCCACAGTGGTAGGCCTTCGGGAAGGTGATGACGAACTCGTTTGGTCGCTGGTCGCAGGCGTAGACATCGACGCCGGCCTCCTTCACACGCCCTGGGTTCATCATTGTGACGAGCTGGTACAGCAGAGATGGCTGACGCTCGAACAGTTCCGGCGCCTCGCTCTTCATCGCGGCCTCAAACTTCTCAGCGTCGTGTCCGGGCACACCGTACCACGTCTTGGTCTCGCCCCAGAACTGGTAGTTGACACTGTACGTGTAGTGGTCCTCGTTGTGCCAGCAGAAGGCTGAGAAGAGCATGCCGACGTAGATCCAGGGAACGGTCATTCCAGAGATGTCGGATTTGATATAGCGCAGAAGCGATTCGCGCAGGATCGGCATGTTGTTAAGGTTCCATGGGCTGCGCGCGTATGGGCTCAACGGGTTGGTCTCGACGGTCGGCGCGGCACTACCATGCGTCGTCGAGTGCACGTCGGCTCCATACTCGACCTCAACAGTGTCATCCTGGCTCTCAACGAGGCGCCAGAACTCGCGCTCCACGTCCGCTTCAGACACCACAGCGTTGCCAATCTTCCTGGTGAACTGGCCCTCCGGCGAGTAGGTTGGGTTATACCGGTTGAACCAAGCCTCGGTGAAGGCGGTGTCGCGAGCCTGGAAGGAAGGCAGGGAGTGCTCCTCGCCCTCGTCGAATCCGTAATCGTCTCCAGTTCCCAGCAGACAGGCGGTGCAGTACCACTCGTCGGCGGGAATGTCCTGGAGGGGTGGGTCGAGGCAGAACGTGTGAAATCCGCGGTCGCATCCGTCACACAGAAGGATCTTGGGAGCGTTGTTGCCGAGGCTGCAGATCTCACAGACCTTCAACGTCAGTTTAATCCCGAGGGGCATACTTACATCACCCTTCTCATACTTGATGGGCTGCTCGGGTGTCGACGTCTGGGACCCAGCGACAGACGACTCGGGCTCGCTCAGCTCACTGAGCTCGCTGTCGCTGCCAAAACTGCTCGGCTGCTTGGAGGATGCATTTTGCTTCGCAGCTCCCAGGCCACTCAGGTTGAGGGTGATCTTGATGGGCGTGGGCGCGGGAGGCGCTAAGGGTGCACTACCGGACGCTTCCGAGTGTGCCTGACTCTGGATGGTTGACTTGACCTGCGCAGGCGAGGACTGGTTTTCAGCCCCCATCCGGGAGCGGGGTGACGAGCGGGTGACACGACGATTGGAGGTGCTGGGACCAGCGCCGTTGCCGTTAGCAACAGGTGGGGCCTGCTGCCTCGTCTTCTTCACGGTCGGTGTCGGTGGCGAAGCAGCCTTGATGCCAGACATGCGGCTTTTGTTTGCACTGCCATTGGCGCTTCCGGGGAAGGGGGTGCCGTTCGCAGTCGCAGGGGACTCGGGGAAGGCCTTTGCGTTTAAAGCCCATGCCTCGAACGGCTGAACAATGCGAGTGTACGCCGACTTGACCTGTGCCGTGGACGTCGTGTTGAATCCAAGCTCGGCGGTAATCTTGGGCCAGGCTTTTAACCTGTTCACCTCGTCGATGCCGCCGAGCTTGTTGACCTCTTTCCGTAGCCGCCAGAGGTCGAGGAGTCTGTGCTCAACCTTCGGAATGTATGCGTTGGCATCACCCTGCTGCTTGTGGAACATGGAAAGCTGCTCGAGGAAGTTGACCTTGGCACGGGAGGCGGCCTCGATCGAGTTGAGACGCTGGAGACGGGTCGTAAAACGGAAGACATCCGTGTCGAGCTCGAAGGGCATGTGCCATCCTGGTGGGGGAACGATCTTGCAAATGCCGTACTTCTTCGCCTCTGGAGCGATCCGCTCCATGTAAGCCATGGGGTCGATGAACTCCTCTGGAGTCGGATGGTATGTCGGACAGGTGGGGATGCCGAAGAGACGGGGCTCATTGCTAGGTCCGGGATCAGGTGGAGCCTCGGTGCGGACGGAGCTCAGATCGAAGGGAGGGTTGACGACACGAGGTCGTTTCAGCGGATTCCGCTGCACTGATGGTCCAGCTGGCGGCGGGGGAGGGGGCACAAAAGACGTCGCAGTGGGCCCACTCGCCACCGTCGTCGGTGTGCCCGCACGATCAATTTTGCTGAGAGCCTCGACCTTGGATCGACGCTGGCTCCGCTTCAGGTCCGAGCCGTCCTCGACGACAGGCTGTTGCGGCGGAGGAGCAGGACCAGACTCTGGATAGTTCGTGCAGGTCACGAAGATGGGCTTCCTTTTCCTGATCTCAGATTTCGCTTTGGTCGGGGAAGGTTGGGCCGACGATGACGCCGACTGGTGCAGCTGCGGCTGGGAGGGCAGCTGGCCGGACGCCGAGGAGCCGGCGGCATTCGCTGAGGTCGACGAACGAGTAGACCTCGGAGTGACGGCCTTCTGTGGGGAGCGGCGTGAGCGGCCACTGTCCGCCGAGACCGGTGGGGAGGGACCCTTCTGGGAGGCCGGGTCGGCCATGATGGGCTGCGATGTGCCAGTGGAGGGCCGTTGCAGCGCGGATACGGTGGAGTGTAGCCTGGAAACGGGGTAAGTAGGTTGCTTGGCGGTGATGTGAGTACTGGGAGGAAGCGAGAGTGGGGTTGTGGTGATGTCGGAGTCGAGGCTAAGAATGTCGAATGTCGACAAGAGCCGGAGCCACGGGAGACCCCCAAAGGCCACCGATGGGATGACCGATTCACTCCTGTGCGGCCGGCCTTGGCTGGGATACGCGTAGGCTTTGGCTCTGGCTGGCACTGGCTGCTCTCTGCGCTCCCCGCATCTGGCGCCTGCGCGCGCTCCTGGCAGGCAGCGAAATCACCTCCGGTTCACCATCCTATGCAGAACGGACTGACAAGTTTGCTTCCGCTTTACACGTCACCCTCTGTCTTTTTCGCCACCCACCTTTGTTCGGTCCGACCCTCTTACACAGGCGGAGCCTGGCTCATGCATTGCACAGGTAGACAAAGCGGTGCATGCTCTTTCCGTGACGGTCTACAAAGGTGATTGCCCCTCGATTGTCTGCAGGGCGGAGCGACAGAAGACCGGGGTCTCTCCTGCAGGTAGCTTTGACTTTTTGGCTTGATACTGAAAAGTCGAGCGCTAATCTCGCTATCGCCAAGACGCCTGGTCGCCGGTCACGTGATTATTAAATGATGTGTTCAAAGGTGAAACCAGTTTATCTCGCTAATCTGATACGCCCGATATGGCAATCTCCCAACGAAACACCAATACTTGGTCGGAGCGGGCCATCATCAGCCCGTCAAAGCAGTCCCTGCATGCGGCAGTGAGCACTTGAAGGTACTGTAGACAATCAGTGCATACTTATCAGGCTATATGGCTCCGATAGTCTCATTTTGGGAGCCCCAAGAGCCTGTGCACTGGATTGTGCTGAGTCATCACGATCAGCCGCGATCTTACTCAACTGCCACTAACACAAGTGCGGCGTCCAGAGCTCGCAATCGTTTGCAACGGTTTCAGCAGTCAACATCATGGTTGAGCTTTTTCTTTCAAACGCCTCCCGTGATGTTCAGAGTACCCCTCGTCGTTGTGTTTGTACGAGACAGTGAGCCAGACTTCCGCGCTGTAGAATGTCAGAGCTCAGTGACATCCACCATCATCGAAAGCGCCACCTACAAGTTTGACTCCATCATGCAGCCGCCGGTGGCTGGCTCCCACCATCGCCCCTTAACTCCAACCATCACCCACCATCTGCATCTCTTCCTGGTCTCTTCAAATGCAAAACATTACTGATTATGGTCTGACAAAGATGTGAGAAGCCCGGCTGGTGGAGACTGAATGTGCGATCGCTTAGCCATCGGTCTGACAAGTGCATGACGCACCCTCCCGATACACTGGCTACAGCATTGCAAGTCTCCGCCGGAAGCTGCGCACGCCATACCTCTGTACCTGTATCAAAATTGACTAAGCATGAACCACATAAGCGACCTGCACGCCCCCTCTTGTGACGAGGTCAAGGGCAACGCCTTGCGCATCAAATCAACCGCCGCGACTTGAAGCAAAGTAAACAAGCCCCGGCAAAGCATGTATCACCTGGTTGAGAGCTCGCAGTCGACTCTCCGGCCTGTCTAAAGCGATCAAAGGAGCTGTTTGGTTCATGTTGACATCCAGCTGGCGGGAACGAGTCTCGGCCGCCAGGTGTGTCGATCGGCGGCCAGACCACTGGCGGGGCTGCCCGCTCGCCCCTGATGTTGCGTGGTGCTTATACTCCGAAACGCGAGCAGGTGCGAGTCTTTCGGCACCTTGACTGTCCTGCTTATATACTGTATATGCCAGTCGGCTGTCACCACTGCCGCTTGAAGTTGGAGGTGCCGGAACGATAGACTCCAAGCTCTGAACTGCAAACTGCAAAACGCCATGTGCCTGTTCAGCCCGGGCAGGCGTGACAGGTCTGAAGTGGGAGTTCTGCTCCTGGCCAAACTCTATGCTTGCATCAAACAGGCGACAGACATGGCCTGTTCTGCCGGATCGCTTTCCCCTGGGTACACCATGCCCAGCTCCCGCGTCTGGATTATCGCTATCCTTCGAGCAGAAGCGGAATCGAGGATGTCCAATCACCGCGCCAGCTCCTCAGCACTCGCAAAGCATACTGGCACGTCCACCGATGGCCCGTCTGAGCATCTTCAGCGGGCCAGTATCTGGTGCCTCGACGGTCTCTCGTCTATTCTTCGCGCATCGGGCCTGGCCACCACAATGGACCAGGTTTCGCCCCGCTGTCACGATCGCTGACTACGGTCTGCCACACTCCCACGACTTCACGTACAGATTTCAATACTATACTTTATGCATGGGCAGAAACGAGGCGACTGCTGCAAATGTCTGTTCTATCATTCCCTATGGTTGCTCGTTGCTCTCCGCTGGCTGGTGTTGGGCGTCCCGACGCATCGGTGGCCCCGGTACGAGGCATGGCGGGGAGTGAGGTTGTTTCGCCTTCTGGCCAAATTCGAGAACTTACAACGCCGAGTGAATTTGAACAGAGCAACGTGCTGACTGGGAGAGAGTGCCGGTGGTGACACCCCGCTGCGAGCTGTTCTATATCGGACCGTCGTCCGCCACGCCGTCACGACCGGGCAGAAGACCGGCCCTGATAGAAGGCCAGCAGGCTGTTCTGTCCTACTGACATCCGAACTAGCCTCTCTCGGCCTTGTTGCCAGAGGACGGCAATACCAGCCCCCGCACCGCAGCTGGCCTAGATTTCCCGGAGTCACATTGGAGTGCGTTCCGCGGCCTATGACGCCACCGTGCATCGCGAACTCGTGGATCCGCTAATGACCCAGCGGGAATCCGCGCGGCGTAGGGGTCCCGTTTGCACCGTACCACAACGGTGGGCCTTGGTGGGCGCGGACTCGCAATGCTGGGCAGGGATGCTCGTTGCGTTGGTTGTTCCGCGCCATGCTTCGCTCCACGGCGGTCTGCCTGCTGCGAGAGGGGCAGCTGCAACGGGGGAGCGGCCTGGACCCAAGCGAGTATGGTACGCAGGGGCGCGGGAGCGACGTCCTGAACCTGGGCTGTGGACGGGGTGCAATCGCAGCGCTGCCCTCCGCACTTCGCGCTCACGACGAGATCTCGGTCGTGCCCATCGTGGGCCTAGTACATTTTCCATCTTCGCAACGGCCACAAGGGGCGCAAGGCCGAAATAGCATGTCGTAACGAACCCCGTCCCCAAACGACACACCCGCACCCCGCCGACCCACCGTTCTGGGCACCGTGTCGCGCTACGCGCCACTTAAGCTCAGGCGTGGGCCTAGCCTGCCAGACTCAGACGCCCGTACCGCTGTTTCGAACCCAAACAGGGACCTCAGCTGCGTGCCGGGGCAGAAACGTTGCTCCCGGCGCGCGGTGGGCGCGATCGCACACACCTCTCGTACTGATGCGGGCATGCAGCAATGGGTCCGCCTCCACCCAGCATGCAAGACCGATACGGACTGAGTGCGAGAGGCCGTTTCGCAACTGCGTCGCAGCGTCGAAAGATTCGCTAGATTCGGTCGGAGCGTTTCAAATTGATTAAAGTTTGCCAGAACGCGACCAGGTCCCACAGGTCCGGCTGGACCGAAACGCGCACCCAAGGTCTGAGGAGGTGTTCGGTTCCAGTGGCACTTCCGGGTTCTCCTCCTGCATGTGCATCCGCCTGGCAGCCTACGGCTTCATGCGAGCTGCGGTCATCACGGGACCGCCAGGCAGTAACAGGTAGGCTGCTGCAGGTTGCACTACAGTAGCTCTATTTATGCCAAGGTGTGAGACATGCCCGTATGCATACGCTGCGCCGATCTGGTGATAACTCTGAACATGCTTCGCACTCCGACTTCCGAGCGGAGGTTCGACACTGTCTGAGCAGAAGTGTTCACATCAGAGTTCAGAGTTTGGTGCCAACTGCCTCTCGACGCAATGCGCCTGTCGTTTCGTCCTGCCCCGGCGAGAAGCTTAACAAGCGCATTGGTCGAAAATCACCGATAACTCATAAGCGTCTCACGCGTATCATCTGTTTCCAAGCGGCGCGATTGTCGCAGGTTAGAGTGCGTCCCAGGGGACTTGCTCTGTGGCTCATGGGCTCATGGGTTATCAAGATGCCAAACGACCATCTTCTCACACAGATGCAACACTCTCGTCAGCAAAACAGGCACACACATAGAACATGACACACCATCTGACAGCGTAAACCTTGTGGGATCCCGGCACAGTCGAACTCTAGGTTGTAGTCCACCAGCGCGAAACTGCACCACACGGGCGCACGGTTGCCACTCTGCTCACTCTGCGTGTTTGGAACGTTGCATCTTCCGCTGCAGGTTGCATGCCAACTTGACACTTGTGACAGGCACATCTCGGTGTGCTCACGCAACACGGGCGCGTTGCCTGCTCGAGATCATCAGATCCAAAGGGGCGCTGTTCTTTCCCCGATCCCTCACCCCCAGAGGCCTATATAAGACCAGCCCATCCTTGGCATCCCTCTCTCTCGTCTCCAAGCCAGTCGCAAGACACCCACACTCCTTACTTCACACACTCATTTATCATGAAGGTCTCGCCCACCACCCTCTTCGCGCTCGCGGCCGCCCTGGCCGCCGTCGACGCGCGTCCCGTCGACAACGCCGCCGCCGTGCCCGAGAAGCGCACGTTCGGCCTCCTCTCCGGCCTCTTCGGGGGTAAGGGCGGCGGTGGCGGCGGATCGAGTGGCTGCACCCTCTGTGGTCTCTTTGGCGGCGGTTCTGGCGGTGGCGGCTCGGGCGGCTCGGGCGGCCTCGGCGGCCTCCCCGGCCTCGGTGGCCTGGGCGGACTCGGCGGACTCGGTGGCCTCGGCGGCCTCGGCGGCGCCGGCGGATCCGGTAGCACTGGCGGCAGCGGCGGCAGCCTTATCCCCGGCACGACTGGCTCGGGCTCGGCCGGCCTCTCCTCCTCCAACGGCCAGGGCCAGATGGGCACCGGCACCTCTGGGGGCAGCGTTTCGGGCGGCTCGTCCTCCTCGGGCGGCGGTTCTTCTGGCGGCTCGATCTCGGGCGGTTCTTCGACTTCGGGCGGTAGCAGCTCGGGCGGCAGCAGCTCGGGCGGCAGCAGCTCGGGTGGCAGCAGCTCGGGCGGCGGCTCCATCTCCGGCGGCAGTTCTTCGGGCGGCTCGGGCTCCATCGGCGGCAGCTCTGGCGGCGGCTCTGGCTCCGCCACCGTTTCGGGTGGCTCTTCCACTTCCTCCGGCTCCTCGAGCGGAGGCGGCCTCCTCGGCGGCCTCGGCGGCCTCGGCAACATCATCTCCGGCGGAGGCAGCTCGGGTGGCAGCGTTTCCGGCGGTTCTTCGACCTCGGGCGGTGGTAGCTCGGGTGGCAGCGTTTCCGGCGGTTCTTCGAGTTCCGGCGGTAGCAGCTCGGGTGGCTCGATCTCCGGCGGCGGCTCTGGCTCTGGCTCTGGCTCCGCCACCGTCTCGGGCGGATCTTCCAGCACCACCTCGGGCTCGACTGGTGGCTCTGGAGGCGGCTCGATTAGCGGCGGCGGCTCCGTTTCTGGCGGCGGCAGCTCTTCTGGTGGCTCCAACACCTCTGGCGGCAGCACCTCGGGCGGCAGCGGAGGCGGCTCTATCTCCTGGGGCTCTGGCTCGCAGGGCGGCCACAAGGGCGACCACAAGGACTGCGACTGCGAGTAAGCGCTCCAGCGTCCTCGCCCTCTCAAGTTTATAAGCCTGGCAAAGCCTTCGTCAGTAGAAGATGAGGCTGCGCCTCTAGTTTCTGTAATCTCGTCTCGAATGAACAGTAGAGTAGACGATGAAAATATAAGTTTGTTAGATCAGCTGTTGTTGCATCAGTGTGGCAGTGTGAGTAGCCACGGCCGCTGGTGATTCGACGTGTGTAAGTGTATACCTGCAGCAGGCATTCGAAGCAGTGTGTCGGCGGCCGGGAACGGTAAGCCTACCTCGGACTGACGAAGCCGTAGTCCGTGGCCGCTCCGGGAGCCCGCCGAGACAGCCCTGCTGATGGTGAGTGGGCATCGCATTGCGCATGCCAGGCTGCGAGCGAGCCTCCGCCGAGTCCGTGGGGGCGCAGACAGCGTATGGCGCAGATGACGCTGCATCCGAAGCAGAACAGCTGTTCTTTATAAAGCTCGGGCTATTGCTTCTTATGGAACGTTGGCCGTGGGTCATGTCCGTAGTGCTGCGGCGAACGTGCGCGGTCCTCGATGCACGAGGGTCATGGGTCGATGCGAGTGGAGGCTGAAGTTGCGGTATCAGGTTAGCAGGGCGGCCCATGAACGGCCTGAGCCAGGCTGGACGGCCAGACCGAGCCCATCGCAGGATCACTGCTGCGTGCAGCGTTGCTGGCCCGACTGCGCATCTGAGAGGCCGAGCGGGATGGTCTCTGACGCCTCGTTTTGGGCTTGGCAGAGGAGTCCGAGCGCGGTGCCGGACAGGGTACAAGGCGACATGGACGGATGGGCGTGTTTCGACGGAGGGTTTGCGGTATTCAGCGAGGATTCAGCGAGGAAGCGAGCAGGACTTGCAGGGCGGCCGCTGGCTGGGCAAGGCGGGCGGTGACGAGTGACGCGGTGTATCGTTTGCTTAGCCTGCAAGCTGCAAGCCCACCTTAGGAAGTTCGAGACGCTAGCCAGGTGACGTGTGTGCATGTGCGGCTGCATGCGGTGATCACGCCCAGGTGTCCCAGGCAGCCGGGCCGGTCTATTCAATTCTCAAGCACACTAAACAGCGTCAGCCGGACTGCGCATCTGCTCTTTTGAACTCCGACTTCCGACTCTGAGCTCATGGGCGCTGCTGGGCGGGGCTGGGCGTTGCAGAACCGACGAGACGCACCCGATTGTGCCTTGCCCGCCCGCCGCCCGCTGTCCACTTTTCGACTTTTTCTGGTGTGCATATTCCTTCCCGTCCAGCCCGGAGAGCGTCCCAAACATCACACGTCGGGGCATTCAGACGCGATCGTTTAGCGCAAGGCCGATCCCACTCTGTCGGCCGTTGGCCGTCGGACTACGCAGTCTGTCTGCACGGCTGCAGTGCGGGTCTTGGTGTCAGGACCGCCGGCGCCAGGAGGGAGTCACCAGTTCCCAAACTCCACTCGCAACAAGGCCTGCTAGGGATCACCAAAGTCTATGATGACCCGGGCACGATTCAGTCGCGTTCTTTCGGTACGCACACATCGCTTCGCACCTCGGCGTCCTCCACGGCACCAGGGATGTGGAAACCAATGAATCGGCACACTCATCTGGCTGTCGCTGGCGCTGCTCGCACCTTGTCAGGCTTGCAGAGTGACGACAGAGTTGATGTGCAGGTGAGTTATGGGCATCAAGCAGCCGTGAGGATGAATTGAAATTGCGACGAGGGCCTGAAGCCCGCTCCTGACGTGCACTTGCGACCTGCCCAATGCAGGGTGGTGATAGAGTTTCATCCTGCGACCCTCGCCGTCCCTGGCCCGGACCCTGTGGCCTGACGCCGTGAGCCGGGCGCGCCGGGTCTTCCCTGCGAAGCGTTGACGCTGTCGCCACTGTAGCCACCGGACGCCTCAGGTCTGGCTCTCTGGAAGCTCAAGATCTCGAGGGGGTCGAGGGGCGACGACCGACGACACGGTGAAGCAGTCGTCACGATTCCTCGACGCACGCCCCGTGCCCCCCCCGCCGGCCGCCACGTCCATGATTAGAAACTTGGCTCAATTAGACTTTTGACATGTCTCGCATGCGCCGGATTACACTTTCGCGTGGCTTCTATTAATAGTGGCCAGCAACGCGTCTAATGGGGTTGAGCCTGGTTGCCTTGCTGGGGTGGTGCCAGCTGCAATCTTTAGTTCACAATCACGGCATTGAACCCTGGCTTCCGTCCCGGTCACTCTTTTGGTCTTTGATACCTTGAGCGAGCCCGTCCTTGCGATCCTTGTTTCCCCATCTATCCTCCCCGCCCACCACTCACCGCACTCTTCCACACACTCGGTAGCCACTCGTTTTCTGGCTGTCCAGTGTGTGTTTTGTGTGCATCCGCTCGCCATCGACGGCCGGTAGAGAGTGTTCGGCCTTGACTGATTCGACGGTGTCGCTGTTCGAGTTGGTCCCGTCAGTTGGGTTCGATCGCCCCGTGTCGATCCTGGGCTTCCTGGACTTGCTACGGCGCGCGTTCGCGTTTTGGGAACGTCTGGCTCGGGCCGTGTGCCCGCGGTGGACAGCAGGTACGCGAGATTGATTCCGCGCCGGCCTCGCCTTAAGCTTGAACCCTTTGCGGCCCTGGAGCATACCGCCGACCTGAAGCCACGCGCAGGGCCGCAGGAGCAGAGGGACCAGAGGGACCAGAGGGACCAGAGGGACCAGAGGGACCAGAGGGACCAGAGGGACGAGAGCCTGACTGCACACATCCACAAGGGGCACACACAAGCACACCACACCACACACACACTCTCTGACTGGACAAAGGAGCCCTGCATCGCTGCCGGCCCCTACCCACTACGACCCAGACTCAAGCCAGCCCAGGCCATAGCATTCACTCTCTCCTGGCCGCATCCATACCATCGATCATCGACAACCCGCAACCCACACCAACATTCTTTCGACCTTCTCCATCTCGGACACTACCACCTACTTTTCCATCCTAATACAACACACCACGCTCGTTTACTGTACTACCACCGACCCCACGCCCTTCTCCGACCCGAGTCTGCCCCGATGAACGCGCCGACCATGGTGGCGCAATACCAGGCCACCGCCGGTCCGTCCAGGTATCAGGCTCCACTCCCTCCTCCCCCTACCGCTCCTCTCGCGCCGATTCGCACAGATCCCTCAATCCAGTCCGGTAGCAGCAGCTGGAGCCCTCTATCGCCTCGATCTCCAAACCATGTCGCTCCTCCTCCCCCGCTCAACATGAATATGCCTCAGCCCCAGTCACGACCACAGCAACATGCTCGCGAGCTGCCCGCCGAGCCCGAGTCGCCGTCGACCCGGAATCCGCTCACGGACCTCATGGACACCGAGAAGGTCTACGTCGAGCAGCTTACTTTCGTTATCAGGGTAAGGTCATCCCTTGTTGGTCTGCTATCATGCTAACAGGTTCGCAGCGAGTTGCGGCAGCATGGTCGCGACGAGACCTTCCCCCGCCGAAGCTCGATGCCATGTTTCGAGCTGTCGAGGCCGTCTACCGGGCGAATCGTTCCTTTGGCGCAGTGAGTTGCATTTCTTGGCCACGACGGGCCGATCTCGAACCACATGGACCTGTGCTCACCCCCCTGCAGCGATTGAAGGACATCGGAACGAACCCCCAAAGTAGTCCCAAGGCTTTGGGCGACCTTCTCATGCGATGGGTACGTGCTCTCGCAGTGCATTCGATTCGCCAAGGGAAACTGACAACGTGCAGGTCGACGACCTCGAGCCGTCATACAGCCGCTACGCCACCGTGTTCATGACCGGATTTGACAATTATGCGCCAGTGTCGAAGAATGCGACTCTTCCAAGCATTCTTGTAGATGTCACGGCAAAGTCACCGCCGACTCCTCCGCTGGAACAATGGACTCTCGACTCGCTGTTCCTCCTTCCCTACCACCGCGTGCGCTACTACCGGAAACTGTACGCCCGACTGCTGCAGAACACCACGGAAGGCCGCAGTGACCACCGTCTGCTGCTGGCGGCGAACCAGAAGCTCGAGGGTCTTATCAAGGACGTCGAGTCGCGATTGGAGCTTGATGTCTCCGAGGAAGACTCTCCTCCCCCGTCAGTGTCCGGAAGCAACGGTGGACAGTCTCGGGAGACGAGCTGGGCCAACGAGAAGTTGCGCGCGAGTCAGGAGAGCTCGGGTCGTGACAGCTCTGTCGAGTCTCAGTCTGTGTAAGTGCTGCGGCAAGGCTCAAGTACTGTCAGCTAAAACCAGCCTGTCCTCGTTTAACAGCCGAGGAGAGAGCGGCCGTAGCTCAGCTGCGACCAGCGTGACCCAGTCTCCCGGCCGAGGAACCAAGTCGCCGACGTCCCAGCGCTCGTCGATCACTGACCTGGAGCTTCGCATCGATACAGAGCGCACCCTTGACCTGTTCACGATGCAGCCGAGAGTGAGTGGTGCTGCACAGCTGCCTCAAAGGCATGGTTGAGCTGACCAGCAGAAATGCAAGCTGCAGATGAGCCCGCCGAACCTTCCCTACACACGAGGACTCCGGTCGTCTCACGACGGCATGGTCTACTTCACCCCGACTTGCAACGGTCAGCCTGTCGTTCACCGTCGTGCGCACATTATTGTCTTGACAGACTTGTTCTTGATCACCGACCGTATGGAGGCGAGTGAGAAAGCGAGTAAGGCACAGGAAGTGGCGCGGGCTCAACCAAGCCGTGTTGGAGAAGGCGGCCCGATGCCTGAGATGTGGCTTGCATACCCGCCCTTGGCAGGCAAGCATCTTCAGGTCATGGAGGGCGAGCAGAGTGAGTTTGACGTGGAGCTCCAAGGGAGCAATAACCTGCTCTTGAGTTTGTACTGACTGTCAGGCAATGTCTTGGCCGTCACTGTAATGCGCAAGGAGACCTTCGTCATTCACTGCGAGTCCGAGATCGAGCGCGACAAGATGCTGAAGAGTATCACGGACTGTATCGACTTTGCCGGAGGACAAGCCCCGCGACCTGCTGCCCAAACCCCGTCACTCTCGTCGCAGGCCCCGTCTCCCGTCGACCGAAGTGCTCCCCGAACTCCGGCGTCCTCGAGCCAGCACTCCTACTTCCCTACGGCCCCGTCCAGCTCATCCCACGGCGATAACTACGCTCCGGCCCCGAACGGACCCCTCGCCTCGCAGATGCGCAAGATGTCCCTTGAGCCTGGGCAGACGATGCCGGGCCAGAGCATGCCTACCCCGACGGTGCCCGGCCAGATCATGCCTGGTCAAACGATGCCTGGCCCGACCATGAACTGGCCGTCTGCGCATATTCCGTCGGCAGCTTCCCAATCTCAAGGTGCTCCGCAGCCGACCGCCGCCCGACCCACTCGTGGTGCCTCTTTGACGAGGGGCCCTCAGCCCAACGGCGCGTCGGGTCAGTACCCTGGTCTCGGAGTGACTAGCCCGGTCTCGGAGGGCGGCTTTACGGCCTTCAACGGTCCCCGGAACCTGTCTATGCGATCTAACGACTCGGATAGGTCAGGCTTCTCCGGCGGACACCCCAGCCAGCAGCCCCCGATGCCCTTCCAGCAGAACGGTTACGCTCCCCAGCCGTTTGGACAGCCGCAGATGCCTGGCCCTCCTCGGCAGTTCCAGCCAGAGATGCGGCCGTTGTCCGATCGCCGACACGACGAGCTTCCTCCTGTTCCGCAGATCCGCGGCGGTGATAACGACAACTTCTCGGACTCTGGTGGTTCTTCGCCCAGCCTGATGTCGCCGGCGGTGATGCCTCGTGCCAGGTCCACGGAACCTTACCACCGCACGGATACGTTCCACTCGACTGTTTCTACGCAGTCGGCCTTCTCCACTCAATCGATGCCCGCTCCCATTGAGCAGATCCAGACACCCTCTGAGCGGTTCGTCGCGCTGAAGAGCAACTCGGCCCCGCCTACCACTGTCGACGACGAGGAGGATGAGCCTCACGAGGAGCAGCCCGCCACTCTCACTGGTCCTGCTGTCATCTCGGCGCAGATGAAGTGCAAGGTCTTCCTCCAGCAGGGTCACGGTCAGTGGAAGTCACTGGGCCACGGCAAGCTCAAGCTCTATGTTGAGAAGGGCCGTAATGTCAAGCAGCTCGTCGTCGAGTCCGACAAGCGAAAGTCATCTGTCATCATCTCCACCATTGTCCTCACCGACGGTATCGAGCGCGTCGCCCGGACAGGTGTGGCCGTCGAGATTTCGGACCAGGGCCAGCGCACCGGTATCATCTACATGATCCAGCTCCGCAACGAGGCCTCGGCTGGTGGCCTCTACGAGTCACTCGTCGCCGGCAGCGACCGGTCTCGCCGTTAAACATTAGAAACATCCCCCCCCGCACGGACTTTCTCCCTCACATTACTCGACTAGGGTTTGAGGAGTGCGAGAGAACATCAGCCAGTCCCACTAATCCCTGCTCCTTCCTTGAAAGCAGCTACCCATACCTTCACGACCTACGTCTACGATACCACCAATCTTCATCCGGTTGACGATTACCCCCCTCAATTCCCTCCCTGTTGATTCCTCATCATGCTACCGCCTGAAGAGCTACATACCGGCCACTAGCATCATTCACTGCAACTTTTACCCAACCCACAGACAATCCCGTTTCATCACAACACACTCACGCATTTGAACCAGCAATGTGACACACGCACACACATTGTCTGACGTTTTTTTCTTCTCAGGTTTAATGGTTTAAATCCCTTCCCTCAGCCATAGCAATCCCGTGCATGTGCAACCTTATAGACTGTGCTTATGAGGCGCAAATGCATGTCATTCCTTGTCGGATTTAAGTTTGCAGAGGACAGGGTGCACCGAGTACGGGCGACGGAGGTTGTGGGTGCGACGGGCGGCGCAACAAGAGGGAGGATCTGAGAAAATAAGGGAGCTGCGAAGGGCGAGCCTATTAACAAGCCCTGGCGGTGCAATCAATGGAGTCGGTGGTGCCGCCAAATCGTCGGTGGTAACAGCGAGGAGGCGCATGGGTCTGGCAGGCGTGGTCGCCGGCGGTCACTCTCCCACGGTTGGCGTCAAAACGCGGAGTGACCAAAGTTCATGCTCCAGATTGCTGGACAAGCCTGCGCCTGCACGTCAAACGACCGCGACCTCGTGAACATCGACCTTGAGCCTGCGTAAAGCCTCTTTGCTTCGCCGACCCCGCCATTGTCTGCCGCCCTTTTCCAGCCCCGTTCCCGGAGCACTCAGCCACCCCCGCCCCCTCGGTCTCTCGATCACACGGACACGGTCTTGTGCGCACTCTCGCGGATCCTAATTCGAGCTGGTGAACATTTCGACGGCCGTCCCTTTCGAGCCTTGCACCTTCCTCGTCCCAAGCACATCGACCACAGCGTTACACGCGACCGCCGACGCGTTCCAGGACAGTACTGCCACACGCCAGCTAGAGGTGAGTATACATCCCCATGTCGCGAGACCTCGGCCGTGCAGCACGCGCACCCCGGCGTGCATGCGACACATGACCTGGCCCTCAAATGGAGACACACATATCTCGAAGGTGACTGGACAACGAAAATCATCACAGCGGGATGCGCGCCAATCGCCATTTCGACGCCGTCACCTTCGCTTTTCCTGGCCTCCGCGGTCTTGTGCGCTACACACACATACACGCAGTCCTCACTTGGAGTCCTGGGACCGCAGACGGCACAGCTCGTCTTCAGCCAGCTTTAGCGTCCCGCGCCTCCACGCCCTTCATCTCCGTCCCTCGTCACTCTCGAAACTCGATCGCTTGGGCTGACACTTGAACTTGTTCAATTTCTTCAGGCGTCGTGCAATCATTCCCTCCCGGTCTTCCTCCACAGTGCCCTCCGCCAACATGCATCCGGGCGTCTTGCACCGTCGCTTCCTGAGCGACCTCTCGACGTCGCTCTTCTCTTTCGTGCTGCCCTTACTGCCGACCTCGGAGGAGCTCACCATTAAGGAGGAGTGAGTAAAGGAGCCACACAGCTTCTCTGTTATGAACCTTGAGCTGACAGCGACAGAGTGCGCACCCTCATCGAGAAGCTCATCAAGACGATTGAGCCCAGCGCCCGCCTCCTCAGCTTTGGTAGCAGCTGCAACTCGTTCGGGTTGAGGAACTCTGGTGCGTTTTGAGAGTCTTCTTTTCGACAAGGCGATCCGGCGAAGGGCGCTGACGTTTCAGACATGGACCTCGTCGTCCTCATCGATGACCCGGACGCTGGCCTTGACCCCTCCCTCTTCGTCTCGATGATCGGAGACCTTCTGGAGCGCGTGAGTGGAAATTTCTGGATCGAAGAGTGGACCAATGTCGCTGACCTCCAAAGGAGACCAACTTTGACGTCAAGCCTCTGCCCAAGGCTCGTATCCCCATCATCAAGCTCAACTTAGCTGCTTCTCCTGGATTGCCGTTTGGTGAGTTTGATCTGCGTGGAATGGCGTAAAAATGCTTCCTGCTGCGCAAAAGGCTGACCATTTCAGGCATCGCTTGTGACATTGGTATCGAGAACCGCCTGGCCATCGAGAACACTCGTCTGCTGTTAACGTACGCCACTATCGATCCCGCGCGTGTCCGTACGCTTGTGCTCTTCCTGAAGGTGTGGGCCAAGCGTCGCAGGATCAACTCGCCGTATAGGGGTACCCTGTCGTCTTGTGAGCTTGCAGATTGCGGACCTTGAGCTAACGTCAGACGGCATCACCCTCATGGTGCTGTACTTCTTGGTTCACGTCAAGCAGCCGCCGGTACTCCCGAACTTGCAGCGCATTGCCCCCGTCCGCCCCATCACCGAGGAGGAGATGATGCTCGAGGGCCGCAACGTCTACTTCTTCGACGATGTCGAGATGCTGCGCCAGGAGTGGTCCTCGGTCAACTTTGAGAGCGTTGGCGAGCTGCTCATCGACTTCTTCCGCTACTTCTCGCACGACTTCCAGTTCAACACGATGGTGTTATCGCTCCGTGCTGGTCCCCTTACGAAGGAGAGCAAGGGCTGGACGAACGACATCGATGTCGGTGGTCTGAACGAGATGGCTCGTGACCGCAACAGGCTCTGCATCGAGGACCCCTTCGAGATCACCTACAACGTTGCCAGGACCGTCACCAAGGACGGCCTGTACACGATCCGTGGCGAGTTCATGCGTGCCACTCGCGTAAGTGCTATCAGCTGCACATCTCCACACTAAGCTGACATGACAGATCCTCACTCAGCGTCACGACCGCGCTGTCCTTGCTCTGGCCGAACTTTGCCGTGAGCGGGAAGACGAGCTTCTCCGTGCTCCTCGTTCGGCCTCCCCCGCCCCCCGCACGCTCCCCGTGTCAAGGGGCCCCTTCGGCAGCACTGCCTCTCCCAGCTCTGGCCCCGGATGGAGGAGCCAGTCCCAGCAGCCGTTCGACCGGTTCCACGGCAACGAGCGACACGACCGCCATGACCGCCACGATCGTCATGACCGCCATGACCGCCATGACCGCCACGACCGTCACGAGCGCCATGACCGTCACGAGCGCCACGCTGGCAACGGCCCTGCCGCTGCTGAGCAGGTTCCGCGGCGCGGACGGCAAACTGAGGCTGTGCCGCCGACGCTGCCGTCAGCTGGTGCGCACGACGCTCCGTCGGCGCAGGACCTGTGGCTTCAATCGCAGGGCGCCAACCTCGGCAACGGACCGACGGGCTCGCTCGGTCTCGGCGGTGTCGGCGAGTCGCAGTTCTCCGACTACAACCAGCGCGGAGGACGGATAGACGCGCGGTACGCTGGCGCGCGGCCAACACCGAGTCGAACGGCCACCGCCTACGACAACCCGAACGCTGCTGGTACCGTCTCGGCCCCGTTGTCTCCATCACGCTTATATGCGCAGCTCGAGTTAGGTCGTGGCCCGTCAGCGCCGACGTGGAACTATGAGTCGCAGGCTCGCGGCGGTGCGTACGGCGCTCCCGGTGCTCCTCCCACGGGAGGGTCGTCGTTTGCCGGTTCTGCTCCCGGAGAGGGCAGCGGCAGCCGGATACGCAACGCGCCCGGCGGGCGTGACCTGTCGCTCCCGCCGTCGCAGCTGCACCAGTCGCACACGGCGGCCGACACGTCGCCCCTGCCGACGTTTGCGCCGTTCTCGCCCCCGACGCTGTCGGCCCCTCTGGCGCACGCAGGCGGCAACGACAAAAACAACGCCACGTTCATCTCGCCCAGCACGCTCCTCTCGCCCGCGCCGCAGCAGTCGCAGCTCCCTCCTGCCGGCGGCGCCGAGGGCGTCGAGGTCCTGACGCAGACGTTCGATAAGCTCGGCGTCGGTAAGGACGACGCCGGCCGCGCGCGGACACCGACGGAGAAGCAGTAGAGGCTGGCCACACATGCAAAAGTGCCAGCCTCGAACTGCGGGGGCAATCACCCAACACCAAATCAAACAAGAAGACGAAGATTGCGCGAGGAGCTCAACAGACGGCCCTGCCAGCCCGCGCGCCCGTGTGGCCGCAGGCGGCACCGCCGCGGAAGAGAAAGGATGGACGTCAAGAGATATAGATACACACAGCATTGAGAAAGAGTGCAACATTTTTGAGATCCAAAGCATGCAAGCGTTGTCTTTTTACATGCCCTTCTTACGTCGCAGTGTACGTTACGTTACGGATCGCCAGCATTCGGGCGGTCAGGACATGCCCTGCCCATTGACTGCGGCAGCGACGACCCCCGCGGCTCCAGTCACCCCCCTCGCCCGCGCCTCGGCCACGGCCCGCGCCGCCTCCTCCCGACTCGCGCCATCGAGCACCATTGTTTCCTTGGGGTCAGCTTGTTCCTAAGCGATTCTCAGCTAGCGGTACGGGGCATACGCACCTCGGCCAACTCTTGCAGACGCGCAATGCAGGAGCGGAGCTCGTCACGCCCGACCCCCGCCTCGAAGCGGCTCGCCATGTTCAGCAGCTCGGTCGCTATGCGCGCGCCGCGTTCTTGCTCCTGTGCACTGCGGAGGGCCTGTGTGTCAGCTAATCTTCAGGTCGGAGTAGCTGAGAGTCTGTCGAACGTGACGTTGGGAGGGACTGGAGGGCCGGAGGGGCCGGCGGTGGCGAAAGGCGCTAAGGGGTGGCAGGGGAGGCGGGGAAGGCGAGGAAGGTGAGAGAGGGAGAGGGAGAGGGAAGAAGGAGACTTACATCCTCCAGCTCAGCCAGTTGGGAAAGCAGGGTCGCGTCGTGCGGCATCTTGGCCAGCGCGGCGCGGAGCTCGTCGACCTGCGCGGCGAGGAGGTCGGACTCGGTCGGGGGCGCGCCTGGCTGTCAGCTCCACCGCTGGAAGTGTAGCTCACGAGAGGGGGGTGGACCTTCGTGCGTCTTGCGCCGTTTGACTTGCTCCGGCATCGTGCTCGCAGTCTGCGAACGCAGTTTGAACTGGGTGAAGGATGTTGAGATGTTAGGTGACGAGTCAGAGCAAGAGGACAGCGAGGTTAGCGCCCAACGTGCTGACGCGCTGACGCACGCAGGGGATGAGTCAGTTAGATTGTCGGGGGCGCAACGGGCGATCAGTGTTGAGTCAGCATGTCAGCACCGCTTCACCTGACGGTCTGCTGCTGTCGACTACATGCTCTATGCGTTTTGTTGTTGTATCTACAGTTTACTTGCGGGGGTAGTCGTAGAAGCCCTTTCCGCTCTTGGATCCGTACCACCCGGCATCGACGTACTTCTGGAGCAGGGTCGCGGGGCGGTACTTGGAGTCTCCGGTCTCGGTGAAGAGGACCTTCTGGATGGCGAGGCAGGTGTCGAGGCCAATGAGGTCCGCGAGCGTGAGGGGGCCCATGGGGTGGCCCATGCCGAGCTTGAAGGTCGTGTCAATGTCCTCCTTGGTCGCGACGCCCTTCTCGAGCAGCATGACGGCCTCGTTGATCATGGGCATCAGGATGGCGTTGGCGATGAAGCCGGGCGTGTCGGCTGACTGGGCGAGGGTCTTGCCGCACGCCTGGCCGAAGGCACGGGCGCGCTGCAGCGTCTCCTTGTTCGTCTGCAGGGCGGGGATGATCTCGCAAAGCTTCATCTGCGGGACGGGGTTGAAGAAGTGGATACCGACGACGCGGCCGGAAGAGGCGCCGTTGTCGCCAGGCTGGCCCGCGGCGGCAGCCAGGCGGGTGAGGGAGATGGAAGAAGTGTTCGAGCCGAGGATAGCGGGCGGGGGGAGAATCTCGCCGAGGCGCGAGAAGAGGCCAGTCTTCATCGGCACGTTCTCGGGGATGGCCTCGACAATAAGGTCCGTGTCCTTGGCGAGCACGTCCGGGCCGCCCTCGCCCGTGCCGTCGCCGCGGCCAGAGGTGACGCGCTCACGGGCAGCAGTGGCGTCCTCCTTCGAGAAACGGCCCTTCGAAATGTCGCGCTCGAGCAGCTTGTCCAGGTGCGTCAGCGCCTTGGACAGCACCTTGTCCGAGGGGTCGTAGATCGTCGTCGGCACCTTGGCGTGCAGCGCCGAGACGTACGCGATGCCGAGGCCCATCTGGCCGGCACCGATGACGGCGGCCTTCTTGACAGCGTGAGCAACGGGGGCGGACATTGTGCTGATGTCTTGTGGGTGAGAGAAGCAAAGCTGGAGTGCTGAATGCAACTGTCAGCTGGCCACGATAATATCACAGACTATGGGGAATGTATGGACATCCGGAAACGGTCGGCTAAGTTCCGGGTGTATTAGCCGCGCACTGACTGTGTCGGCACGAGGAGATGGACCTGATCACCTCTCCACGGCCTCCACTCCGACGTCGCGTTCGGCGTAGACAGTGGCGAGCGTGAGAGATCTGCACACGCTGTTCTCGCGTGAGCGTCGTCATCTCTTCCTCCTCATCTGCCAGGAACAAGTGTGTCCGGAAATACCTTGTGGAACCAAACAGGCACGGCCGGCGGCGCAGATAGAGCCCAAGCCCCCCTTCCATAACCGCCCCAATCAGACTGGCGTGCTAAACGAACGTGATGAGCATCTCTCCCGGGATATAAGGAATGTCATTCGCTTCGCAGAGCATTTCTGGCCCGACCTACGCCTGCCCTTGCCTGCCCGAGCAGGTAGCGGACCGAGTCACCGAGCAAAAGTCGGTCTGCGAGCTCTATTTGCAGCACAATCGAAAGGTCGAAAGGAAAAACATGTGATCATCGCAGCCGCGGCGATCACTAGCGGCAGTCATTCCCGGGCAGTGGCCCAATGTCTCGCACTAGCGTTCTTTCCACCATCAACTCACACTCACATGTCCTTTGCCCGCAATCGCTATTGATCTTGTGTCTTCTCCATCTCTGATCGAGCCTTCTCTGCCTTTACCTCACTTGCACTCGACCCCGCTCCCATCGACCCTTGGCCTCAGCGACAAGCGCTCGGCGCACCTCCTCTCGCCATGGGTCTCCTGGCCAACGCCAGCCTCGTCGAGCTCTGCGGACCAGTCTGCAGCGAGCTGCAGGACATTGCCCACATAGCAGGTGAGTTGCGCCCAAGCATCTCTGCATCCCACTCTGCCAGAGCGCCCGCTTCTGCCGGTCATTCGTTGCTCCATCGCTCCACTGTTCCGGTCCACGATCCTATCCACCATCTCTCTTCCCAGCTGACAGCAGGATCCACCAAGAAACATGTCCACATAACGCCGTCGGACCCAGAGTTCTGGTGGTTTGTTGGCATCAGTGCCCTCCTCGTTCTCCTGTGAGTCACCGCAGCGCTTGCGCACCTGCGCCGCAGCTGGGCCTTCGTGCGAGAGCTGACGATCAGCGGTGGAGTGTGCAGCGGCCTGACGCTCGGCCTCATGGGCCTCGATACGATCAACCTGCAGGTCCTCAGCCAGGCGGGCACGCCGGCCGAGCAGGCGCAGGCGCCCAAGGTCCTCAAGCTGCTCAATGGAGGAAGACATACGGTGCTCGTTGTGCTGCTGCTTTGTGAGTGACGCTCAGCTGCTCTGAGGTGCAAGTTAAAACTGACAGGACAGGCAACACCCTGGTTAACACGTCCCTGCCCATCTTCCTTGATAACATCGTGCGTCGCACTGGGCCCACAGGCACCGCCGTGTTAGCCGGATCACTGACCACAGATTGGTGGCGGCGTAATCGCTATCTTGGGAGCGACGGCCCTAGAGGTGAGTCACCTGCACTGAGTGCATGCACTGACGACAGCTTGTCTTTGGAGAGTCCGTATTTTTGAGCTCACCAACCTCTACCTCTTAGCTGACCGCACAGAGTCATCCCACAGGCCATCTGCAACAAGTATGGTCTCGCTATCGGAGCGACATTCGCGCCCCTCGTCAAGGGCATGATCATCCTCTTATATCCTATCGCCAAGCCGATCGCACTTGTGAGCCGCATCTCGCAGCTGTTAGAGGATCACGACCCAAGCTGATGACAGGTGCTGGACTATCTGTTCGGGGCACACGACGACGGCGTCACTTATCGCAAGGCCGAGCTGAAGGCTTTCGTGGCCCTCGGTGTCGAGGACAAGCTGGCGGACGAGGAACTCGCTCTCCTCGGCAGTGTGCTGGAGTTCTCGGGCAAGACTGTCAGCAGCGTCATGGTGAGTCCTAACTGTTGGTCGTCGCTGACTCTAGACTCCATTCGGCGACGTCTACCAGCTCCCCGCTAATCGTATGGTCGACAAAGACCTGCTTGCTGAGGTGAGTTCGCGGTATCTTAGACCTAACTCCTGACATCAGATTCTTCGCAAGGGTCACACTCGTATCCCAGTTTACGATCCAGCGCGTCCAGGCTACTTTGTGTACGTCGAGCAAGCGCAGTCTGCCCGAAGCTGATATCCAGCGGCGTCATGCTCATTCGCGCACTCGTTGGGTACGATGTGTCCGACCCGAAACCCGTCTCACACTTCGTGCACCAGACGCTGCCGCAGTGTCCTCCGGATCTCTCGCTTGTGGAAGGTAAGCTCGTCCATTTCCCATGTTCTTAGCTAACGGGCAGCGATGAACTAGTTAGTCACCTGCTCGTCTACCGGACTAACGACAGCTTCCAAACCGGCCGCAGTCATATTCTGTTGGTGTCGACCAAGCCTGGCCGCCAGCAGGGTGCCGTCGGTATCGTGACTCTCGAGGACATCGTTGAGGTGAGCAACGCTGGCACCAGACCTTGCTAACGTGCAGGAACTGATCGGGAAAGAGATCATCGTGAGGCTAACCCTCTCTCTTATACTAACCGTCAGGATGAGACGGACCAGTTTGTGGACATTCATAGCCGGATCCCCGTCGTTCGCCCCAGGTACCAGGCCGAGCATCCCGCCGGCCTGCGTCGTATCTTTGAGGGTCGTGTTTCGCGGCGCCTGGGGCTCCTCGGCCACCATATGAGCGGCAGCAGCACCACGACGAGTTTCGGTGGTGTGGGGTCTCCCCGAGTCGGGTCGCTGATTGATTACCCGACGAACGCTTGAGGCATGAGCCATGAGGCATGCCGGGCCCGAGTCGGGCAAATAGACCGCGTTTGGACGCGGAACAGATATTGTTTGTACATCGCTTTCATGGAAAAAGAGACTTGTTAGTAGCCGGAGCCGACCGAGGGGCCCGACGGGCAGTGACTTGGCGACTGCGGGGTCCATGGAGAGTCTACGCTAGCCACATTTTTCGCTGCAGGCTAGCGAGACGAGTGCAGAGTTAGTACCCGAGGGTGCTCGCTACGTCACACCAAGCCTGCTTCGTCCACGGGTCGGCGCGCACGAAAGCCGGGATGTCCAGTAGACTAACCAGGATGGAAGCAGGTAAGCGCAGGGCCTTGCGGGGTAGGTACCGCCCAACACACCGATCGCCTGCAGACGCCGTGTTAGACGCCGTTCGCGGGGGGTGATTTGTGTAACTAGGGTGACGTGAGTTTGTGACAGAGAGAAAATGAACGGACATCTGATGGCCGGAGGAGCGATGAGGCCCGGGATAGGCGCGGTGGGCGAAGAAGGTAGGTTGTGGTCACATGCATACGTGGGGTAACGAACAGGCACAGGGCCTTTGGTAGGCAGGCGGGCCGAGAAGTGGAAATCAGATAAAGGATCTCGGAGCTTGTACGGTGGAGTACTGGAGCTTGGCAGTGACGAGGGTTTGGTGTAAAGGCGGGCATCAGGCCGGGTCCTGGGTGTGTCCTGGGCACATAGGGATCGGTCGGCCCCGGGGAGGACCGGCCGCGCTGGCCGGTTTTTAGTGGCCACCGTAGGTTGTGGGCGGGACCAAAGCGCGATAACCGCACAAAGAGTCGGTTGTCTGCGTGCATGCATGCATGGCGGCGACGTGCAGGACCGCCTAGGACGGGCTGGGCGAGCGTGTGCGCTGGGTGGCCGGGTGGGGTGTGGGTGGGCTCTCGCCCAGCCATGGGATCGTTGTATTGGCTGGCGCCCCGCGCCCCCGAGCCCGCCGAACCCCGGCACCGTACGGCTCAGGTCTGTCGCGCTTTTCGTACGATCATCTCACCACCGAGCGTCCGGCCGCGAGTCCCTAAAGAAACATCGCCAGCAGTCCTCCTTGGCGCCTACTTCCTCCTTTCCTCTTTTCTCCTTTTTCTTTTCTTTTCCGTCCTTCCCATCCGGCAGAACATTCTTGTCGACGCTTTTCCCTTGCACTACACCCTCGGCCACCCCGACATCCGTTACCGACAAAGGCTGCATCGCACAAGGCCATCCCCGACTCTCGACTGACACCCCCCGACCCACGACTATCACCATGTCGCAGGTGGACCTGGTCATCCTCATCCTGGCCGTCGCCCTGCCGCTGCTGTGGTGGTTCCGCGAGTCGCTGCCCTTCATCGGCGGCAAGCCCAAGACCGCCGCCGATGCCGCCCTCAAGCGCGGTGGAGCCGGTGCTGACGAGGAGGGCGACCCCCGTGATTTCGTTGGAAAGATGGAGCGCGGCGTGAGTAACATTTCTCTTTCACACTGGGCTATTTGCGGCAAGCGGTGGGCAGAGGGCGTACAGCTGCAAGCGTGGAGGAGTGAGAAAGCTCCCAGCGCCTTCACTGTAATCCCCGCCCAAGTCACCGGCTGCTTCTCCCGAGTTCCGGACCGTTAGCCGCAACGAGCTAGACGGCCGGGTCAACGGTGAGACGGCTTCTCGCCATGTCTGATCCTTGATGTCCGCCTGATGCGGCGACTCGGGGAGACGCGGAGATCTGCCGTCGCCGTGCCAGGAGAGATGCCCGCCGGCCGGGGCGGGCCTGGGAAGCCGCGGAAGCCGCCGCTCAATGTAACCAGTGTGACAATGAGCCAGACCTCGCGAATTTAGCAGCGGCATTGCTGACGTGTAAACAGAACAAGAAGTGCGCCGTCTTCTATGGTTCCCAGACCGGCACTGCCGAGGAGTTTTCGATCCGTCTCGCCAAGGAGGCCAAGTCGCGCTTCGGCGTGAGCTCGCTCGTGTGCGACCCGGAGGAGTACGAGTTCCGCAACCTTGACCAGATCCCCGAGGACAAGGCCGTCGTGTTTGTCATGGCGACCTATGGCGAGGGCGAGCCGACCGACAATGCGCAGCAGCTCATGGAGTTCCTCGAGGAGGAGGAGCCCGAGTTTTCCAACGGCTCCACCCTCGAGAACCTCAACTATGTCGTTTTCGGCCTCGGCAACAAGACCTACGAGCACTACAACGCTGTTGCGCGCAAGCTCGACGAGCGCCTGACCGCCCTCGGCGCCAAGCGCATTGGCGAGCGCGGTGAGGGTGACGACGACAAGGCTCTCGAGGAGGACTATCTCGCGTGGAAGGACGACATGTGGGTTGCCTTTGCCGAGCGCCTCGGCGTTGAGGAGGGTGGTGCCGGCGATGTTGCCGACTTTGAGGTCACCGAGGTCGGCGAGGACGTCCCCGCCAACAAGATCTTCCACGGCGAGCTGTCCCCCCGTGCCCTCGTTGCTGCTGCTTCCGGTACCACGACCCCTGTTGGCTCCTACGACTCGAAGAACCCGTACCCCGCCCCCGTCCACACTGCCCGCGAGCTGTTCGAGGTCGGCGCCGACCGCAACTGTGTCCACATTGAGTTTGACACGACCGGCACCCCGATCACGTACCAGCACGGCGATCACGTTGGTGTCTGGCCCTCGAACCCCGATGTCGAGACTGAGCGCATGCTCAGCATTCTCGGTCTCCAGGACAAGCGCACCCAGGCGATCACCGTCGAGTCGCTCGACCCCGCCCTCGCCAAGGTCCCCTTCCCCGTTCCCGCCACGTACGAGGCCATCTTCCGCCACTACCTTGACATTTCCGCCACTGCTTCCCGCCAGACTGTTGCCTTCCTTGCTCGCTACGCCCCCAACGAGGCCGCCAAGGAGAAGCTGACCCGCTGGGGCTCGGACCGTGACATTTACGCTGCCGAGGTCGACGGTGCCCGTCTCACTCTTGGCGAGGTGCTTCAGGCCGCCGCCGGCGACAAGCTCACCGACAACTCGAACGTGACCAAGTGGGACATTCCCTTTGACCGCATCATTTCCGTCATCCCTCGTCTCCAGCCGCGCTACTACTCGATCTCGTCGTCGTCCAAGATGCACCCGCACTCGATCCACGTCACGGCCGTCGTGCTCAAATACGAGTCGAAGCCCTCGCTCGCGCACGAGTCGCAGCCGCGCTGGGTGTACGGCCTGTCTACCAACTTTATCCAGAACATCAAGCTTGCCTCGGACCAGACCAAGAGCGGCGACAACCTCGCCGTGACCAACGGCCACGCGAACGGCAACGCCAACGGCCACGTCAAGGTCGGCGGTCTCGCCGGCGGCGTCGCCGGCATCGAGCTCGACGGCATGCCGACGTACAAGATCAGTGGCCCGCGCGACTTCCACTTCCGCGACAACATCTACCGCGTCCCCGTGCACGTGCGCCGGAGCACCTTCCGCCTCCCGACTTCGCCCAAGGTGCCGATCATCATGATCGGCCCCGGCACCGGCGTTGCGCCCTTCCGCGGCTTTGTGCAGGAGCGCGTCGTGCTCGCGCAGCGCGCCAAGGAGAAGAACGGCCCCGACGCGCTCAAGGACTGGGCGCCCATGTTCCTCTTCTACGGGTGCAGGCGCGCAGACGAGGACTTCCTGTACAAGGACGAGTGGCCCAAGTACCAGGTCGAGCTCGACGGCAAGCTCCAGATGCAGGTCGCCTTCTCCCGCGGCCCGGAGCGCAAGCCGGACGGTTCCAAGATCTACGTCCAGGACCTCATCTGGGCCGCGCGCAAGGAGCTCGCGCCCCTCATCCTCGAGCGTCGTGCGTACGTCTACATCTGTGGTGACGCGAAGAACATGGCTCGTGAAGTTGAGGCCCGGATCGCCCAGATGCTCGGCGACGCGAAGGGCGGGTCCGAGGCCGAGGGAGCAAAGGAGCTCAAGCTATTAAAGGAGCGCAATAGGCTGCTCCTTGACACGTGGTCGTAGTGCAAACAGAACGTTTGCGAGACGAAGAGCGCAAGTCCGGACGAGAAATGAGGAGTTGGCGACGGTGGAGTGTGATCTTGGGTGGATCACGGTCCGAAATCCCGGTGCCACACTCAGACTGCGGCGGCGTCACGTGAGGCGCAGCACTGTCTCAGATGCGCAGGTGTACGAGAGAAGAAGCGCACCGTAGAACACGCATAAGCTCTACGTAGCGAAAAGATATCCCATGACCCATGACATGCATCATTTTGGCTCTCATCGAAGTCGGCGCTGAAGCGGCGGCGCGAGTGGTTTGAACGAATGCCACTGATCGTCCCCTGTCAACGCTCCGCACGCTCCGCCCGCGCTCACACATCCATCTAAGCATCCTCCAAGTGCTCCTTCGCATAGCATGGATAGCAAGCAGCCATCCAATTAGCCAAGCATGATACGCACTCCCGATGGACAATGCAACGCTCATTGTGAGCGATGAAGCTTCAGCCAAGGAAAGTGGAGGCCGTGCCTGGAGCAAGCGGCAACATGACGCGCCTGCGGCCCCCCGTGCGCGCGGGATTTCATTTGGCTAAACTGTAGCCTTTGTAACCGTCAGTCACTTCACAACTCACCACATCACCACTAACGAACACAATGGAGGACGGATGGTGCCTGACCGAGTCGGACCCGCAGGTGTTCTCGGAGCTCCTGCGGCAGCTGGGCGTGAAGGGTTTGCAAGTTGTGAGTATCGCGCCGCGCCGCCGCGCCGCGGTGCCGTCAGGCGCGAGGAGGCGAGGACGATTGCTCAGCGTCAGCTGGGCTGCGCTATCGCTGTTGCGTCCTCGCTTGTCATGACCATGGCTCTCTATGGTTCTTAAGGCTTTACATCGCATATTGCTTTCGGGAGTTATGCCTCGCTACGCGTCGCCTCGCGTCACTTCACGGCTGCTCCCCTCGCCTCGCCTCGCTACGCCCCGCTCGCAGCGCTAATCCCAGGACGACCTCTACTCTCTCGACGCCGAGACGCTCGCGCCGCTGCAGCCGATCTACGCGCTGATTTTCTTGTTCAAGTATGTCGGCGGCGGGGCCGAGGACCGCGCCGGCGTGCAGGTCGATGCGCTCGATAGCGGGGTGTGGTTTGCGAACCAGGTGAGTAGAGGCCGAGACGGCGTCGAAGGCGGCGTCGAGGCGTCGGGGCTGTCTCATGTTCATTGTCCCGGCATCTCCTGGCATCTCCTGGCGTCTTCCCAGTTCTGGTCTTGCTTTTCCGAGGACTCGCTTTGTTGTGCCGATGGAAGACACCCGGACGAGACGAGCTCAGGACTCACGAGACGCCGCTCGCTTCGCTCGCCGCTCGCCGCTCGCCGGCCATCGCTGACACCCAGGTCATCAACAACTCGTGCGGCACGATCGCTGCTCTGAACGCCGTCATGAACGTGGACGCGCCCGGCGTCGAGATTGGATCTGAGCTGGGCAACCTGAAAGAGTTTGGCGCGGGCATGGGCTCGATGGAGTGAGTACCCACTACCCATTGTTCCCCGGCGGGGCAGCCGGGTCTCGACAGTCCAGCCAAGGCCTAGGCGGAGCTAAGCGGAAGGAATAACAGCTAACCCACACACAGCCTGGGACACGTCGTCGCCTCCTCCGACCAGATCCGCGAAGTGCACAACTCCTTCTCCAAGACGTCCCCTTTCTCGCTCGACCCAAGCGCAGTCCCGGACGAAGCGAAGGAGGACGCGTACCACTTCATCACGTATCTGCCCGTGCACGGGCTGCTGTACGAGCTGGACGGCCTGCAAGCGTCGCCGATAATGCACGCGCCCGTCGACGAGGGCGAGAACTGGCTCGACGCGGCGCGCGAGACGATCCAGGCCCGCATCGAAACGTATCCCCCCGGAAGCGTCATGTTCAACCTCCTCGCCGTGCGCGCCGATCCTGTCCCGAGACTCAGGGCCGAGTTGGCCCAGCCGGACCTGAGTGAGGGGAGGAAGTACGAGATCCAGGAACAGCTGCAGCACGAGGAGAGCAAGAGGGCCAGAGGGGCTATGGAGAATAGTCTCAGGAGACACAATATCCTCCCCGTCGTACTTGAACTCTTCAAGGCGTTTGCGGAGAGTGAAGACGCCGAGGGGAGGGAGAGGACGATTGATGCGGCTAGGGAGAAGGGCAGGAAGAGGAGGGAGGCGAACAAGGACGAGTAGACTACTCTAGATGTATCGAGATACTTTCCTTATATGTTCTTCTGTCCACGTCAGTCGCCCCCATCTTGCACGGCCGACTCCCAGCTCGCTCCGCTCGCTGCTTGCTGCTCGCTGATCTCGCTCCGCTCGATCAGCTTCGTGCTGGATACAAGTTGCATGCGCGTCCAGTCCTCCGTTGGCCCCGTCGGCCGCCCTGTACTACGAAATTGAGATGGCAGGATGTATTCGATTATATGTACAACGTCTAAGTGTCGGTGTGGTTGGGTTGTGTGTTACAACAGTGGTCCCTCTCTTCTACTTCTCTCTGCTGTGCAAGTCTGAACTGTTGCACGTTTTGTTTGTTCGACTCTGGTGCTGGCTCGGGAGGCTTAGGCGTGGGCGGGGTGATGCGCCGTGAGGTGATGCAAGGGGAGTTCACGGCTCACGGCTCGCGACACACGGCTCACGACTCACGGCTCGCTCCGCTCGCCGCTCGCCGCCTAACTAAACCACGCCCGAATCTTCTCCAGCTCGCGGTGCATCTCCTCATACCTCTCCGCGTCCCTCCGGACGTCGCTGCTCTTGAACGGCTCGGCACCAGGCGAGCCATCGCGTATCCTCTCGGCGGCGGCGTAAAAGCCCGCCAGACGCTCGCCGACACGCTCATACTCGGCGTACAGCTTTTCGTACTTTTCGCGCAGCGTGCGGGGGTCGGGCGCGCCCGTGCTCGGCGTCGAGGCACGGCCGACCGGCGTCGCGCCGCCGTTGCTCGCGCCGTTCGCCTTCTTCACCTTTGTCGTTGTCACGGTGACGGCTGGCGAGCCCGTCCTCGCTGCTCGTGTAGACGGGCGAGGTGCGCTTCCGCCCGGTCGAGTCGCGGTGTCCGTTCGCCTTGCCGTTCCGCTCCTTGGTCACGGCGACAGTCTTCTTGGTGCGAGCGCGGCCGCGAACCTCGCCTGCTTCCGGCTCCGAGTCGCTCTCGCTGGAAGTGTAGTCGTGCGTGCTGCGGCGCTTCTTGTCGACTGCTGGCTTGTCGCCGCGCTTCCCGTTCTCCGCTGATGGGGGCTTGCGCGAAGCGTTGATGGCAGAGACGGGTTTCTCAGGCAGACCGGCGGCAGCGGCCGCAGCGGCGGACACGGTCGCGCGCTTCTTCGGTGGCGGCTTTTCCCTCTCGCGTTGCTCCTTTTCGCGCTGTTCGCGCTCGCGCTCCTCGGCCTCGCGCTCCTTTTGCTTGCGCTCCTCCTCGCGCTCCTTTTCCCGCTTCTTCTCTTCCTCCTCTTCCCTCTTCCTCTCTCGCTCCTTCTCCTTCTCCCGCTCCTCATCGCTGTCCTCGACACCCGGCAACGGCGACGCAACTCGCGACGCGCCAGTGACACTACTGCTGCGCTGCTTGGCGATGTGGTCGTTGCGCATCTTGGCAATCTGCTTCGCGACCTTGGTCTTGGGGCCGGCAGCCTTGGCGGCCTTTTTCGTCGGAGCGGGGGCTGCGGGTGCTCCAGCCGGCGAGGCACTTCTTGACAGACTCGGGAGGGGCTTTTGCGGGGACAGCGACAGCTGCTTCTGTTTGACGGGCGAGAGGGAGGGCGCGGGCTGCGGGGCGGGCGAGGCCGAGGCGCCGGAACCGGTGGAGCCGAGAGCCTCGCGCTCCTTCTGGTCGAGCTCGTCACGCTCCTCGGCATCGGGGGCGAGGCCGAGCTCGTCGAACGCCTGTCGCGCGAGCGCAATCACGCGCACCTTTTCGTCGTGGGTATACTTCCACGACCCAATCTTGATCTTGGCGTACTGTGCTGGTCGAAGGCGGTACTGTCCGTCGTCATGGAGGCCGATCACTTTGGCGACGCGCAGCACATCGTTGTAGTCGCCCTGCGTGTGCTCGAGGATCTCGTCGACGGTCGTCGGACCCAACGCGAGGAACTGCACGACTCGCGTCTTCAGCGGAATCTTCTCACCCATGCTGCTGCCGAGCGTCGAGGCGGCTGGCCCGCTAAGCGTGCGCGCCATTGGTGGGGCCGGCGACGGCGACGGCCGCTGCGGCAGGCTGCTCAGACTCGTCTGTCTTGAGTGCGACGACGGCTTGTTGCCCATGACCCTAGCTGCCCGCGCTTCTCGCTGGGCGTCGAGCGCGGCATTCTGCAGGCGCACCTTTTCGGCAGCGCGCCCGACCGAGGCGGCGGAGAACGGGACCGATAATCGCGCGTCCGCGACGCCGATAGGCGCGAGCTGGTGCGCGCTGGGGTCAAAGGCGTACAGTTCTGATTGCTGGGCCGTCTGCGAGTCGAGCCGGATCGGCTCTTGACCAGGAAGGTTCAGAGTCTATGCATTCGTCAGCGCTGGGAAGACCTCTATTGTGCTCACCATGTCATCGCCGACAGTGATTGTGACCTCGCCGTCGGCAGCGGCGAGCTTGGCCCACGTGTCCTCTGGGAACCGGACGAGGAAAGCAGGGGGCGGGGGCGTGTCGGCGGCGCTGGGCGCGACCGGCACCGTCCCGCTGGGGAGGGGCATGGTGGGAGGGAGATTGTGTGATGCAAAAGTCCAGATTGAATGGGCGTGGTGTTGTTAAATCATGGACCGGAGGAAGATGTTAAGAGGGCAGTCTGAAGCTCGAGGGGAGTTGCCCGAGCGATCGCCGATGCGGCGGCACTGGGAGGGGGGCGGCGGCGGGGGTGTCACAGTGCGCTGAGTGCAGGGGCGTGTTTTGGGGGGTGGTGGTGCCGGGGCCGAGAGACGTCGATGCAGTCGTCGGCGGGGGGAGATGGTGTGTGGGTGCAGACGACTGGATGAAACGAGTGGAGGGAAGACAAATGAGATAAAGGAGGATTGGAGTGTGGTGATTTCCTATTCCCGAGAGTGTAGTCTGGTGCGAGAGAGAGAGAGTAGTAGCGGTATGGGCGAGTTACTGCCGCCGCCGCCGGGGTCCAGCCAGGCCCGTAGTACGCGGTAGGCGCTTCGGTCCACTGATGGTCGGCAACGAGCGGCCCCCGCTGCCGATTTCGATTTCGAACTTGGATTCCAATTTCAGATCTTATACGAGAGCTTGGCTTGGAGCGGGCCAGCTCGAGGCAGTTGCAGACAAAGTTGGATGGACAACAGAGTCCCGTCTGCAGGGGTGTTTGATGTTGTTCTACCTGTCGCTCTTTGTTGTGTGCAACGATTGTTGATGCTTGAGGATGCTGAGAACGTCGGGGGATAGTTGATTTCGAACCCTGCACCAAGACCAAGATACCTGGACCATGTCACCGTTCTCGATTCTGCTCAGCCTCATCTGCACCACGGGGATCTCTAACGGTGGCTGTTACAGGGGAGCACTGCTGCGCTGCCTGCTGCGCACGCCGAACCAGCACGCCTGCTTCCATAACTCGCGTCTCGAGCTTCTATCCGTCGCAGACGAGCAGCCTGCCCGACGCCCCAGTAGTGCGACCGCGACCCAGAGACCGAGACCACATCCGCGAGCGACGCGCTTCCCGTCCATGCCTCTGACATGCAACCTTAACCTGCTTTTGCCTTCCATGCACTCTCCATCCCCTCCCTTGTCCCTCTGTCCCTCCTCGGTGCTTCCTTGTGCCGAGCGACGAAACACGCAACACACAACAACAATGCCCGACCAAGCTCGGCCTGCGCTGCCCCAGAAACAGCGGCGGCCAATCGTCTCCGCTGGCTGTTGCCTGCCCCGGTTCCAGCCAAATCCTATCGTCATGTTCCATGATTCCAGGGCCTGTCTCCTTACACACTAACGTTGCGCCGCCCTCACCAGTAAAGCCACTCGGTAGATCTAGCGCAGCATTCAATGCCAACACCACCTATGTCATTGTCACGGCTGTAACCGAGGCTCCCGCTGATTTCCATTGTTACATATGCATGATGCTTGCGCCGCCTGCTGCGTCTACAAAGCCTGGTGTCTCGTTTCAGGCTGAGATCAAGAATACCACTCGAGTGTCGTCCGACGCGCCCTCGTTCCTCCATCGTCTATTGTTGGACTGAGAGGTCAGCTTCCACCCCTCTTCTGGCAGCGCAATTAAACACCTCCGACCGTCGGAGCTGTATAACTCAGGCATGGGGTACTCACTCGGCTTGATCTTGAAGTGCAGCGTGATGAGGGACAGGACGAAGCACTGCGATGAGTTAATGCCGCCAGTCCGTCGAACTCACCTTAAGGTCCTGGACGAGGTAGTAGAACACACGGAGACCCTCCGCGTCCTCGCTGTCGTTGACATCGGCGAGCGAGCCAATCTTGGCCGTCTGGGCTGTCAGTTGTATGGCCCACTGTTCTAGCTTGGTCAACTCACCTCGAACGAGATGTGGTCCTTGTCTATCCTGACCTCGAGCTCCTGACGACCGACAACGTTCTTCTTAGGCCATTGCGCGTCGTCTTCCCTCATTTGTCAGCTTCATGGTGCGTAGGAAGCTCACTTGGTGATCTCGCTGTCGCGCACGATACGCTTGAATTCCTCCGCGACGGCGGGGCCGACGTACACTGTGGTCAGCTGAAGGGAACAACACCAGCGGAGAAAGAGGGGCGCTACGACGTGTGGGCTGTCACCACATCGTCTCAGCAGCTGTCCGTGGACACAGCGAGCCCTCACTGAGACACACAAACAGTGACGAACAACAACAGCCGTTCGCACCGTCCCACACGAGAGATGACTGCCAAGTTTGCTGTCGGCACCGTCCGTTTGCAGCCAACGAGTCCGCCACCGGCACCACCTCCATCAGCAGCATACTCACCCTCCTTCCTGATCAACGAGTCATTGCGGTAGTTTGAGTTGTTGGCGTATCGCAGCCTTCCGTGCGTGTACTCGAACTCGAGGAACTCGTGTCCGTGCTGGCCCTGGTGTCCGGTGCTGAGCGAGCGTCAGCGAGCGTTCTTCCCAGCTGCGAAGCAGCCATGTAAGTTATCTCCCTGGTCATGCCTCCAGCCCATTGTGTCTGCGGTGTGTCCCGAAGATGAGATCGAGAGGAAGCGAGGAAGGCTAGGAGCGGCAGGAAGAGTTGGAAGAGGAAGCTAGGTTACTCACTAGTATCTGGGCCGAGTCAGCCGGCGCTACAGCTCAGCTCTTCTTACCGGAGGTAGAACGGGTCGTTCTGGAGTTCCTCAATGGTGGTGCTCATGGTGTCCGTTGCTTGATCAGAAATCTCGAGCTGTTCATGAATCGTTGCGTCACAACAACATCCTGAGCGAGGGTGGTGGCGATCGGATTTTGCGGCATTAAGGACGCGTGGCACATAGCATAATGCCATACATGACGGACGCGTCGCGCAGGCAGGGGTGCGAGACGCGTTTGATTTCGCATCCTCAGGAAGTTGTTGTCACAATAACATCGACATGGTCGCCGTCTCTACTCCCAGCAAGACTCCCGTCGAGGGCAAGAAGGCCACTGCGAAGCTCCCCTCGCCCCCTCCCCAGCCTATCCAGCCCGTGATGCTCAAGAACGCCGGCAAGGCGGCCGAGGCCGCTTGTGCCTGTGCCAAGAGTGCTCTGGTGAGTCACCCGGTCTCCTCCTAATCTCGCACCCACCATCGTGGATAGAGCCATTCATTGCAGGAGGATTAAAGCGGGACAGTCCCGAACGATGTTTGCAGAGTTGTGTACTGATGCCAGTCGGAGCCTATGCGCGTCAAGCGCCTCGCCCCCTCCGCCACGATCCCCACGCGCGGCAGTGCCCTCGCAGCCGGGTTCGACCTGTACGCCTCTCGACCCGCCTCTGTGCCTCCGCGCGGAAAAGCAATGGTGGACACGGACATCTCCATCGCCCTCCCATCGGGCACATATGGCCGCGTAGCCCCCCGTTCGGGGCTCGCAGCCAAGCACTCCATCCACACGGGCGCGGGCGTGATCGATGCCGACTATCGCGGCCCGCTCAAAGTCATCCTGTTCAATCTGGGCGATGAGGAGTTCAAGGTCAACGAAGGGGATCGCATTGCCCAGTTGATCCTCGAGGAGGTCCGCATGGCGCCTGCGCTTGAGGTGGAGGACCTTGATGAGACGGTTCGCGGACAGGGCGGGTTTGGCTCTACTGGCGTCGGTGCTGAGACTAAGACCGCGCCGCCCCCCGAGCCTTCCGCTTGAGACGTAATGTAGACTTTAATGTATTCCTTGTATCTTATCACATCCCGTTCCCTGGGTACAATGACACGACTGGCGTAGATGCGGGCCAAGATCTGTGTGGAGGCCGAGAGGACCAGGGGATGTTCCGCCCCGCCGAGGACACAGCAAGCTCCGACCGGACATGGACGTGCGGCGTTCATTGACTCGGGGCCAGGTCTTGTCATACATGATGGGATCCAGTTGTTCTATGGTTCATTACTGTGCTCTCTCTCCGTCTCTCTCTCTCATTTGTCTCCACGCTCACACTCCCTACTGACCACCCTTCTCTCTATCCCATCTCGCCACTGTCGTGACCACTCCGGCCGCTCCCGCCGCTCCCGCCGCTCCTGCCGCTCCTGCGCACCGCCACTGTCTGCGCCATAGTCGCCACAAGCCCCATGGCACTGAGAGCGATGGTCTGCGCTTGTGCGCTCGCTCCCGGCGCTATCGCGCCAATCGCACCAGTCGCTCCAGCAACCCTCTAAATGTTAAACGGCACATTCGGGTCCGCGCCCCAATCAAACGAGTTACCGGCAATCTGCGCCCACATCTCGGCCAGTTCATTCGGGGCGGGTCCCGGGCTCGGCGCCGCGTTCTGGCCCAAGCCGGCCGTGAACCAGTTCGCAGTCGCCGTGGCGGCCGCACTGGGGGAGGGGAGGCCGGCGAGGGGCGCGCTGCTGTCGCTGCTGACGCTGCCGAGGACGCGGGATCGGGGGCCCGACGCCGTACCCGGGGAAGGATTCAGCATGCTCCCCAGGCCTGAGCCGTTGACTGGCGCAGAGGGGGCGGGCATGGAGCCACTCTGCGTCTGGCCTGGCGCCGCGGGCCCCGTCGATGTCGGCGTTTGGCCCGTGTTGCTGCCCACCTCCAGCGGAGACTGCGTCGCGGGCACAGCCCACGCGTCGCTCGTGAACGCGTTCAGCATCTCGAGGCCGTCAAAGTTCATGTCGCCCACGTCGAAGAGGTTGAACGTGCCGTCGAGTCCGGGGGCGAGGGCCGGGTTGTTGACCCCGCCGTGGCTGAGGCTGTACACCTGGTTCGCGGTCAGGGGCGGGGCCTGCTGCGGCTGCTGCCAGTTTTGGGCCTGGGGCGCGTTGGGCGCGGCACCCGTAGCCTTCTTGGCCGAGTTGGAACGGTCCTTGGACGACGGGCGCTTCTTTGGCCGCGCGGCAGCGGCACGCACCTGCTTCGCCTGCGCCTCGACCTCGGTCAGCAGCTGGCGCAGCTTCCGGCATCCCGGCCAGACAGGCTCGAGGGCACGCAGCGCCTGGTGGCACGACTCGACGTGCGCGCCGACCGCGTCGATGACGATCTGCTCGCGGGCACGAGTCTCGCACAGCAGCAGAATCACTGCCGAACTCCACAAGTACTGGCAGAAAACGGCCAGGTGGTGCGACACGGGCACGAGCACGCGGGACTGCGTCGCAACGTGGATCACGGAACGCGCGGCGTCGACGCAGTGAGCGAGCGACTGGGACGACGGGCTCGGGCGCGGGCGAGCGAACGCCGGGTTCGACGGGAGCAAGTTGCGGTGCAGCGTCAGGAGCACGGCAAAGTAGCCATTGCTGAGTGCCGCGCTCATGAGCGAGATCGGTCGCGACGACGAGGCGTCCTTGTACTTTTGCGGCTGCTGTCAGCTTGGAACGACGCACTGGAAGCTTACCACTTCGTTCTGTAACCAGTCCCGGAGGAGGCGGTCGAGCTTGTCGATCGTCTTCTGCTGGTTCTCGGCCCACTGCTGGTCCGAAACTGAGCGCGAGTGGTTCGGGCGGTACAGGAGCTGCGCGACACGGCCGGCGATCTTGGCCAGCTTTGTGAGCGCGACAAAGCCCGACATGGTGCAGTCGGCCGGCTCCTCGGGCAGGTTGCCCGCCTCCTCAGTCAGTGCCTCGCCGAGGTTGAACAGCGTCTCGTCGTCAACGGCGAGCGGGTACGAAATATCCATGTCCTGGTCGTCGACGCACACGGGGCGGCCGAGCGTAATGCTGATCATGCGCTCAAGGCCGTAGACGGACCACCACACACGCGCGCCGAGCTGCTTGACCTGCAGCGAGACCTTGAATCTCGGAGCGTCAAACTGACGTCAGCAAACCGTAAAGCCCGTAGCGACTTACATGCAATCCAATGTCCTGGGCGACACGCAGCGCCTGACTCGCGAGCAGCCAGCTCATGGGCATGTCGTTGACGGCAGACTGGAAGGCAGACTGCAGCGTCAGGCACTGCACTTGGTACAGGTCGACCTCGCGGTATGACGAGAAGTGGAGGACCTGACTCCGCTCGAACCAGATGACACCGGCCTCGGCGTCGCCCGGTTGGATCGTCTCGCCTTCCGGCTCGTTGTTGCGCTGCTTGGTACGCTCGCGCTGCCACGCACGCGACGTGACCAGGACACGCTCTCCGAGCGCGAATACCGCAAACACGACCGCAAGGAACTGCTTTGTCAGCTAATCATTCGGCACCTTGCAGCTGTACTCACTCCTGCACGGATGGATCCAAAGTCGCCTGCCTCAGCGCAGTCGAGCGCGCGGTTCAACCGGCGCCTGAAGTCGGGCTCGAGTAACACGGGCAGAACGGGGTGGACCTCGGCAAAGTAAGCGTCGACCATTGCCTCGGCCTCGGCCCTTGGCGGGAACGTGACCTCCTCGACGCCGGGAAGCGCGCGAATGACGCCCGCACCAGCGACAGGGCCGAAGTACGGGTGTGCCGAGTCTGCAGGGGACGAGGCGCGCGTCGAGTCGTGAACGGGACGGTACGTAACGCGAGACGGCTGGGCCTTGACTTCCTGGTCGAAAGAGTCGAGGAGGGAGAGTGTGTTCGAGGGGCCGATCCAGCGGAAGTTTCCGCGGTCGTCCTGCGTGTAGCGGCGTCCCTCGTCGTCATCGTCGTCTCCGCGTGGCGAGTGGGGACGCGAGTCGCCGCTCATGTCGCGCTCGTCGTCGCTCATGGACCTCGGCTCGGTCTTGGCCGTGACGAGATTCTCGAGCTTGCCTCCCTCAAAGGCATTCAGGAGCGGGAGCAAGCGGCTCTGCAGCGCCTCGAGCTGCTGCACACGACCGGAAAGGTCCTGCACGTATGCACGCGAGTAGGCTGCGCGGTCGCGCGTCGGCTGGTATTCGCACTCGGCGCCGGACATGATGCACTGCTGGCACGCGGCGTTGCCGTTCACGCCCGACGACGGCCCGGGCAGGCACTTGACCTTCTTCTGCCGGCAGGCGCGGCATGCGGCAAAGGCTCGGACTTTGGACAGGTCGCCGGCGCCTGTTGTCCCCGTCGCTGTCCGGCCGGGGCCGTCGGGGCTGTTACGGGCACGCTTCTTGGCTGGCTGGCGCTGCGGTGGCTGGGAGGGGCCCGCGGCGTTCGCACCCGGAGCCGCGAAGCGGGCGGCATCCATTGCGAGTTGAGTATGCGGGGGAAAGGTGTGTGCGTGTTCAAGGGCGGTGATGTCGAGATCGTGTGTGCTTCGGTGTCGAGCCGTCTGTCGCTGCTCGGGGGAAGGCGAGAGGGGCAGCTGGATGACACACTGATAAAAAGGGGAAGGGGGGGGATACGCGGATGGAGGAGCGGATCAATCCTGAATATCAAAGATTAGACGCCGTCTTATGGGTAGTGTCGATAACGGCGGCAGTGGTCGCAGGGAAGTGTGTCGGGGATCGGAAGTCGACTGTCGATCGGTCTTTGCGAAGGAACACGAAGGTGACGACGACGACGACGACGACGCAGACGCAGACGACGGATGCGCGGATTGATCGGGCAAGCGTGAAGGTATGCTGGATAAGGTAGTCGCAGGTATGGAAAAGTGGTAAAGCTGGATTTACAATCCCGTCGTGGCTGCTTGCTTGCTTGCTGGTGGTGGTGGTAAACGTATTAACGTATTTCGCATCCGGGGCCCACCCAGCCCTGACTTGAGCTGACTTGGCTGACCCCCACTTTTGGAAAACACCCAGTCACCTGATCAACCATCCCCGTCCAGCGCCTTCCCTGCGCCTCCCACGCCCCTCATGGCAAACCCCCATGCTGCTGCAGCACTGCTTCCGGCAGGCTGTCCAGTGCGTGCACCCTGCAACAGAGCCAAGCCCGGTAGACACGCAGAGCCTTAGTCTGCACCCCCTGCAAGTCACTCAAAGCTCTCGACATGACAATAGCGACAACGACTTCGGGTGCACTCCATAAATTTGGTCAAAGCACAAGATCTGCCCCTCTGATTGGGCGTTAGAGAGATTTCTGACGCTTCCACGCTTTCCCCCTCCACCCTGTAACCCCTTACATGATGCATTCCTCGCTCAACTACGAATCAAATCGATGCCGAGCACGGCGACTTGAGGACAACGGCTTGATGGCCGAGTCCCAGTTTCCAACATTGCACCCTCACACCCTCACGCCCTTTCCCAACCCTGGCTCTTCATTTCGATTTTTCGATTTTTTTTTGGCCGTCTGCAGTCGCGCGGTCGGCTCAACGCGGCTTACCAGGCTTACTCCAGACGCCTCTGTTTCATGACGGATCGCCGCGCCATGCTGTCTGCACACATGCTGCACGCGGCTGGCACGAGGCTCGTGCCCTCTTACTGCGCTTGAGGCACTGATGCCGCCCTCAATGCTGCGTATCTGCTGTTAGTCATCCGAGGCCACGGTCTGTCAGTCTTCGGCCGTTGTTTCAAGAGTACAAGAAGCAGACCGAGGTTAATGACCAACGCCCCTCCTTCCCACCGACGATTACCGCGTCGGCCAATCCGAATCGAAGCCTGCTAAGAGTACAGCAGGCAGGGCCGAGGCGTCAGTAGAGTCCGAGCGCGCAGCTCAGACGAGAAAAGTCCAGGACTGGGCCGCGCTCGAGCGTTGAAAGTTGATGTCTCGCTTTTGCCCGCCTCGCTCGCCGACCTTTGCGGCCGAGAGGGCGGCTCGCGCGGCTCGCTCTGGACCATCCTCGGGTCCCCACGCAGCATTCTTCATTTCTCTAGCATCAAGACAGTTTCACGTGATGTCTAAGGATCGTGCGCGACGCGCACCGGCGCCGAACTGTGCGGCGCGGCACTCCGTTGCACATGGTGCAGAGCTCAGCGCTTAGCCCTTGATCTGCTTGACAAGCTGGTTCTTGGGGATGGCCTGGAGGTCGGAGCAGCCACCGATGAACTGAGCGTTAGCTTGTGTCGTCAGAAGGAGTATAGGCTGAACTGAACATGGCCAAGTTTCTCTGAGGTCCGACTCGAAAAGGAAGAATCCGCGCCGTCTTTCCATGCAGGGGGCCGACGCCTCGAGTGCAAGTGAGAGCGAGTGCTACCTTCCCCCGGTCCATCAAGAGGCAGGGGATACCCGTGATGTCCGAAGTAGAAGTATTCGCCTTCCATCGAACCTGGGACAGAGGAGCAAGACCCGTCGTCGTCTTCCTCCTCGACTTCCAGCGTCGAGAGGATCTATCCTCACTCTCTTCTGCAAACTCACGTGCTGCTTGATGTAAACGTGGGGGACGGTGCCCTGTCCGTTCAGCGACTTGAGGTACTGCTGGATGACGGCTGGGGGTCAGCTTCGCACTCGACTTTGTAAGCTAGTACGCACATCCATCGTCCATCTCGTCAAGCCTGATGAGTCAGCTCTCTGCACATATGAAGCTTCAGCAACTCACTCGTAAACCTTGACGTCGGGGGTGATGTCCTCGAGGATAGCCTTAGCGCGCTTGCAGTACTGCGATGAGGTCAGTACTCAACAATCGTGCACCTCTCGACAAACACGCAGCCAGTCGGGGCCTCGCTGCTAGCGCAGCAGCTCGGGATACTCACAGGGCAGTACGACTTGGAGAACACCAGGACGTCGTTGTCCTTGATGGCGTTGTCGACGAGCGTCTTGGCGTCGGACATGGCCTCGGGGGATGCGGCGGAGGAGAATGAGGAGCCCACTTTGGCAGAGTTGCGAGGGGAGGCAGCAGCAGCGAAGAGCTGGGGACGGGCGGATGCGGTTACACTAACGCGGGGGGCGGAGACAGAGGCAAAGTGCGAAGAAACAGTTGCCAGGCGGCGAGCGGCGAACATGGATTTGTTCAAGTGGAGACTTGGACGCGGCCGTGGTAATGATTAGCAAGATGGGTGTGTAACCCGGCCCGGGAGTAAAATGACGGCTGTGGCTCGCGCCATCGGCGTTCGTCCGGGTATGACGTATTCGGAATCGGACTGCGGCCAAGTCTGCCGGAGCGCGGAGCGTGGGCTATGATAGATGAATTGTTCACGGTCTGCAAGAGTTGAGCATTGAGGGCGACTCTCGTGCAGAGATCGACTGATAAGCAGAGCTTGACTGATGAAGGCTCCGCTATCAGGTTCAAGACGCTATCGGCCATCTGCACCCAAGTGGGCAGGTGACTGGTACCTCTCTCCGTCTCTCGGATCCTTAAGATTTCAGCGGGCGGCTCAGCTGATCTCGCTATAGTTCGCGTTTGGCGAGGTTTGGCATCCCCGTCCGAGATAGAGATCTGCCTGATTGTGCCAGGCGACAACAGCGAGCAACGGCCAACAACGACAGCGTAGGAGTGCGGGGAGTAAGCACTGAGTCGATACAATGCTCCGCAAATTGGCGTGTTTAGCCGCAACTTGCTGAGTCGTCATGGAATGGAGTTGCCCGATGTGCCAGGATGCGCGTACTGCCCACCGCCGCAGATATATGAAGATCGACGCCAGGAAATGGGTCAGCCGCATCCTCATCATCTTTGATCCTCACATCACTCCAGTTCATTGCGGGTGAAAGTCCCCATTCGCTCATATCCCTACAACACCACCTTAGCATCGGCAACACAAACCCCACGACATGGCGACGATCCGCCCCATCGAGGCCAAGGACGAGTCGCGCTGGCGCGAGCTCTGGGAAGGCTACAACCAGTACTACGAGCGGACGATTGCAGAGGACGCCACAGCGCTCACGTTCAAGCGCATGCTGGACCCAAACGTGGAGCTCTACGGCGCAGTCGCCGAGGAGCCGGACGGGCAGCTGTCCGGGTTCGTGACCTGGATGCCGCACATGTACACGGGGACGGTGAACGACATTGTGTACCTGCACGACCTGTTTGTGGACCCCAACGTGCGCAACAAGGGCACGGGGCGCAGACTCATGGAGCACGTCTTTGCCGAGGCCGAGAAAGCGGGCGCGTGCAAGGTGTACTGGCTCACGCAGCACTTCAACCACCGCGCGCAGCTGCTGTACACCAAGGTCGGGGAGAAGACGCCCTTCGTCCACTACACGCACACCTTTGGGAAGAAGTAGGCCGCCAATGTAGCGCACGTTGTGTCCGCCATCTCGAGGTGCACTCGCTCCTCACTGCCGGATCGCTCTGACCAAACACTTCCGCCTTATCTCGGTCCGAACCATGCCCGCTCCACGACCTCCGGCTCAACGCCAGTCGCAGTCTCTGTATATAATCTCTGTAGCGGGGGTCATTAGGTATCATGCAAATTATTACAACGAGTGGTGGGTATCTAGTACGACTTGACGCCTGCAAGCTGGAGCGCGCGATCAGAGAGCACGGGCCTCTGCCTGGGCATGGTCCTCTCGCCCTCCTCGAGCTTCCACCCGCGGGTCGGGCTATGATGCGCCGTGATGCGGAAGTCGATGGGATCGTGGGTGCTTCCCCAGCAGTTCTCGAACGCCTCTTGCTTCTCCCTGAGCATTTGGGCCGAGATATCCGCCGCAGGCTTGTAGCACACATACGTCGCGATGCGGGGCTCGCTCCCCCTCGCGACGTCGCCGTAGTGCACCGTCCTGCTGTCCCAGAGGATCAAATCGCCAGGCCCCGCCTCGACCTTGTGCCACTTACACCCGCGGTCGTAGAACCACTGCAGGCTGGCGTCGTTCTTGTGGTCCCACCAGTCCTTGTCGCTCCACCCGCCCTCGGGCATGAGGTCCTGGTGCTCCGCGAAGAACTGCTCGAACAGCGGCGTGCTCCCCTCGAGCACCATCAGGCCTCCGTCTTGGGCGCCGTTCTCGTGCAGATTCACAATACCCTGGACACAGTGCAGCCACGGCCGGGCGGGGGACTGGTCGCAGTGCGGCCACGGCTTGGCGAGCTCGGCACGCAGCGAGGAGCCAAACGGCAGCGAAATGTTCGCACTGTCAAACGACACCAGCAGCTCGTCCGTGCCCCAGATCTTCGCAAAGGCGTCGATTACACCGGGCTCGGAGCGGATGTCCCACGCAAACTGCTCGTGGCCCACACCGTACCGGTGGTACAGGCCGCCGCGCTCAAAGATGGGCAGATGCTCTGGCTTCCAGGTCGAACGGTCGTTGCGGTCAAAGCCCCGACCGAAGGACTCGAGCCAGGCGTACATCTCGGAAACGTACGCCTCGGCGCGCTCGCGCGGGATGACATTCTTGATCACGGCGTACTTGGGCTGTCAACAATTGCTACGTGGGGGTAGACTCACGCCCTTGGCCTCGAGGTCGGGGAAGACGGCCGTCGACGCCTGCGTTTTGGCGCCGCGGAGCTTGAGCGTCGGCTGCTCGGTTGTTGTTGTCGCAGTCGTAGTGGGGACAGGCATGGTGTATGTGTTATCAGCAAGGGGAGGGAGGGGGCGGCCAAAATGGCCCGAGTATATATATCCCGAAAGTCTTTCGATGTCATTACTGCGGCGAGTGAGGCAGGGATACGGGGCGGGAGGTAGATCGGCAGAATCGCCAGGCAGGTCTGCGTCTCCGGTGAGAAGTGGACCATGTGCGGACGGCGGTCGGCGGGTCGCGTGCGGAAAAACTCAGCGGGCCAACACCGTCCTCACGGTCTCGCACGCTTCGCGCTTCGGGACGACGTAGCGTAGGCGACAATACTTCATAAGCAGCGTATGAGGAAAGGTCACACGTGCAGCGTGCATTCCGCGTGCTGCTCCGAAGACTCGACAGCTACAGACAAAGCGGAAGAGCAGAGGGTTCGGGACACAAGCGGAATATCCTCGATTGAACCTCTGCACAATAAACACCTAAACGTGCCGAGCCGAGAGGGCTCCGAGAGTAGCGGCCCGATGGGCCGGTACGGTGTGAGCTGTGAGCCTTGGTTCTTCTCCTTTCTGCTCTCAGTTAGCCTCGTAGTTTGCAGAGCTGCTCCGCTGGATCTCGGCCATGTCCGAGGCTCGCGAGGCTCCTCAGCGTCACCTGCCCCGAAACGTTTGTGGGAAGTGTCACACGCCCCCCCCCCAGGCCACCATGCTTTGCCTTGTTATACCGTCACTTCCCACCCCTCCCACCGCGTCACGTTGGCCCAGAGGCAGCTTAAACGTCGGATCAACACTGGCAACCGCACAGTATCCCGTTCTTCCCCGCCCTCGGCTTCGAGGCATTCCCCCAAGCGAGCCGTACGAGACGCACGAGCCGTAAACTTGCCGGGTGTGCCGGTTCAGAGCAGAGCGGGACATTGTCGGCGAGTTGGGGCAAGCGAAGCGGCTGTTCCTCGCATAAACATCGGAGTATCACAAGGCTTCCTCATGGTCACGTCGCTCCGCCTCTGCACAATGCCCCGTGCGGGGTACCGTCCGCCTCTGTCGGGGGATCTGCGTGGGCAACGGACGACTCGTCGACCCACAGTCAGCGGAGCGCGCGGAGCGACTATCGGTGCAGACAACTGTGCAGGCTTAACAAATCCATACCACGCTACACAAGGAGAAACGAAAATAACAGATACCGGTGACTTTGGGAATAGTGTAGGTCGATCGTCTATGGGAAACCTCGGGGCTCAGAGCGAAATGGTACTTGGTGGGAGAAAGTAGGTATTAGGTGAAAGGTGCGTACGTAGTTTGATGTAATGGTGCGGGGTGGTCGGAAGGAGAAGGATGGTGGGAAGAAAAACGAAGCATTAATAGGGGAGCTAGCTATACCTGCTGGCACAACATGTTACTTGGCAACCTTGTCCTTGAAACGCTTCACGATCGAGGTCTTGCGCTTCATGTCGCCTCCAGACGGCGGCTCGTAGTACGAGTTTGATCGCGTCTGGTGCAGGTCGTCAAACTCGGGCATGACCGGCATGACGGGGTGGCCAGAGCTGCTCCTGTGTTGCGGGAACGCGGGCCGCGCCGGAAGCTCGCTCTCGAGCTCTTCGCGGGCATCGGCACCCTCAACAGCACCGTACTGGATCGGCTCCAGCTCGTCGCCGTAACCCTTAGTCGGCGAGTCGCGGGCGCCGCCGTTTGATCCTCGGCTTAGCGAGCGGCCAGCGGACGGCGCGCGCTCGTGACCAGATCCAGGCGATGCAGGTAAGGGAGGAACGTCGTTGCCGTACTTGTTGGGCGAGTGTGATCGGTCTCCGCGCTGGTACGTGATTAGCGAGACCCACAGGTTCGGGTTGTGGGCATCGCTGTCCCTCGGTCCACTGCGTCGATCCACCAAACGCCTCTTCCTTTCCGCTCCGCCACCACCACCACCACGACATCTACTGCTGCCGAGACACTAGCGGCACACTCCTCAGAGTGCGTTGCTATGTTCGGGTCGGAGGGGGATCGGCTTGTAACCGACGCGAGGATCCCAGTCGTCGTCGTCGCCTGGACTCATTGCCTGAGCCCCAACCATGTGTCCAGCATATCCTACACCCTTCCCACTCTGATCCGGCGACGGGAACGCGCCGGGAGCGGCCGACATCGATTGAGACCGAGGGACCCGTCGTGGCGTTTGCCCCGCTGTATCTGTTTTAGGACGCACCATGCCTTTGAGTCTCTGCATCAAGCTCTTCGTACGCTTGACGCCGCCACCTGGCCGAGAGAACGACCCGCGAGATTGGTGCGACCCAACAAAGTCTTCTGCGCTGTCCTCGTTGATGGGCGGGCTGCGAGCGCCACCAAAGCCGATCTTCTTGCCACCAGGCGAGCGCGGGCTGCGGGACCGCTCAAACGAGTCGATGACTGGGGTCAGTTCCACTGGCTTTAGTCGAACTTACACTCCGGCTCGTCTCGTGGCGAAGAACCAAAGTCCTCGAAGGGCTCAGCTGTACAAGTCAGCGCTGATCTCTTTGCATGCCAAGTGGCCACTTACGAGTGTCAATACCCCAGGCCGCCTTCATCGCCCTGTACTTCTCCTCTCGCTGACGCTCACGCTCGCGACGAGCATAGTCACCCTCCTCGGCCTCCTCGTGGTGAGTGTCAGGGAAGAATCCGCCACTAGCGGGTAAGCTGGAGGAGTACGGGTTCGAGAGTCCTCCACTAGAGCGGCGGCGAGCGGCGGCGCCGCTGGGCCGGCGGCCACCAACGACAGCCTGCTCGCCATTGTCCTCTCGCGGGTTGGGCGTGGTTCCGATAGAGATCGCCGAGGCTTGGCGCGCCGGCGCGGCGACAGGGGCGACGGGGGGACCCGAGAACGCATGCATGGGAGCCTTAGTCTGAGGTCCGTGGAGGTTGCGCGACGGAGCAGCGGCGTCGTACGGTCCGGAGCTGAAAGTCAGTAAACACACTCATATCAGGTGGAGGCAAATGCTCACTGATGCCACACTGCGATGTCAGCATTCCGTCGCATGCGATTCGGGCGTCAGAACCACTCACTGGCATGGCCGAGACCTGTAGGATCCCATCGGTCGATCACATCGGCGTGGCGAGATCCCTTCTTCGAGGTCGTCTCCCGGCTCTGGCCCTTAGACAGCTTGAGAGCATCGTGCTTCTTCTTAGAAGCCTCGGTGCGACTCCGTCCGCTGCTGCTGCCACTCTTGGACCTGCCATCTCGGTCCTCGGACGAACTGTTACTCAGGAGAACCGAAGGAAGGGAAGGAAAAGTGTCGGACGGCGTTTGCGGGTAGGATTGAGGACGTGGATCGCCGCGATAAGCACGCAGTTGACGGAAGGCCATGTCAGCTACTACTCCGGAATAGAATGAATAGATGGGAGGAAGAGAGGACTGCTCGATAGCGGCTCATGAACGAACCTCCCATCGGGACAAAGGGAGAACGAACTGAGCTTGGGTGTTTTGTCCCTCATGGGACTTCATGCCGTTCTGCCGCCAGCGGCCCAAAGCGCCAGCCACCCTTACTCGTCCCCCGCAATGGGATTCAGACGACGCTCGTGCGATCTGGGCAGGGGATGGAAGTGCCGGGTTTCCGCCGTAAGGCCTCACAGTCACCATACATGAGGCGAGGCGGGAGAACTCTTGGCATCCACCCTTCGACCACTGCGCGCTGAGCCACGCGACCCCATCATAGCGATACACCTGTACGCCTCATAAGGAGCTCAAACTCGCAAGGGCAGGGTCCCGTTCTCGCTGGCGACGAACATTCCACACACACAGCGCCGCAGCGCACTCACCTTTTCTTAAACTTCGGGCGAGACGACGGCACCTGGCCCGACGCCTCCAGCTCGCCGCCCTCGAACGGGTTCTGCTCGACTGCTGGCCTGGACCGGGACGGCAGGGCCTGGCTCGAGCCGTTGCGAGAGATCTGCACAACGTCCTGGACGGCATGCGCGAGGTCGTCATTCACATAGCCCGACTGGGCGTCGTGGTACTTTTCGGACGGCATGTTGCTTTGATGCTTGTTGTTGGTTGGGAGGAGGAGACTACTGCAAGTCTCACTAGTCTTTCTAAAGGTCTAGCGCGCCTTGTTGTTACAGCTGAGAAAGGGGTCGGCGGTGCAAGCACGAAACAAACGACGGGTGAACGTGCACTCCACTCGAGTCGCCTCCGTTCACGTCAATATTGGTGTGTGTGCCTTGCGAGCTGCGCACGTAGAAGGCGCGGTGGTGATTCACAGAAGCGCGTCGACTGCTCTTCGACGATTCGACGATGCACACAGTCAAGCCGGGGGGTTGCACACGCGTAGCCTTGCCGAGGTAGATGGTCCGGTTGCTCGGGATGAGTGCTGGCGTTGGCGGACTGGGACCGAGGAAGGTGAGAGATAGGGGCAAGCGGTCAGAGGCGGTTACTGGGGGATTGGACAGAGCACTGTGCACGGTCGTTGCAAGGTTGTGGGCGAGTGTGGGTTGGGACAGTGGAAGAATGCGAAAGGTGAGCAGGTGTGTGTGGGTGTGGGGTGTGCGGGGTGTGGGGGGAAGGTGGATGGATGGAAGGGTGAGCGGATTAAAGATGGGAAGAGGCGAGAGAGTGTGTGTGTGGAAGGGGGGGGGACGGACGATCGCGTTGGGCGGAGGTTAAGCGATTAGGAACGGAAAGGACTGGAAGAGTGGTGGTGTGGGTGTGGGTGTGTGTGGGTGGGGCTCTATCAAGGATGTGGTGTGTGTGTGTGTGGGTGACGGTGTATATGCGGTGGGTATTGGGTACTTGGGTCGGGTCGCGGGCCAAGGCGAGCGGGGCTCGCTTTCGCTATTTCGCTGATTGCCGTGGAGTCATGGAGCGTGTGCCGTGTGCCGTAGCTGACTGCTGTTCGGAAGGACGCCGCTGCCCGGGGCGCGGGGGCGCGGGGAAGGTCAGAGACTCCTTCCCTCCTCTGCATTCAGGGTCTGGTCAGTCGCCAGTAGCTTGTCCGGCTAGCCCTGTCTTCCTCCCTTCAGACCCGAGAGCGAGCGTCAGGAAGGCTCAGGAACCCCCCGTCTCCGGCTGGGACATTGCGACCACCACCACCACCGCACGGGCCCGCAGTGTAGCTGGACCTGAGAACACCTGGAAGGGCTTGACAAGCTCAAAGCTCAAGGTGGACGAGGCAGCCTGTCCATCGTCTTTGGAATCACCTGCTGCATGCTGGTAGTTGGTGTCCACATCCCATGTGAGCGACGGCCAGCGTTCCGAACTGCACTCCGAAGTGGCCCTTCAGCCATCAGTATCTACGCCCCCGCAGGCTGGCAGGTCACAGGTCACAGGTCACAGGCTGGCAGTGATGAGCGCCAGGTGTCACAGCATCACATTAAGGCTCAGCCAGCTCAGCACGGCCTAAGCCTTGGGTCGATTGGGTCTTGGGTCTGATGCAGTCTTGGGGTTCTCAAACATGGAGTAACGAGCCATCCAATCGCCACGGAGATGACAAGTGTGCCAGCCATGACGCAGGACGCCAGTTTCCGCCCGTACGCCCCGTAGACTGCCAGTCGCGTCGTCTCGGGGTCTCCGCCCATGCCGCCCACCCACCACCTCCGTGTCGCGCGCGTCTTGGCTCTGCACCCCCGCACCCCCGGGCTCCGGAGCTTCAGAGTTTGCCCGCTGAGCCGTTAGATTGCTGTCCGCTCCCCATCTCGACAGCAGGCTCGCTCGGATATCTCGGGTCCAAAACGGGCCCTGGATCCTTCTCACGCACTCCCCCCTCCAGTTCCAGTTCTTTGCCTGAGGACAGGCCATGCATAAGGACGAGGGGGTGCGGGGTGTGCTTGTCTTGGCCTATCTCGTAATAGCCTCGTGAGCTCGTGAGTGGGCAGCTGGACATCACACCTTTCACGCCTTTCACGCCTGGCACGCCTGGCAGGTCTGGCGGGCCTGGCAGGAGGGCAGGAGGGCAGGAGGGCAGGAGGGCAGCAGGGAGATGCAGAAGATGCGCTGCGTCGCGCGTCGTGCAGCAAGAGAGCAGTCGCAGCGGCTGATTCAAGCCGAAACGCAGATGACGCTTCACCCGATGCACATTTGGGTTCTGCTCCGATGCCTCATGCCCGATAGAGAGATCTAGAGAGAGAGGGGGCGACAAACCCCCGCGTCTTCCCGTGCTTTACCACACTTTAACCTTTCACCAGGTCCGCACCCAGGTCCTGGCTTTATCTCGCCAGGCATGGCATGGCAGATTGGAGCCTGCCATGCCCAGTTCGAAACCCGTTCGATGCTCGTTCTCGAGGTTCCAAAGTCATTTGTATTGATACATACAGCTATCTAGGGTGTTGTTACATGTCCTCCATGTCCATCTTGTTGCCCTCGTACTCGCGCCGCGCGGCCGCGTTCTGCGCCAGAATCCACTTCTTCTCAAACCCGTTGCCGCGGTCTGGCGTTAGCTTCGACGTAAGGCGTTCACAGCTATGGACCCCTGGGTCGGAGGGTGACTCACCGACTCCGTCCCAGCGACATCCGGGGCGGATCCCGAAGCGGTTCTCCGACCACGAGCCCTTGTAGACCTGGTACCGCGGACCCTTCGATTTCGACTTCTTCGACTTCTGTGGGTTGTTAGCGGGTGCTTCCAATGCCGCCGGCGCGGCGCGGCTTGTGGCTTGGCAGGGTATGCGGCGAGCCAAGATTCGCCGAGACACGCCGCGCCGCACCCAGTGCCGAGAGGGAACTCACAGTCAAGAATGCCGCGGCTGGGTCGTTCCAGCGCTCGACCTCGCGCATCTCTCTGTTCATCTCGGCGTCATCCACGTATCTGGCATTAGCTTTGGATCGTCATGACAGCTTCCGTGACGCTCACCGAGCGACGTCCTTCGACTCCATCTTCTTCAGCTCCTTCGCGGCCGCCTCGCGGTCCTCGCGCTGCACAAAGCCCTTCGTCCACTCCTTGCGCTCCTCCTCCTTCAGCTTCTCCTCGAGCTCCTCGCGCCGCGCCTCCTGCTTCAGCTGCTCGACGTCGAGCACGCGTCCGCTCCGATCACGGTGCACGGTTTGCGTGTGCGCTCCGTCTGGCTCTGGGGAGGGAGACCGCGCCTTCGCCTCCTCGGCTGCCCGCGCGGCTTCCTCGGCCATCTGCGCTGCCGTTCGCAGTCCTCCGCGCCGTTTCGTGAGCTGCTGCTTCGGCTTGGGCTCGCTGTCGTCCTCGGGGTTCGAAGGGATGGGGGATTCTCCGTCCCGAGGCTCCGACTTGACGCGCGTTCGGACAGGCAGCGCGGTCGCGCCGACGGTTGACCATGAGGACTGGCCCTTCTTGAACGTGGCAACATCCTTGCCGATGACTGCAGTTAGCTCTGGACTCGAATCCTTGCAGCAGCTGAATGGAACCCACCTGGAGCATCGTCCCCGTCAAAGTCAATGTCGGCTTTCCGCTTCGATCCCCTCCACTGATCCTCGTCCATGAGGACCAGCCCGCTGCCGCTCGCACTTCCGCTGCCGCCGACGTAGTCCTCGTTCTTCGGCTTTTTCCGCCGCTTCTTCTTGTCTACTCCGGCATGGGCCAGAATCGCGTCGGCCTTCGGGCCAGACATGTACCTGTGGGAAGAGTCAGCTGGAACATGGCAACAAGCAGCTGTACTTAGGCGGGGGATCACGCACTCCCAGGAGTACTCACTTGGAAGCCAAGTATGTTTTGAGGTCGGACATGGCGAGAAGAGCGCTTGTGCGTCAGGTGAGCGCGGTCCGTGGAAGGGAATGGATAGAACCGGCCCGGGTATTAGGATGCGAAAGCACGTCGGGCGACTGGTTCTGTCGGACGAAGGCACTGCTGCCGTCACTGCTTTGTCGCGATAGTGAGGGTCGATGATGTAGTGGTGTTTTCGATGCAGTTGAGTGGCAAACGGGCCCAGGGTGCCTCAGTGGCAAAATCCCGGTAAGACCGCCACGTGGATCATAAGGGTGCAGTGTGTGCCAGCAGCCAGCCTGCTTGCAGCCAGCCAGCCAGCCAGCCAGCCAGGAGAGAGGAGTCGGCTCCCTGCATGGATGGCTGCCTGTGTGGTGTGCAGGTGTTGAGTGGCCATTGTCCAACATTGCATTCAGCCTTGCCTTCCACTTTTCCTTCCCCTCCGCCATCATCTCGTCCCACGTTCTCGCTTTCCCTTCTCGAATCGATACCATTACCACCAGCGCACACGACTCGTCATAGGCGACTCGTCTACACGCCGCCCGTCCGTTTTTTTCCAACGCGATCGCCAGTATACCCACCAACACCCCGTCAGCATAAGTCATCAAGACCCAGCACGTCTCCAACTCTCCCACCCCACCCTCCCTATTCCCCCCATTCACACACATGCCTACCGTCCACCCACTCCCTGTCAACCCCACAACCGGTCAGCAGCCACTCGGAGCCCTTCGTGGGTCGATCAGCTCGGGTGGCCAGTCGTCATCCGGCGGAGTAAACCGTGAAGTTCTCAAACAGCTGCAGGATGTCGCTTGGAGTGACGAAGAGGTGGGTCACGGGGTTAGCACACGCAACAGGCGGCACTAGCGTATGCATGCTCGAGCATGTGACGCGTTTAGACCATCGTCGTGTACACACCCAGCTTCTTAACGCGCGCGGGCTTTGCTGACAGTACATTAGGATGACCCCGATTGCATGGTTTGTGCCGAGCCCCTCGACCTGTCCGATCAGAACTTCAAGCCCTGTCAATGCGGTCTGCAGGTGAGTGACCCTTGCCATAACCCCATGACCCCATGCTCATGCTTCTTCATTAGATCTGTCAATTCTGTTACAACAAGCTCCTGCGAGACGATCCGAGGTGCCCCGGTTGTCGTCGAAAGTATGATGCCGCGTCCGTCGTCTTCCAGCCTGTGGACTTTGATGAGTACGTGACCCGTTAATGTGCGCCTAAGTGCTAACAACGCTACAGGGTCCGCAGAGCGAAGGAGAAGAAGGCTAGGCGAGCGAAGATCACCAAGCAGCTCGACACCATGGGACGGCGTCACTTTCTCGACACGCGGATTGTCATGAAGAACTCGGTCTATGTCGTTGGAATGAAAATTCCAGGCTCTTCACCGGAAGAGTCTGTTTCCATCCTTCGATCGAACGAGTACTTTGGACAGTACGGCAAGATTGCGCGACTGTACTTGAAGGACCGGACCGCCATCTCTTCTGTGACGCCCGGTCCCGATAGCGATACACCTGCGACATCCACGGGTATCTACATTGTTTACGTTCGACGCGAGGACGCTGCACGGGCAATCTCATCTCTGGACGGTATCCCTGCACCCCAGGGTCCTCCAGGACAGGTGCTTCATGCTTCGTACGGAACAGCCCGGTATTGCGACGCCTTCCTGCGAGGCATGAAGTGTGACAATGCTCACTGCCATAACCTGCACGAATGGGGAGGCGAAGGCGACTGCTTCACGCGCACCGACCTAATCACCGCCCTCACTCGTCCGGCAGAGTACGACGCACGACAGAAGCAATCGCAGATCCAGCCGCCACCGTTATCCTCGAAGTCTGCGTGGCCAAAGCCTTCCCACGACGATGTCGACGCGAACACGGCCCTTCCGCGCAGCGCAAGCTGGGGCATGCGCCCTTCGCCTGCGCGTCCGGGATCGGCGACGGGCCGTCCATCGCCTGTGGGCTCGTCTCGACCTACGAAGATCCAGAGCACACTGATCCCTCTGGGACGGAGCTCTGCTGCATTTCCGCCGCCGGCACCCTCACCCGCGCCGCCGGTTCATCAGAAGAAGGAGAAGAAGCCGCAAAACATGACACGTGTGCGGAGCGAAGCTTCCAGTGCCGGTTCTGCGGGAGCTGTCGGTTCTATCACGACCGGCAGCGCCCACAACTCTCCGAAGAAGAAGCCAGTCACCGTCAACATCACGCCACACCAACCCGCAACCTCATCATCTTCCACTTCCACCCCCACCACCAAATCCGCACCCCCGCCTCCACCTGGACTGGCCCCGCCCCCAGGACTCGGTCCCTCAACAACCGAGAAGACCAAGACCAAGAAGGAGCCTACGCGTACGCCGACCCCGCCTGCCGCCGAGGAGCCCACGCCCCCGCCTGCTGTCACGCCCGAGTCGGACAAGGAGAAGGAGAAGAAGGAGGTCCAGCCCGAAGCTGGGCCCTCTTCTCAGCCTGCGACCAAGCCAACGAAGAAGGACACCGAGTACCAGATCCACTCGCCCTACCCGGACTTCGACGATGTGTTCATGGAGCCCAACGCGCGCGATGCCGGTTTCTCGTTCTCTCTCGGAATCGACGAGGACGAGTGCAAGCGCCTGCTTGCGCTCGCTCACGAGCTTGGCGCCTTTGAGCCGACAGAGTTTGACCCGCTGTTCGAGCAGCTTCCCAAGCTGGGCATTCCGTTGACGTCGCTGATTGCGCTGCCGCGGTTCGATGCCATCAGCGTGGGTGCTTACTCTGGATCGTTCGCTCCGTTCGCCCCCTCGTCGCCGCTGGAGACCGGATCGGTGCCCACGTCTGATGAGCCCTCCGCCGAGGCGAGCTCAACGTCGGACGCGGACCCGGCACCGCGCACTGCGTCGCGGTTCGAGTTTGCGCGCCGTGGCAGCTTGGCGTCTGGGTCGGCTAGGAGTGGCTCGCCGTTCCGCGGGCGGGAGGACTGGGGCCGCGCGCCGAGCTCGAACGGCTATGCGCCGGAAGAGCCGCGCGCTCCGCAGCACTTCCACCCGGCGCTCGCGCAGCTGAACAGCGGCTCTGGTCTCTCGCACTCGGCTCACTCTGCCGCCTCGGAGCGTGGTTCAGAGTATGGCTACGGCCAGCCGCCGCGGCCCTACCAGCCCTCGGGCTACGGCAGCGCGTACGGCTCTCCGCAGCGCGAGACGCACTACGGCGTGCCGCCCGGGTACAACGAGTACCAGCAGCAGCAGCAGCAACAGCAGCAGCAGGTCTACGGCGGCGTCGGATACGGGCAGAGGCGGTTCTAAAAACCCCACACATTCTTCATCAGCAATAGCAGCAATCAACCAATAGTCAAGTCAGCCGTAGCAAAACAATCCCATGCAGATTGGTTTCATGTGCAGAAGCGTCCGAAACGTCTATAGTTGTACATACAGCGTGCTTAGTCTACCTTGAGCGTCTTGATTGGAGGTGTCGGTGCGGGCGCCGCGCCGAGGATGAGCTGGCCCAGACCCCAAGCACTCACGCCGAGGAGGGCGAGTCCAGCGCCCCAGAGCTGGAGGTAAGTCGGCTCACCAAGGAACTCGAGGCGGTACGCGTATCCGAGCCAGAGGGCCTGGGCGGCAATCCATGCTCCGAGGGCGATACCGAGCCTCGTCCAGCTGAGAGACGGGAAGGAGAGGAAGGGGATGAACGGCAGCGGCCAGAGGAAGTACTGGCTCGTGAGGACCTTGTTGAACACGATGAACTCGGCGGTTTGGAGGAACATGGTCATCTCGAGGGAATAGGTGCCGGGGAGGGCGAAGCCCGTGAGCGCAACGAGGGCGAATTGCGGCAGGAACGAGGCGAGCGGGTGTCGCACCAATTTCAGGAGGAGGCCGGGGAGACCCGCCAGCACCCGCGCCGGCGCCGTGCGCGCTAGATAGATGGGGAGGAAGTAGACGCTGAAGTTGTGCCGGTGGTCGAGGCGCGAGAGGTGGTACAGGAACGTCTCGTGCAGGAACTCGTGTCCCCATCTGATTGATTCTGTCAGCTAGCGTCCTGTCCTCCCCTCCCCCTGCCTAGCTTATGTCGGCATAAGCTAGGCCCAACTTACACCGCATACAGCGCCGCATTCAGCACTCCCGCCGTGATCGCCGTGATGGCGCCAAAGCGCCATATGGGTCCCGCAAACCATCCCCCGCTCTTGCGCGCGAGCGCAGTCCATATGGCCGGGACGTAGATGGCGGGGAAGATCTTGTAGCTCGCGGCAAGCGCGAGCGCGACGGCGGCCGCGTCCTGCCAGTTCTGCTGGACTTTCTTCTCCTCGGCTGCCGCTGCCGTCTCGGTATCGATCACGCGGCCGGCTTTGCGCACCGTCACGCTCGGGGTGGGGCGGGTGGGCCGACTCAACCCCGCGCGGCGGAGACACAGGATCAGGCCGCACGTCAGGAGACAGGGCACTGCCTCT